ATAAAAAATCGCATATCGTAGGCTGCATATTCAGCAGAATCAACCAAAAAGTATAGAATGGAAAAGAAACTTACCAGACGAGCATATAAACATTTCCATCCAAGATAACATTTCCAATTTGCTATGATAGGCAGAAACATCATTTGAGCTGCGGAAATTAAAGAGCTATTTGAGAGGAGTTTCTTATGCAGTTCAGCCGATTTACTTATGAAACACCTTCTGACCTGCCGGTCACACAGAAAGAATTGCCCAATATTCAATGTGCGCAAGCGTAGTGGGAGAGTACGTGACAGGTTTTCTGCTTAATATTCAAAATCTATTCCCCAGGATGACGAATACACTAAGTAACACAAGTTTCTTTAGCTAAGCGTTAAAATTAGAAAACACCTGACCGGAAGGGGCTATTGTTACTTATCGACATAATTTTGGATGATTCAACTTTGAAAAATTTCTCTAAAAGTGAATTTGGCCAAACGATGATTTTTTTCGAAGACATGTGAACGGGTTATATATTCTGTGCGGTGAGTTGCGGGGTAAACTGGCAGGTTTCAGTTTCCGCAAATGAATTTTTATTGGTGATCCACAAGATTTCTTTAATTATTTACACGCTTAGCATGTTGTTCATTCGGTATGGGAGTAGACAACAATATTTCACTATTTATTCGCCTTCTTAGGCCTTGTTTCAACTAAAGGGACTTTGCCAGTTCTCCGGCGATTATTCTCAAACATGTGCTGAGTTAAGGGTAAAATAAGCCGCAACTCGCTAATGCAATACGAACAGAGAAAATTCATAACTGGATAAATTTGTGATTGTCGTTAAAACGTTTTCATGATGCTTTCAAAAGAGAACGGTGAAAATAATGAAACAATTGGTTTGCAATTACCTTTCTCTTAAAATTTTTTCAATTTCTTTCCTAGAAAAGAAGATGCTAATTTTTCAAAGTGAGGGAAATTCATGAAAGCATGGTAACGGGTAACGTAAAGTGCTAAGAAAATCAAACTTCAATTGAACTGCTCCTCCTTGAATGGTGCCTTGTTGCTAGTGACCATTTTTAGATAGAGATGTAAACATCTGTAATCCCTTTTAACCGAGTGACTAATGTTACTAAACGCGTGTTCCCAAACAAAGACAGCGTTTCTTCAGGGGAACGTAACAGCGTTTCCGAAGAATTCGGATTGGTTCAACTGATCCAAATTGAATCATGCTTAAGAGTGTAATTTTGTGAAAAAAGTTTACAAACTTTTTCCAACTTCTTTCAAAAAGAGCAATATCTCCCGAAGAATTCTCCTGAGTATGCGCAGTTCGTTTCCCTTTCCTGAACGCATGCGTGAAGAAGAACAATGAACATGTGGCACGAGTCGAAAACAACAAAGAGGAATGGCTGGGTGGATCTAGCGAACGATAGTTTCCCATTTGCCTCTGTTAGAGCTATTTTGTCCTCGTGTTATCCCAAGTAATGTGCTTAAAAAACTGTAAAAAGAACCTGACAACTGAATGACTTGGTGGCTCACGTATTTAAACGAACTTACCTTAAAACTGTGGGTAAAGTAAGCCATGTTTAACCCAAAACTTTGTGTACCGATGTAAATATGGTTTTTCTGATTGTATTCTTAACTTGAAGGATGTTTTAAACAGAGGTAATTTTAAGCATTGTAAATACAATAAGAAGATTCAGAAAATTGCTGTTGTAGTAAGTAGTCAGTTGTTGAAATCTTGTTGAACTGCTCAATGTAAAATATTTCGTCTGTTTTGACGCTTATGATCTACTTAGGACGATTCAATTTCTGTATTAGGTGTAGTCGACAAAAGTATTGTTTCAGCATTTTGATTCACATTGGTTTAATTTTATTTTCAGAACTTCATGAACCATTTCCTAAAAAATGGAATTTAGTTAGCTGTTCAGTTTACTTCAGTCTTACACTTTAAAGTATAGAATCAAACTTCTTCAGAGCTGTATTAGTCCACAGATATGGAATACAACATGCTTCAGCTTCAATACAACCACTGATGTCGAATACTCTGTAAGTGTGCCTCTTGGACCAATTTTTCTTGTATACAGCCCTAAACAGAATTAGTCAGACCGCCGAAAACCTCAGAAACGGCTCAGGGATTATGTGCATAGGGTGATATTGTTGAATGAACAATAAACCACGTGTTCACCAAGAAAAAAAGAATCATTTCCGATCAGCAAACAAAAACAATGCCAAGGAAAATTATCTATGGCAGAAGAGATTACAGACTACCTGAATGGTAAACTTTAGTTCCCTGTGATAACTAGGACTTGATGGAACATTTTGAAAACTGGTGTACGTCAAGAAATTCCCTACTCTGGCTTGGAGTGGATAATATTTCATCATATATAGGATAAAACAAGAGTGAGCAAAAATGATTTAATAAAAAAAACTTTGTTTTTTCTATTTTGGTTCCAACCTGCTCTCCACTGCGTAAAGGTTTGGAATTACTTGCTTCTCTAAGTGCTTGTGTGTAGACAAATTTTAATTACACGGAGTTGAGCATCGAGTCTTTTAAGAAAAATACCTCGTAGCTTACTGTTCCATGTCAGGCGAGAAAGTGTTGTGTTCTCGCAGTGCTACAGTTAGTTTGCTTCATTTCCAAACTTGTACCGTTCCACGGTAAAGTAAAGGTCAGTTTGACCACATGCGTGGGTAACATTTTAAGATTTAAAAACCGTCCGTATGGAAATTTATAAGCGCTGAACAGCAGCAGAAAGGACATTGAAGCACGAATAATTGAAAACCGGAATTTTCTTGGGAATTTAATCGATAATCTTCTTTATCGATTCTTTTTCTTTTTCTTTTGATTTTATAGATACGATATTCTAAGTTTTTCTTAGTCCAATAACCTCTCACTTTTCATGTAAAATTTCTTTCCCCAAGAAAATAACTGAATACCGATATTTCTTTTAGGAAATTTGAGATATGATAGGCAGCTGTCACGTTGTATTTCAAAGAAAATATAATCAACCAAGATGAACATAGACAAGGTTTGGGTTTAGTTTCTCACCTTTTAGATTTACTTTTTCTGGTTGAACAAATGAAAGGTGAGCGAGTGATCCGTCAGTCGCTTGATATCTCCACATCATGGAGGGCCTTCACTTTGGCAACCTTTGAAAAAAAAAAAAGAAGAAGAAAGCGAATCAACATCGACACTGAATTACCATAAGCTTTTTACCAATATTTTGTGACAGAAAAGAAAAGGAAAAACAAAACACGCGAACATATTTACCTTGCAAAACCTTTCAATGCTTAAAAAGTTCATATTTATTTCCATTTCTTTGCAGTGCCATTTCCTTATGGTTCCTCTGAATTATCACTACGTACGTGGATAGAATATTTCTCGTCGGCCCATTATTTTGCCTCGAATATATACCGTGACTCATATCTCAAACACGGATATCAGCCTCTGAGGCATTATTAATTTCTTAGTGGACCCAGCAGTATTTGCATTTTCTTATTTGTTAAATGAAGATGCGTAGGCGAGAAAATAAACCGAATAGGGAGACCGATCGATCACGGACACAATACTGGCCCTTGATAGTCACTACACCGCACGACATTGCATTAAATGATATGTTTATTCGGTTGACTCAAATACTTTTCAATGGATTCAGCGTCAACTATGATAATAAAACTATGATAATAAAAAGAAAGTTTGAAACATTTCGTGAGATATTCTCTGTATTAATTATTCTAAATAAACTATAAGGAACCTACAGCCAGAGAAGGGTTGTTTTGAAATTGAGACTCGTATCATGAATAACTTGAGACTTCAATTGAATTTCAAATTACAAATTGGCGGCATCTCAAAGTGAAGAATTAAAAAATATATATATATCAGTATATCATTTTTACGTAATCACTTTCCAAAGAGCACGGAAAGTCGCCTATCACCAGGTTATATTATTAAACGGACACGAGCGTTAGTACCACACTGATAGCGTTACTATCCTTTCACTTCTTTCTTGTTGTTGCGAGAGACATCTGACGATTAAAATACTTCCTCAGACAAGAATTGATAAATACTAGTTGCATACGGCAAATTTTGAGCTCTTACTCGCCTGTCTTGTCAGTTTAGTGTCAGCATTTTGAATTAAACATAGTGATCGCCAAGCTTGTCACTTAAATATCTGTGAACAAGGCATAAATATGATATTAAATTGTTTTGAAATAGTTGCTCAAGCTTACTCGGAAAACTCTTAACAGCAAGAAACAATTCAATCTGAAGCCTTAAATATGCCATAATGGTCTATTGATTTTTGTTTGCGACTACTGTTAAAAGTCTGTTTGTAAAACCTGTTGAAATATTTTCTGTTGTAAGTAGGTGATAAATTTCCAAGTTAATTTTTCATTACTATAGTCAAACACACTGTGTAATTTTCACAGCAGTTTGGTTTAACAGTGGCCCTTCTACTGTAAATGTGTATGTTCTAAGGAAAGCAAACAAACATTAAATCCACTACCCTAAAATATGTCATGTGAGATAGGTTTATCTCATTCCTTATTTTTCCTTCAGTATATGAGAACTTTTCAAGAGAATTTAAACAACCTAGTTTGACCCGTCGATAATATAAATACATTGTCAATATAACATAAAAAAATAACCACAAGCCAATCGCAGGCAATTTGACTTGATTCTACCCCGGAAGAAACGTTGCCTCCAAACCCCTCCCCCGTCAGGTAGTTTAGCATTCAGCCTGGAAACGAAATATGTAAATCTCGCTTTAGTCAACGTTGTATTACCCATTAATCGTAAATTCAGCGAATCGATCCATCCAACAAAACAGCAAATGAATTATGGTAGCGTATAGGCATCCTTGGAGACTTTGCTCTCGCCTAATGTTATATTTAAATTGACGAATCATTGAATCGGTATGGTGCATTGGTTTGCTAGGTTGTACTTGAAATGGCCAGCAGATGTGAGAGCCGTCAGAGTCAGTGGGAGAAATTAGCTGTTATGGCGCCGTAATCTTTCTTTCAGGATGGGAGTTGTTTTCCCCAAGCCTTCAAAGAACTCTATTACTTCAACAATGGATGGAAAAAATGCTTCCTTTATAGGTACAATGAAGTTTATCCGATAATCAGGATAACTTAGCTGCGTCCTGGAGCGTGAAAATTAGAACCATCTGAAAAAATGAACCGAAGGGAAACTTTCTTCAGATGCTGATGTTTTGTTTGCCTCTTGGTCTTGCAAAACTTGTTGTACTCGTACGCTTATAGTGATACTATTTCGATTTTACTTATACAGAAGGTGCTGTTGTTCCAGTTCGTGTGTCGGACGAGGGGTTTCATCCAGAGGAACTTGTCCTGTATCAAGGACAGGTGAGTGAAGTGTGAACAGCTGAATATTTTTTTTCATCTCTCGTTCATTACTCTCATTAGCATTTATTTGCAAAAGGAGTGAATGAAGGTAATACTGACCAGAAAATTTTATGCTGCTTCGGTCGGTGGTGGTGAAAAATTCAGCGCAAATGATTGTAAATTTAAAGAATTAATTAAATTAGAGATTGTTAAGCTGTGCGCTAATTATGTGTAATAGATATTGGCCGTAGTTTGTTTACGTCTTGGCCTTTTGAATAATTATGTTAACCTTTGCCTTACTATTGTTTTGAGTGTGATGTTTTAATTCGAATTCTTTTCGGAAGATGTGAAGAATTTGAATGGTTGGATTTCAATTCATAGTACAACTAAGTATTACAAGATCTATACCCACTTAAACCAGGCGGCTTCACTCTTTTTTTATTTTGTGTCCCTTTTATTTTATAACCATGGTGATTACTCTTTGTGTATATTTCCAGAGCATTTCGTTTGAATGGAATGTAGACAGCTCATCTAAAGGTTTCAGAATATTTCAGGTAACCTAATCATTATCAATAATACAGCTGATTTTTGTAGTCCTGAGATATTTCACTCAAATTTTGAATTTCAAACAATAACATTTGTGGGAATTAAAAACTGAATTGACTTTTAGAATAAGATAATCTGAGAAAATATTATTTCTGGCTGGTAAAGTTAACAGGACCTTAGAGAAACATATGTTAGCTACTTTGCAATGCAGGCTATGACAAATTGTCTTTACAAGTGGTATTTGGTGCAGGCAGTACTATCATTTGTTGCACTTTTTGTTATGAAAATGGCTGGATAACTATGATTTGGATTTTGTAACTTGAAGGTTTGTGGTACGGAACTGAATCGTGTTCCTGGTGGATACAACAGTGGTGATCTGACATCTGATAGATCTTTCAAGGTGTACTTTGGAAGGAAAGGACAATTCACCTTTATTAGGTTTGTGTTATAAAAATATACTTGCTGGACAGCAATAATTCAGAAGAAATGGGTCAATCAGTTATCAGGTACATGGATATAAAATGAAACTTATCTGTTAAGCCTTGTTTTCTTATTCTTTTCATTTTTACTGTGAATGACATCAAGACAGCATCATATAGGATTAATGCACAATAAAATTTGGTTAAAAGCCAAAAAAATTCCACTATTTCTTAATATGAAGGTAATTTTCTTTGGCAAATCATAGCTGATCTAAAATTAAAATGTTCCTTCAGTATTGAGCTTTTTTCTTCCCTTCCAATTTCAGTGAGTCTAAAGAGCACAGCTTTGTGATATTGCCTTTCAAGGTACAAGTAGTGGAGAAACCAATGAACATCATCAAGGTGCTCAGAATGATTGATCATATTTAATAAACCTCTTATTCCAATGTGGTACCATGTATACGTATAAATTCATACAGGAAGTGAAACATTGCAGCTAAACAAGTATAAGCGTGACATTTAAAAACATCAATTTTTAAAAGGGGAGAGACTTAAAAATAACAATAATAGATGGATAAGAGTGGAATTAATGTTGAAAAATGTTGAAAAAATTTGTTATCTAATATAATAACCAATTTCCTGTAGATCACAGATGAAGGCTTTGAGAAGATGTTGGTGAACATTGAAGAAGGAGAGACTGTTCAGTGGAGCTGTGAATATGGAGATTCTAAAGCTTTATCTTGTTCCATTCAAGAGATGGAGTAAGTGCATGAAGAAGTGAAATTGTTATTAATAATTTCCATTATGTGTGTGACTGAGCTCAATAACAAAAGCAAGACTTTCACATTTGACTGCTCACTCATGTAAATGCAGTTGTCCATATCACTTGAAATGGGAGACATGGGGGTTGTATTATGGTAACTGTGCTGGATTCTGGGGTTTAGAGGTCCAGCTGTGAGACCCAGCAGGATATTGAGTTGTGTTCTTGGGAGCTAAACACTCTCAAAGTGTCTCTCCCCAGTTAGGAGTATAAATGGATACTGGCAAATTGTCAGAGAAGCGCGATGAAATGCTGAAGGGAACCTTGTAATGGATTGGCATCCCACCTGGGAGGTTGTTGGGTTAATACTCCCAGACAGTTTCACACTAAAGAAATTGTGATAAGATCTGGCTGTCAAGGCCACATGTCTCTAGTGCAGACTTTACCATATACCATATATGGGGGAAGTTAAAGGTACAAGTCAGGAATTGGTGGAATCTCTTGTGTATGTCACATGATACCTTTTGGTTAAGAATCAGGTACTTACTTTGTTCACCAGATTGCGAGGTACACTAATGACTAAATTGGACTATATTTTGAAGAAGCAAATGTAATAATATGAGAGTTCTTTTGATATGTGCGCTAATATAAAAACTGTTTATTAATATGCTGGTTATGATTATTACATGCGACTGACTGCCTTGTCCACATGGCATAATTTGACTTTTTTCAGGTTTTGTTTTAAACATGCAGGGTTTGTTCCAAAAAAATCAAGGTACTTGTAACTAATCTTAGTTTCCTAATTTAATGAAGTCCTAATTAATCTACTTAGAGGGAAATTAAAACAAATGACTTTGGAAAAGCAAGTTGGGCATGTTCCCTATTCTATAACTGTACAATGATACTGGTTATCAAACATTGTGGCCTGCAGGAGTGAATTATGGTCAACTTAAATTTTTTTCTCCTATTCAGGATCACTGTTTATTCAACACATGAAATGACATTTCAGGACACAGGGCTGTTCTACTTCTACCTTGACAAGCATGATACAGGCACAGACTGGCTTAATGACCAAGGAAACTTGATTTGTGCTGTGAGAGTTACTCAAGTGAACAGGTTTGTAAATATTTACTGATATCATAAGTATGTTCTTTTATTTAGCAAAGAAAGAGAAGTATTTTTAATTGATGGAATGTTTAATCATCTAATTATGGCTAGTGGAACAACTGATTAGCAGCACTTGGTCTCCATTTATTTTTTGTTAGTATAGCAGCCAAAAGTTCATTTTACACTTACATAGCTGCTGAGCCTCAGAGAGATGCCAGGTTTAAGACCATGTCAGTATCTATGACACTTACATGTATGTAGACTTCACTGCTTTTTATGAAATTGTAGATTAGGCAGACCAACCTCTATGTTGAAAGTTTAAATTACCCTTTATAACATTATATTAATTTCAACCTTGTTTCTAGACTCTTGAAAGTCTTGAAAAGTTAACACCTAATTGTGAAATGAATTACTGGAGCCCAAATTTTTACACAGTGCTTAGGGTTAGGTCAAAAGTAAACTCAATTTAATGCCATTAAAGAAATAAGGACTTTAATTGGTGTATAATTTACTGCTGTTGTTTTTCAGGGAGTTCTCAGTTCATCTATCTGATGAGGGTCTTAATACAAGCATGATATCAGCCAGAGTTCAAGATAGAATTTGGCTTGACTGTCCAACTAACAGGGTGAGAATAAACATTAAATTTGTTTTAAGTAGACTTCATGAGTTACACATAAGAAATGCCTTTATGGGAATTTTTTTGCTATGTAACTTGATTTATCTAATGAATTACTGTAACAGTTGTCTGTTCCTGAGACTTCATTGAAGCTCACATGACATTAACTTGAAAGTTTGCTTTTCTACTTTTTGAATCTGAATGTCTTACGCAATTAGTGACAGAGATCGCTTTGCTACACTGTTATTTTCAATTTTAGACCCATGCTAGAAAGATTTTGGATGCGTGTATTTATAAAGATACCCTGGCAAATCCATTGGTTTCAGCACAATTGTTTGCTGGCTCAGCCAGGTACACCTTCAGTCTTTGTAGCACTTGTGTAGGATAACTGTGATTAAAAACTGTCAGTTTGTTATAGTTGTGTAGTACGCATTCAATTTACAGTGGCCTCTTGGTCAATACCAGTGCACCGATTTTGGATCAGCTGGTACTTGATTCTCAGCCCTGGCCATTCAATTCTACTATATACTAGTAAGATTATTAACTCTTACAATATCTCTTTTCACCAAGAATCATTTTGATATGTGTTCTAGTGAACTGAATTTTGCTACCTCAGAAGTAAGGGGGGACACTGTAAACATTCCAATTCAGAGGGAGCAATTGAGCACCCATATAGTCGCTCCATGACTTGAGTATAAACTGGCCAGGGATAGATTGGGGCCAATAGGCTTATTTGTGTAATTGTTAGCAGTAATTTATTCATTTTGATCTTTACCCATGCATTTTTAAATCTCTATTTGAACCCCACTGTACACTGAAATTTTATTTAGTATTTATACAATAACATGTTTAAACATTTTCCATCAATGATTTTAATGCCTTGTTATAATATTTTATTGTAGAATTGCTGAACTTGTTTCCTATCAATTCGTTGAGCCTGGTCTTTATCACTACATGTATAACATGGCTGATCTCTCACAGTTTCGAGGATGTGTTGTTGTGCAACCAAAACCAAGAGAACATGTCGTTAACATTGTTGATGGACAGTTTGGACCTGGTAAACAGCCTTCAATTACATGTTGTTTACATGTAGCCTGATCTATAAATAAAACTTATAATACATTATTGTATTTATTAATACCAATTTTAGCAATTTTAGGACCAGGGTTGAATTTCTTGTAGCTTACTGTCATTTCAGAATCTCTTCAGTAAGTACCATACCCTCAACTCTCTCCTCCCCCCTCCCTTCATTAAACAGGAGACCAATTTTGTTATTCTTCAGTTTATTATTCATGCATTGGGTGATTAGCACCCACTAGCTAATCACCCCTGAGCTGCTAAATTGGCCCACAAGAAATCAATACCCACTTGTGTAGTTTATGCCAAAAAATTAAAGGAAAGTAATCAACAAGGGAAGTGTCTCATGTATTTGATTCAAAATAAAATTGACATAACTAAATAAAAGTTTATAATATTATATTGTATAACAGTTTTACTGTTAGGTGAATCACTTTTGACATCCACAAAGAGACAGAGTAAACAATTATTTCAAATGATTGTTTCAACAGCTCTTCTGACAATTAATGAGAAGGATAGGATCTGGTGGACTTGGAATAATAGTCAGGGTTTATCATTCATTTTGAAAGAGGTATGTGTAACAAAGAAAAAAATTATTAAAGACCGGTGAGGTTGTAAGAGTAGCATTTAGTAATGACTCTAAAGGACAGATGTAAATTTGTGGTTCCTCATTCATAGTTATTCATTTTATTTTACTAATAATTAATATTTATGAGAAGGCCTTTTTCTTTGTTGGGCAGTGATTTATTGGTTTCCTAGTGATAATTATTTGTGCATGTACTGTAATTAAGATTGGCTTGTCAGGGAAGGAAATATGCCAAACAGATCTTAGTCTGGTAGTCTTCCATTTGATACATTCATTTGACATAATGCATGAGTTCCAATATCTGAATTAGCTTCAAGTCGTTACTCTGACTGAATTTTTTTTTTCCTAAACTTAGTTGAACTGCTGTACCCCCTTAACCAGAAGGAAATCTCTTTGCTTAGGTAGGCTACTTCCTGTGTCTTTGTCATTCAGTTAATCATGCATGGCTGAATGACAGTTATTGATTCAGAAGTGATTCCAAGATTAAATATTTCATATTCTGTACTCTGCAATATTGCAATGTTTTGGAATATTATTGTTTAATGAGACTTACTTGAAAAGATAAGAATTTTCCCTACAATTCATGCTGCTTGCTTTAAACTGTGCCCTGAATCTCTTCTGTTTAATCTTTTTTTCATTAATTTTTAGGATGTGATTGTAAGGAACTGAGTGACCAGGTGGATTTTGTGCAACTGTTGGGACTGATGACTCACAAGTTTGATTCCATAGGAGAATTTAGTTTCCACCTGGTCCCTAAGGATGACCAATCTTTTCCATCTACTTGCTGTTCAGTGGTGGTGCAGACAACTTCAAAGGTAAATATATAAACAGAAATGGTCTTGATTGGCTGAAAATATTAACAAAGAAAGAGACAAGTGTCAACTTAGAAGAGAACACATCTATTTTTCTCTGAATTTTTATTTCCAATCTGGGGTAGCCTTCAATTTAAAATATATTAATCTTAACTAAACGTTCAAAATTTTACTTGATACAGTGTTCAATTTATGATATCATTGCATAAGCATTTTTATTTACTTTTCTTTTTTTTAATCTAACATTCCTTACTCATTATGATCATGGTATTTATTTCATATTTTTGTCACGTGTCCATTGTGACCTTAATATAAGGACAAAGAAAATGAAGGCCATTTATTGGAAAAGAATATGGCTTACTTTGTACATTTTAGATTTGTAAAGACCTTTGACCATCCATTAGGAGGTTTTGAAGACTTGCTGGTTCGAACAGATGGTCAAAATTATTCAGTACTGATGAATTGTATGGAATAAATAAATGTCATTTTTACCTGATCAGCCTTGAAACAAACAATTCTGTTTCATCTCCTGTTGTTTAGCATTATTCAGTCAAAGTTTGTGATGGACACTTTACACCAAAGATCTTAAATGTACATCCTGGAGACTGGGTATGGTGGCAGTGGATTGATACTAAAAGACCCCATAACATTAAACAGGTATCATTTTTTTTAAATCAGTGACTAGTTTCAGGTTAGATCATGAGAACACTCCTTGTTCTTCACTCTTTTATCTGTTAGAACTTGCCACACAACTAAAGCTTGTACTGTGCACAATTTAGAAGTCACCTGCAGCTTGCTAATGAGGCTAATAATGCTTTTCACAGACAAATATTTCTTGGTTTTGACTGTAACCTTTTACAAAAAATCCAGAGGAACATCCTTGTTAGCTGGGATCAATTAAAAGAAGTTTTCCACAGCTGTAAGGTTTTGAAAATAAATGCTTACCAACAGTGTAAGTATGAATGTATATTATTGTAACACTGGGAAGGTTTTGTTGTTTTCATTTTAGGTCTCGCACCAATGGATATCACAGGCCAGTGGATTTGACAGTGGAAAGGCAACCAAAGCAGCAAGTGCCTTTACAAATGTATTTCAAGACCTTGGTATATTTTATTTTGCAAGGTACACCATGTATGTTGCATTATCTCACTTGTGGTACAAACAATTTGTTTTTGTCTTGATTTTGTAAATAGACATTTCTTTGAATTATCAAATCGTTATTGTATTGCTTGTACATGTAATGGGGTTAATTGGCCAGAAATTATGGTACATTGCACACTGATGCAATGAAAGATTACTATATTTTGTTCACAGGTTACCACAGTGACCATTCCTTGTGCTAACATTTCATAGGACATATACCCATCTGACTGTAAATACATAAAAATCATATAACATTATGTGAGCTGTGGTTGAAGAAACAAATGTGGAAGCAATCCTTGCAGTTATGAACATTACCTAAATATTAGTGAAAATATTCGGCCTGTAAACAATTCAGGCTTGTACAGGTTTTGAACCCATATCCTCTGTGATGCCAGTGCAGCCCTCTACCAACTGAGCTAACAAGCCAACTGGGAGCTGGTCATTACTTTGGTTCCAAATAAGTTTGTAATAAGCTCCACATTTCACATACATGATTTTCATATATTTGCAGTCATTTATTCACCACTTCATGGGTTTATTTACAACCAACATACAGTGACCAGCTCCCAGTTGGCTTGTTAGCTCAGTTGGTAGAGTGCTGCAGTGGTATGGCAGAGGTCATGGGTTCAGATCCTGTACAGCCCTGAATTTTTTCCAGGCCTTATTTTCACTACCATGTAGGTAATGTTCTTAACTGCAAGAATTGCTTCTTTATTTATGCGCCTATCTTTTTGACAGATTTTGACATTCAACCACTTCTGATAATTTCATGACTGCTCATCCTAAAATTTGGTTATTTGCTTTTTTTCTTTACATTAAGCAATGGCATTCCTGAAATGCTTGGAGCTGTTGTTGTGACCCCGTCATCTAAGGTAACAGTCCTTGTTCTTAGTTATATTCATTAAAGTGTTTCTTTGGCATGATAATTATAGAGTAGTAATTTCCACACTCATTTTTGTGGCCATCAAATCTACCATCTCAGTTACACATAGCTGATGTAACAGCAGAGGGAATTCAACCAGATCTATTGGTGGTATCAGTAAATGCCTGTGTTACTTGGGTGTGGTCAGATGGGACATGCTGCAATTTGCAGGAAATATCCCAGCAAGGTGAAGCTCAAGGAACGTTGCAACCATCACACAGAGTCCATTTTAAAAGGTATGTACATATAGCTGGTTGAAGAGCAAAAACAAAAACAAAACAAGTTGAAAAATAAAAAGATAGACAATAATTACTACTGAGTAATCATTATGTTTGTACTGGTCATGCTAAGGTAATGGTGTACCACATAAAATATGCTGCAAATGTTTTGTTTTATTCATTTTGTACCACTGAATCCAATGTTAGTGATGACAAACTAACCTGATGATGTTGAGATTTCTGTTTCTGGTTATCTACACTTCTAATGTGATTTTTAATGGCAAATTTATATTGTTTTGTGGTTTTAGGTGCCACACACGCCTCTTTGGCAAAGCTGGAATGTACCATTTCTTATGCTCAGGATGTCATGACAGTGAAAGTGAGGTGAGCAGAACAAAGATGGTATTTTGTAATCGTTATTATGAATAAAATCAAACTCATCAGGTGCAACTTGGACTTAAAGTGTAATAATTATTTTTCATTAGACTTCAGATCACATAGATATGGAGTGACCTGTGTAGGCATTCCATGAGAAGTGTGCTTGAACAATTTTTATTCATGTCAGTTACTGTGCATCACAAAAATGAACAAGTGAGTGCAGTCAGAACAAGTGAGTGTTTTTGTGCATTGCAACAAGTGAATAACAATCATTTGTACTCACTTTCCATGGTAAGATGTTTTTATTTTATACATACTGAGATTTTTTCATATTTCAATTCAGAGATTGGTATGAAAGACATGGACAACAGTACATCACAGTTTGATTCTCAGTATGTATAAAATAAAATATCATATTGTATCTCAGAATGACAGCAATATGGTGTTGTTTCCTGTTCAATGGTTTATATGTGTGTATGTGTAAATGTCTGTTTTTTTTTGCTCTAATTTTGTGTTCTTAGGTTCACAGTCAAAGAAGTGATACTTTCATCCACTCTGTGTTAGTAGACCCAGTCCCCTACTCATGTAGGGTTGGAGTTACTGCAGCTGAAGGGTTCAAACCATCAGTTCTAACAATAGAAAAGGTACTGGCATGTCACTGTTCATTTAAATTGAAAATAAGCTTGTGGTACTGGAGGGTTCAAACTGTCTGCTCTAACAATAGAAAAGGTACTGAAATGTTACTGTTCATTTAATTTGGAAGAAAAATTGTGTTACCGAGGGGTTCGAACCATCTGCTCAAATATTAGAAAAGGTACTGAAATGTTACTATTCATTTTAATTTGGTAATAAAATTGTGTTGCTGAGGGTTTCAAACTATCTGCTCTAACATTAGAAAAGGTACTGAAAAGTTACTGTACATTTAAACTGGAAATAAACTTGGACATTTGCTTTATTATAGCATTAAGTTATACATTTTGAGTTATTTTCCAAATGAAATTATCTTGTATTTTTCTTATCATTTATTTATTTTCAAGTCTCAGTGTATTCTTTGGACATGGGAGAACCAAGAAAATGAAGAACATAACATTATCCATGTAAGACCACCCCAGGCTAAAGAGGTAATGCTTTCTAATGCTTGGGGCTTATGGAAAGAGACTGTGATTCTTCCCTTCTTTCACAGGATAAGCCTTATTCTTAGAGAAATTCGTGTTTCTTAAGTTATTTGAAGATCATCCCTGAGTTTGGAAATGCTGAAGGGGTGTATGAATCCTTTGACAGCTAGTTACACTGTCAACAGAGTTAATAGAAAGATTGTCAAAACGTTTTTATACAACTCAGTTCAGACGTGATTTCGACATCGGACGGGTAACTGGGAGTTTGCCCTTCTCCTCGCCGCCGTCCGTTAAGTTTTCATTTCTTTGTTTGTGTCATTTTTACAGCCCTCTTACAATAGACAGCCATTTTTCTTTGTTAACCGTGACAGAGTTACATTAAAGTGAAGTATTAGAAATGGTGCAGGAGAAACTACCGCGTGACCATCCTGTACAACAAACCCAGAATACTCGACAGTAGAAGTGTTATCATCTTTTATCTGACCACATTATGCATCCTAAGTTTAAACTAGCGGAGCTGCCCGGTTCTCAACATGGACTTAATACATTTATTATTAATATAATATATATATATATATATATATATATTATATACATAATATTTATTCTGCTCTACTTCAACGTATTGAGCACTCTTCCACGCGAAAATCGACCTGCAGACTTCCTATATATATATATATATACCATACTGATGTGTTATTTAATTGATATTTACATTATATCTTATTTATTTATATGTACCTTTTTTTAAGCTGCCCCTCTCTCGTGTGGTTGGTCTCTCGGCTTTTAACAGTGGTCAGATGACAACTCGCAGTACATTTTTTCACACATTTGATGTTGCTGGAACATATTTCATATCATCAGAAGGAACCGATGGGCATTTGTGTAGAGTGGAAGTCCTAGAAAAAGGTGAGATAAGTTTATCTATAAAGCTATACATACGTTACTCTTTGTCATCAGGATACCAAAGATATTCTGGGATGAAATTTATAGCAAGCTACTTTACAAGGAATGTTATTGAGAGACCTATCTTTTGTTTCACGTATTTAGCTGCGCATGTTGGACCGCCTGGGATTCCTTCTGGTGAGAAAGACGGAGGAAATGTAAGTGTCTTTAAAATCTTCTCCTCGCGTCCAGGATCGATTAAAAACACTTGTATGAGGCTAATGAAAAACTGACAGGTTTGACAGGGTGTGCTTGACAGGTTCTGATAGGGTGTGCTGTTACTTTTTAAAGGTTGAATGTGGTTATCAAGTTTTCCTGGAATGTGAAACAGAGGAAGTAGAAATATGTTACACTCTGGATGGATCCTACCCAGCTGAGTACAATTCAAAACTTATGGTAAGGGTTACACTTTGTTTTGGTTTTCCTATGGTTTTCAGAGCTTAGAATTGGCCACTAAATTTTGTAAACTGTCGACACGGCAATACTTTCTTCAGTACACGGCAAGATCCATGGCAAGGGACTTAGAGGTTTAGTATTGTAAGAATTCGATCATTTGTGTTGTCTTTTTCGATATTGTGTGAACGTAACCTTCAACTTTCTTTCCTTTTCAAAGCCTTACAATGAGAAGAAAGGAATTTTTTTAGCCCGAGCTGGATTCTTTGTCATTAGAGCTGTAGCCAAGAAAGAAGGCTGTGTAACAAGTTCAGTGTATACTTCAAAGTAAGTACAGTTTATGTTATGTAAGTTCAGTTTCATATTTTTCCTTCACTATCAATACATTTAAATCAAGTTGTTTTGGGGGTAACCAGTCAAGTCGCCCCGAGAGTCATCTCACCCGAAGTCATGTCGCCCGAAACCTGAGTCATGTTGCACGAAATGTTAGTAATGTCGCCCGAAATAAAGTCAAGTCGCCCGAAGAAACAAATACTAAAAAGATCAGAATTTCAGACTGTTAATAGGCAATAACGTTGAGAATTTGTTATCCCTAAAGCGCTCTTTGTTTCCGACAACACCATGAAGATTCTTAAAGCGTTGTTCGTTTCTAACAACAAAGGGAAACGTTCTTCGTTTCCAACAAAAAATAATAAGCGTTGTTCGTTTGGTATGTGATCGTTTCACACAGAAATCGATCATATGCTCGGATTTGAAATATGTTTGAGTAACGATTCTAAAAGCGTTGTTGGTTTCTTACAGCGAAGGGAAGTGTTCTCCGTTTCTCACGTAAAAATGAAGCATTGTTTGTTTGGTATGTACTCGTTTCTTACTCACGGACATTTCTCTTTCTTGCCTCTAAAAATGCCATAACGACTTTGACTACACAGAAATCGATTGTTTGGTCAGAATTGAAATATGTTTGAGTAACGACTCTAAAAGCGTTGTTCGTTTCTAACAACAGAGGGAAGCGTTGTTCGCTTCTATAACAACAAATGCACGGATGCAGCGAAACATTCAAGTAAAGTTCTTTTGTGTCTATTTGTGACTTTCGTAACAATAACAGATGAAAACATCTGGTAAACGAATGTCGATTATCGCGTTCGACCAGTCGGTAAAAGGTAACGCGAGTTACATACAAATAAAGTTATGTTGTGTCTTTTGTGAACTTCGTAACATTAAAAACTAACTTGTTGCCTTGGGTAAGGTAAGTTTAATATTTTAAGATAACAGTCTATTGTTTATGCTTGTGACTTTTTTCACAGTAGTAGTCTGATAGCATCATTTCCCTTAGGATCAGAATAGGCATAAATTATGTAGCTGTGCTCTGTTTCCTCTGGCGGTCGCATGTATATTATATATATAATGAAGAGGGTAAAGCTAGCTACAATACGATTACGAACTGACCAAAATGAGCATTCATCCTTGCATTGAGTGTGATGATGAAGTTAGACCACGCCAGCAAGCCCTACAGTGCGACGATTATGGTCGATCATATGGTCTTTCTGACCATATGATCGATTTCTGTGTAGTCAAAGTCTTCATGGCTTTGTTAGAAACCAAGAAAAAGTTTCTCAAGCTTACGAAATGTCCGTGAGTAAGAAACGAGTACATACCAAACGAATGACCCTTCAGTTTTTTGTTAAAAATGGAGAACGCCTCCCTTTGTTGTTAGAAACGAACAACGCTTTTAGAATCGTTACTCAAACATATTTCAATTCCGAGCATACGATCGATTTCTGTGCAGTCAAAGTCTTCATGGTATTGTTAGAAACCAAGAAAGAGTTTCTCAAGCTTACGCAACGTCCGTGAGTAAGAAACGATTACATACCAAACGAACAATGCTTCATTTTTTGTTGGAAACGAACAAAGTTTCCCTTTGTAGTTAGGAACGAACAACGCTTTAAGAATCTTCATGGTGTTGTCGGAAACAAAGAGCGTTTTAGTGATAAAAAATTCTCAACGTTATTGCCTATTAACAGTCTGAAATTCTGTTCTTTTTGGTAATTGTTTTTTCGGGCGACTTGACTTTTTTCTTTCGGGCGACATTACTAAAATTTCGTGCAACATGACTCAGATTTCGGGCGACATGACTTCGGGCGAGATGACTCTCGGGCGAGATGACTCTCGGGCGTCTTGACTGTAAACCGTTTTGGGAATAACACGGATTGATTATCAAGGATATAAAATGCTACAGAAGTTATCACCTGTTGGAAATGTAAATGGAAAGTTCAAAATACGAGAAGCCTGCGAAGCTGGCACTCGCTGAGTATGTGAGTAACACACATGCGAAAGATCAGACACACTCTGTATTCTGTGCACGTGACTTACAACTCGCGCTTGCTGGTCTGAATTACTAAGTGAAATTAAGAGCGTACTGCATAGGTTGAGATATGGATACCTGTTTCTTAACTGCACAACCTCCCATCCCAAGGAATCCAACTGATTGTTGATAACTGATTTATCTTGGATTGTTTCATTCAACTATGCATCCACAGACGTTTCTGGGTCATGAAAAGCGATGATGTTGTTCAAGAGGATATGATCGATGAAGAGTCTGAGCAGGAACAGGGGACTGGATCAGAGGAAGTAGATTTGAAAGAAGAGGTGAGAGTCTGAGTTATTGGATAGTGTTCCTGTAGCGCCTTCAGTAGGCAAGAGAGGCGTGTTTTGATAGAATGCATGACCCTTGTGCAAACTGCACTCGATACAAGACCATTTAGAGATGCGCGGTGCCTCTGATTTCAAGTAATTGGCCATGAGCTTAACCACTGAAATGAAAATTATTTTCGTAATTTTCATGTGAATATAACTCATTTTCAAAAGAAAGGATTTTTAGAATTCGGAAATGGTCGATTCTCGTAATCCCTCTCGTGTTAAGATAAGGTTATGAAAACACAGAAAGCGTCCTGGAAAACGCTAAATATTTTTTTCAAAAATACGCGCAAAACTCAGTCGTCAAAAGCGTGCCTGGTTACTTTTTTAAATCTTCCTGTGCACTGATGAATATAAGTGCGTATTATCTTTGATGAAGAGAACTGATAAACGGGTCCTCAGTTACTAGTTAAACTATGCTAAAGGTGCGAGTTGTTGTTATGTCAATCCACTGATGTTACAGTTTAATCGTGATTTACTCTTAGTTTTCATCATTTTTTAATTGTCTAAATGTATTTTTATTTAGGTTTTTATGAGAAATCCCTTTATTATTATTCCTAGTTTATTTATTTACTTTTCGTGGCATGTCTGTAAAGAAGCTAATTAGCTAAGAACATTTGACCACGTTAAATAAAGGTTATTGTGTTGTCTTTTTGTTCGTTCGTTTTTCTTTTTTTTGCGTTAGATATTCAAGTGGCATTGGTTAAGTTGTAGGCCGAGTATTACCGTAGAGCTTGTTTGTGACAACACATTTAACATCAATGTTACTCTGGGAAACGCTGCAGACCTATCATGGATCAAAGGATTTCAGGTGTGGCCTTATGTCTCTCGGTGCTTCTGTGTCTGCTGCCATTCTCTTCCCTCCCTTCCCCCAGACCTATCATGGATCAAAGGTGCTTCTGTGTCTGTCTCTCCATTCTCTTCCCATTCTCTCCTCCCCCCCCAAGACCTATCATGGATCAAAGGATTTCAGGTGTGGCCTTATGTCTCTCGATGCTTCTGTGTCTGCAGCTATTCTCTTTCCTCCCCTTCCTCCTTCCCCCCCAAGACCTATCATGGATCAAAGGATTTCAGGTGTAGCCTTGTGTCTCTCGATGCTTCTGTGTCTGCTGCCATTCTCTTCCCTCCCCTCTCCTCCCCCAAGACCTATCATGGATCAAAGGATTTCAGGTGTGGCCTTGTGTCTCTGGGTGCTTCTGTGTTTGCTGTCATTCTCTTCCCTCCCCTTTCCCCCTTCCCCCCCCCCCCCCCGACCTATCATGGATCAAAGGATTAAGGTGTGGCCTTGTGTCTCTCGATGCTTCTGTGTCTGCTACCATTCTCTTCCCTCCCCTTCCCCTCCCCCCCCGACCTATTATGAATCAAAGGATTTCAGGTGTGGCCTTTTGTCTCTCGATGCTTCTGTGTCTGCTGCCATTCTCTTCCCTCCCCTCCCATTTTATGAATCCCCTTTTTTTACGAAGAGAGGTGACTCAGCCATCAGCTCATTCATCATCAAAGCAGTCTGTTATATCATTGTTTTTGAATTGTTGATGAAGATACCCAGGAAACCCAGGGCATGCAGATGTTTTGAAGTCAGGTTTTAATTCTAGATGTCATAATTACTTCTGTGATGTAACCGCCAAATTGCCAGAAAAGAAATTGAAAGTCTGTGCTGTATTTTAATCAAAATGATTCATGCAGCTCATTTTAGCTACTTTAGTTGTGCAATCCGTATCTCTACTACTTTCAGCTTTTCCTAAACGGTCAACACTACGGTGGATGGTTCGGCCCGCACTGCAGAGGCTTGGTGGTCAGCGGTATGATAGGTGGAAAGGTCTATCACGTGGTGTTGGCTGCTTATCCAACCCAAGAATCATTTGAACCCCAACTCTCCAATGAAGTGGTAAGATTTTTACTCTACTCCGATATCTGGACATAGACTCAATCGTACATTTAGCAAATAAGCCTTTTTTTCATCTTTAGTGTGCATAATTCATTTTCTATCCACTTTGCAGGTGATTTCATGCCCTTTACAAACTTTATCCGGGGGACCAGTAGTGTCTTTGGAAGCTGCCACTTCACCCCAGTCTCTTGTGATTGTATGGCCAATCTTCTGTGATCCTAATACTGCTGATATCGTATCTTACTCTGTGATCATTAATGATCAGCCGTTTGGAGAACAGGTGAACACCAAGTTCAAGTTTTTTCCTTGTGAACATGCTTCACCCCATGCTTACCGAATGACATATTCTACTGTTTTTCAGATGAAAAGAATCAGGGTTAGATTGGTTCTTTAGGACACAAATTCAATTGTCCAATATGATGCGATTGGCTTTCCCTTCACAATTCTCCTTTCAAAAAGAAGGCAATCGATTGCGGGGTCATTCGTGTCACGCCCTGCTACCTAAAAATACTTGCTAGATTTAGTGCCTATCCAATCGATACTTGTGATAAGATTTTTGTCGATTTGTATCGGAGATTGTAAATTAAAATGTCAGGTGTATTTTAAGCAGGGCACTTGTTCTTCCACTGCCACGTTTATCGAAGCTGTTTGGTCTCCCTTGAAGCCAAAATACTGTACTGCGCTTTTTGTTTATTTTCTTCCCTCTGTAGTGAAGGTATATTTTCTATTATCTTTGAGCAGGTAATACCGGAATCGGAAAGCGACTACTGTAGAGTAGTATTTGAAAGCAGTTTACAAGATCAGACCTACTCATTGTGTGTAGCTTCTCATTCTCCCGGTAAGTACTTTAACTTAACGTTGTGCGCCGCTTCTTAACTCGTCTAGTCGCGTAGGAACTGCATTTAAAACTGCCGTGATAACGTGGCACATTTGCCTAAGCTGAACATCTCGTTTTTATTTTAAAACAAAATAATAATTTTTTGGTGAACGCATCTATTTAATATTAACTGGCTTTCGAGGAATATGTTTTTTAACTACCTTATATGTGAATTTATGTCTGTGGAGATTGTTGGTGAAGCATTTAATTCTTCTGCTAAAAATTGTATATTTTTATCTTTACTGAATCGGTACTTAAATTAGTTAATGTCCCAGTTTCAGTGGTGATGTATTTGTTATTGAATAATCCGAGTTGACGACACTTATCTGTCTACGTCAGAATGCATAAAAAAATAGTCACAGAACAAATAAACAAAAATATGCTCTATTGTTATATTCTAAGGCTTGTTCGTTTTTTTTTCACTAGCTTTTTTCTTGTTACCTTGTTTAACAATAACATCCAAATCTTTTAGCGAAAGAAAGCATGTTCACAATTTATTTTAATTCCGCTTTTTTTTTTTTTGTACAGGATTAGATGTTTTGCTGTATTCAAATGAGGTAGAATTCTCGCTGCCAATACCAGAGGAAATTCTTGGTCCTCTACGGAAAACAACTACTGAAAATTATTTTGAGGAAGGCGAGGAAATTCAAGATGGCGAAGCCGCGCGGGAGCTGCTATTAGTAGCTGAGCAAGTCACTTCGGGGTCGTGTGTAACAGTTCAGTCGGCTAGGAACGAAGAGCTATCTTTGAAATCAATTATCAGTAAACTGCAGACAATCCCTGAAGATCAACCGCTGATTGCTTTGGCTGCTGAGCCTGATGCAGACGTTGAACAGAGAGTTTCATCTCAAGAGATGGATCATGTACAGACTATGTCAGTAGACAATGAGTCGTTACACCGCCTTGAAGAACAAGAAAAAGTGGCTGGAGATAGACTCGTTCCTTTAGGAGATAAAGAAGCTGATGTGAAAGATGCACCGGCTGACTTGTCCTCAGCTCAGGTGAAAGATGAGACTTGTACTGCAGTTAACGTTGAACTGGACTCTACTATTTTCAGATATCTCGGTGGAAGCTGTCGAGGAACAGAGTCAAGTGCAGAATCGCTGACAGACTCTATAGAAGACAACAAGAGAGTACTTCAGCTACAAGAAGAATATATTGACGAAGCTACAACTAGCCAATCTAATGCTAAAACTGACATTCCTGCACACGTTGTGTTTAGTGAATTAAAAGATGATGTTATTGTTAATCAGTCCGTTGAACACGATCACAAATTAACAATAGAACAAGCGTCAGAGCAGTATGAAGTGACTCAAGAAACACTAGTAAATAGAGAAGTGAAGAGGACTGAGTTTATGGATAATGACAAAAAACCCTCTGAAATCATCGAACAAACGTCTTCACGTGAAACGAGTGCGGATCTTTGGGATCAAAGCGAGAAAAAGGGCGAGGAAGATACAAAAACAAATGAAAATTTCTCAGCTAAACGTGACAAGTTCAATAGTCACGCAATGAGTCACGTAGCCAGCCAGGGTAGTACCGATTATAACAAAGCTGGAGACAATGGTGCTCAGGGAATTTGGGACAATGACAAACCTGAGGTTGAATCAAGAACAGAGCTTGATCAGGATATTGTACGTGACGATATTCATTTCAACGATCTTAGGCACGATGCTTTTATTGCTCAGAGCCAAAGAAGCGAAGTAGGGGAGACAGCTTATGATAGCCCTGAAAAGGTGGTCTGTGGTTTATCTGAACTTGATGCTTCAGACGAGATAGAAGAATCACAAGATAGTGCCACAGAAATAGAGGATGAGAATGTGCGTGGGGCAAATTCAGAGAGAGGTGAATGCCTGGAAAAAGGGATTTTACCCGACTACCTTGCGCAGCTTATTTTAGGGCGCGAAAGGTCAGCGCAACCAGTTAAAACCACAGAACTGAAGAATGGATACCAGCAAGACGAAAGAGATTATTTAGAATCAAAAGATATACAGCTGCAAAATGCCTCCCATGAAGAAGCAAACGGAAAACGTAAAAACGAGAACCTACAAGAAGAGCTGATTGCTGCCGCAGTCGAAGTGTTACAAGATTCACTAAACAGTTTCACACAAGTGGAAGACAGAGCCATTTCAATGTCTAAAGGAAAAGATGAAGTCGAAGGACCAAATAACGAACGGCTTAAGGAATGCACCAACTCTGAAAAGGTCGTGTGTGGAGAAAACCAATCAGCAGATTTAACACCGCAGGAAACGAACTGTGTTACTCTTTCATCTAAACATGCAGGAGACGGCAACAATGTCCGATTTGAAGTTGTGGACGACATTTGGTCGGCGTTAAGTAGCAATGGTTCAGTGAAGAATGATAACGACAGAATAATGACTGTTGCTATAGAAACAACAGAGATGCCCACCTTCGAAGAATCATCAGTCGTTGATGATCCTATGTTCGCGCTCAACAGTAATCAAGATGACGTAGACTTCCAACTTGAAAGTGGAAATAGGGAGTCCAACATGAAGGGAGAGGAAGCAAAAGATCGTTTCCAAGGTAAGATATTTGTCGAGCGCCTAAGTGTCTTTTTTGTCTTTGTTTTGTTTGTTTGTCTGTTTTTTTTTTATATAGGATGGTATGTGGTGTAGGCAGGATGGAAACCATATTTAAGCACCGCTTTCACCTATGTGACATCTGGGTTTAAGGGAGATTTCAAGGGTATTGTCACGTGCTCTCTCAATTTGTTTAGGTATTTTCTGATATTCTTTTTTCGGATAATTATTTATTCAAAACACCTATTTGACGATGTTGTGTTGTCAGATGTCCGGAGGTTTGGTGTCACCCAGTTGCTTTGGTGTCCCTCTTCTGCAAAGGAAATTACCAACCTCTTCTGTCGCGACCTTATACGTCACCCCAAATACAATAGACTTAGTATGTCAAACAATGACAATTGTGTGCCTTTGTGTACTTTATATACTTTCATTGAAATAGAGGTAGTCTTGCTTGCCTTTAAGAGTAGCCAAGTTTTTTCAAATGCTTTCAGGCGCGAGTCAAATCAAGTTGTATTTTTTACCATTCGTAACATGTGCATCGTCACTGACTGATTGTTTGGGCATCATCTGTTAGGAGAGGTATTGGAAACAAGTTACGACAAAAATTCTGCAGATGGATCCGAACATCTTCCCAGACCTCTTCTCGTAATCAAAGGAACAACGCCCACCGCCGTGACTCTGGAATGGGAATGGACTTTGCAGCCCGAACAGATCGCCGGCGCAGATATTGTCTACTCGGTGTTTTCCCTTGGTAGGAAATTTCACAGCGACATTAATAGCAATTTTTGGTAAGTTTTTGCATAAAGAAAGCCCAGATTGTACTAATTTCGTGCGTTTTAAACTGTTGTGATATTTCAATTGTGTTTAAATATTAAATTATGTTTCTACAGTTTCAAATTTGAAGACAGTCCAGTAAAGACAATGTGGCCAAATGAAATCGTAAGTAAAACTAATTTACTAAACAAAATGGATTGTTTTCATTACTTGACTGACCTTAAACAGCTCATTAGAAGTCCTCGTGCATCATTAAAACACGCTCGTGTGAACCTTTTTTTTTATTGATTAATTTAATTTATTTGACTATTTATTTCGTTTAGTTCTTCATATATCTATATACTCACAGGCTAACTTAAAACAACACGCATGGCGTACAACTGGTAGAGTTATCGAGATCACTGGTTTAAGACAACGTTGTAGTTACAGGTAAGATAGTTTGATGCTGTATTACCGCAGTGTACTTACAGCACATTCCTCACATCTCTACCTCAATTTTGTCTTTATAGAATGGCCGTTCTGGGCCAGTTGATGCCATGTGCTGGCGAAAGCCTGTCTCATGTTATTTCCTTTACCATGCCCGGGGCGCCAAAGTCACCGGTGCTCCACGTCAGAGACCTCCAGGATAGACAGGTACTGATAACTTCCTTTGGTATTTGTTCTGCAAAGAAAAAGTGAATTCAGCTTGCTTCTTACTGATGTCTACTTCACTTTGGGTATAGATGGCGTCTCCTGGTTTTATCTGGCCGTGTCCACGAACATTCATTCTTTGTATTTCAGGTTACTCTGACGTGGAAGCCGTCCACGTCATTCGGAGATGCAACTGTCGTGGGATATAGACTGCTGAAGGATGGCAAGGCATGCAGGGAAGACTTAGCCTCTGAAACTCTCAGCTTATGTTTAGCTGGTTTAGAGGAAGGTTTGCGTCAATTTACATTTTGAGAACCAACAAGCGGACGAGTCGATTGTTTGATTTTCCTTTTGCCTCAATAGATTTTGTTGTCTAAGGGTGGTTTAGGGATGAAAACATGGCTAAAATTGTTTAAAGTTCGTTACAGTTAAAATTTTTATCATTTAAAAGCAACTGTAGAGGTTTTTGTATCGGGTATTTCTATCTTGCGATCTTAACTTGTAATATATCTGTATTTCTTTTATCAGGTATAATTCATAACTTCAGTTTAATAGCTGTAACTGGACACAATGTAGGAGACAGCAAACCTTCCAATACAATCATTGTGCACTGTCCTACTGTACCTGAATCTCCAGAAATCTACATCATAGAATCGTCAACTTGGGGATCTATATGCATCGCCTGGAAACGCAATGAGCCAGTGAACTCCAGTTACTCAGAGAAGCATGCGCAGTACAGCTACTGTGTCTATGTAGATGGAGTACTACATGGGGAATGTGCTCTGGATGATGTGACCGACATATTCTCAGATGAACACACTTATACCATTACAGACTGCACTTTTGAGCGAAAGTACAGTCTGAGCGTTAGAAAATATCTAAATCCAGATGTAGTTACTGGTGAAGATAAAAATAAGGTTTACGTGTGTGGTTGCTATGGTGAGAGCTCCAACATTTTGGAGGTTTACTGCGCAGGACCACCATCTCCCCCTGTGCCTCGGGTTTCTCGTATTGACCAATCAGGAGTCACCTTGTCATGGAGCAGGTCACGTGAATATGGTGGAGTTGCTTTAGCGGTATGTTTGCATTTTTTTATTAAGTGAACAATACCACAGGTTATATGGTCCGTATTATCAATCTTATTGTCATTTATGATTATTTTTCCTTGTTTTAGGGCTACATTCTTCACGTTAATGGTAAATGGTCAACAGAGCTGTTTTCCCCGGAACAACAAGACACAAAATTAACAGGTTTTAGGTTAGGAGAGGTTATCCGCGTCCAAATGGCTGCAGTCACTTCAGATCGTGGCGTTCCGATATCAGAAATAGTTAACCAGGAAGTCAATAAACCGCATTTCTTTCCATCATCAGTTGAATTACTTGATAGTGGTGTGGAAAGCAGCTCGAGTTTCCTTTCCAAGGGTTCAGTCGACCATACGAAACAGCTATCACGCTCTCTAGGGCCGCCATTGCTGATCCAGTATTCCAACTTGGTCAGACAAATTTCCAGTTTTGGACTCACCAATGTATGCTGTCGTTCTGTTTCCATTACATGGTCATTGGATTTTACTGCTTCTTGTTCCGTTGATCCGGAGATACTAAATGCTGTATGCTGGAAAACTACAGAACAACGAACATCTGCTATGAGACACAGGATTGAAGGTAAGGGCTGTGCAAATTAATGTGAATATTTGATATCATCAGATCTTGACTTACAGCTTATCACTTGGAAATGTTCAGTTACCAGCATCAGCTCCTAGGCAAGCAATCGTGCGCAAGCTTTTCACGTGCACAGTGAGGGCAATGTTTTTATCCGTCAATACAGGCACCAAAAAAGGTGACGAGTGGCTAAGGTGGGGTGAAAGGGCGGTCAAAATTATGAAAGAAATTTTTAACGCATTTTCCGTGTTCAAATAGATTTACCCTCCCTTCCCCTTGTCCCCTCCAAATAATTATGTTCTAATTATGTTCTGTTTTACTCGTTGAAAACTGCTCTTTTCTCTCAATAGAGAAGCCTTTCAGAATCAAAGACCTAGAACCGGGCATGGAGTACTATGTAATGTTGGAATGTTTTGCGGCACACGTTAATGACGACAGTTCCAATGAACAACCAATAAACCGTACTCAGTCCCAGCCCATCTCGTTCAAGACGGGCATAGCGCCAGGCCCTCTAACTAATATTTACGTGGTCTCAGCTACAGAGCAAAGTATCAAACTAGCCTGGAAAGCTCCTGTAGAACACGATGTCCCAGCAGCCATGATTCGAGTGAACGTAAAAATGACCAATCAACATTCAACTGATCAAGGCGTAGACTTTCATGTCTCCCCCGACTCCAACGTTTTTGATTTTGAACACTTGGCTCCAAGAACCATATATACATTTACTCTGAAAGTCTTAACTAAAGATGACATCTTCGACATCCCTGAAGGGGGAAGTACTTCAGTTGCGAGTTTCTGTGCGTCGACAAACGGCGTAGATGCCGCCGACAAACTTAAACTTACGTCACGCTCTCCTACCTCACTTGCTATTAAATGGCAGTCGGCAGTGGCCTATGGTTTGTCTATCATTCGGCACCACATAGTACATTATGTCGAAAACAGACAGCAACGAAAGAGGTCACGTGGTAAAGTGGTACAGGAAGCGGAGACTGTTAATGATTTCCTCGTCGAGAGCGAACGCTGTGAAGCAGTGTTAAGAGGACTGGAACCTGGTAGTGTTTATAGGATCATTGTTCAGACGGTTGAAGGAATTATGGACTATTCGTATGAGGAAGACTTTGACAGTGACCATAGTGACACGAATTCCACAAACAGTAGCGCTCCAAGTGAGAAACCTGCTGATTTGCAACGAATTTACCTATCAGGACCCCTGTTAGTTTCTACCACTGCCCCACCTGAATCGCCTGTGCTTATGGTTAGCGGTTTTACTACAACTCAAATTCATCTGTCATGGAATAGACCTCTGGTTCTCTCGCCAGGTGAGGAAGTTAACAGTTGTTTATTATATACTTTCCTCGAATTGCCTGCTTACGTGCCAGAAACGTCACTCCATTTTGGCTCTGCTCGTATCAGGCAAAAGTTGGAAGTGCCTCATTCTTCCAAATTTGTGTTTAAGGTGCGTTATCTTTTTCAAAAAACTAACAGAACATAGGATTAATTTTTTAATTTCTCACCCGGCCCAGTCACTGATGATGAGGAAATTCCATGTGGTCGCGTGCGTCATTTAAAGGGTTTCCGTGTGCAAATGAATGGCCGCGTGTTCACCAGATTAACCGCTGATAAGAAAAACATTACTATCAAGAAATGCAAATCAGGAATGAAGTACACTTGTGTTGTTGTGGCTATGACTTGTCCAGAGATGTTTGGTTGTCAACAAAGGAAGGTTAGTTAAGTAGTTTTATGTTGTGTTATATTTCTCGCGAGTTTTTCCTGTACTGAACTTAGTTGTAGTCGACGCTATAGTTATTATTATAGTTATTATTATTACTATTATGATTATAATTCTTATTATTATTATCTTTATTATTAGTATGTCTTTTATTATTTTCACGTATATACTTACCTTTAAAACCTCTAATCATCATCCGTCGTTTGGAATTAGAACGCCTCTGAACATAACTCTTTGTCCATACCACTTTGCGCTTCTAACACAAGATGAAACACTGGTACTCAATCAAATAGGCTTCTAAACATTTAGATTTGAAGTTTTTTCATGTAGTTATCAGTTTTTTCAGTGATGTATTTTGTACCTTCTTGTGGCCTGTTGCAGAGTGAACCGTCTGACTCAACCATCAGCGGCACAGACACAGATGAAGATGACATTAAATCCTCCTTGTACTGTTTCGAAGAGTCGGCCTCAGATCCCGTCGAAGTTACTTTACCTCGTCAGGACTGGGGAGTTTGTTTGAGAGTAGATTATTGTGCAAGTAGGCCTGCCAGCTCGTTGGGAAGCAGTACGTGTAGTGAGACTGGTGACGAGGAGGGTGGAGTGGTAGCTCGGTGGAATTTGATGTCTGACGTCGCAGTTTATACGAGTGGATATAGACTGGTGTGGTATTGCAGTACACTTGAATATCGGATGGAAGTCTTCTTACCTGGGAATGTAAATGAATATGGAATCTGGTCTGTATCACCGAGGTAACACTCAGTTAACAGCAACATTTTGATTTTCTCACTCTTTGCGATTGTATCCTCCTCAGAGGCACGTAAGGTTGTGATGCACTGTGGGTGAACTTCATTGATCTTGAATTTAGTTCAGGTGCGCCTGCACTAATTTGTCTTGTTCAGTACTTTCGCTCAATTTTTTTCTTTTTCATTTTCCGTCTTTTTTACCAGTGCTGTTTACACTATTTACTTGGAGTTACTTGACGAAACAAAAGAAGCCAAAGCTGTGTTTGGTCCGGTTCATTGTCAGGTAACTTTTACATGATCGTTCCCACACCTCCACCTCATAAAAGGACACCCCAACTGCTTTTTTTTCAATTCCTTTCAGCTCCCAATATTTCACCAAAGGAGTAAAATAAACAGCTCTCAAACACTATGGCTTGTGGCCTTGTACTTTGTGGCCTTTAACATATGACGTAAACGCTGTTTTCTCCTCATTGAAAATTCTCTTTACAGAGTCCCCTCCCCTTTTTTCTCCTTTTCAAAAAATTTCCCTTAAATTTTCTCCTTTCTCCTCCCACGTATGTCTTGCTGTACTTTGTGGCTTGCAAACTGTTACTTTTTTATCTAGACACCAGGCCCTCCCGCTTCTCCATGGATCTGGTGCCGAACTTTGTCTCCGTATCAGATCACTATCGAGTGGAATGAACCTGTTACATACGGGGATGTTTGCATCCGGGGTTATCAGGTTAGTTTCCTTATAGTTTACAGAGAACCACTCCTCAAAAACAGAGATAGAATTTTGGTGTTGTTGGCAAATCACGACGTGTTGGAAGTGATGACCTGAAAGTTGCGGCCTTGCAAGAAATTTTCTTTTGAGCCAAAATGACAAATGATAGGTTTAACAAATGTTTTTCGACACCAGAGACCACACACTTACATATGGTTCACCAGTCACCTTAAATATATTTTTTGAAATATGTCTTGTTTGTATATAAATTAATTCCTTAACAGCCTTTGTACGGAACAACATACCTTAGTCAGTGTCGGTAAAAACCCGAAAGTAGTGATAAAGAAGACATTGCTAAATCTATTTTAAACTGAACCTGGTTATGTTCGTAGAGCCCTTCAACGTTGTTCTCCGATGAAAAATTTATGATGAGATAATTTTTCCATTTCTCTACATACAGGTTTATCTTAACGACCGTCGCTTGGAGAAATTAGTTAACCGAACGCAAAGACGAGTCACTATCCACTGCCAATCATCCTGGTAAGAATGCTGTGACATGTCACAAATCTACCTCTTAGCTGTCACATTGAGATGGAGGTGAAAAGCTGTGTAATACTTTAAGTCACAATGTTTTGATGCATATTATGCAAAAAGGGCATAAACCGAGATATAGTCGAGCTTAACACTAAGAATGCTATCAATTTTAGTAAAGTGACCGAAAAAAATGAATAAAATCACTTAAATCTGAAAATTTACGTTTTAAATTAACTTTAGTTTAATGTAGATCAACAAGAGATGACTTTAGCTGCTGTCTGTTTATAAGGGTTTCTCATTTTAATTAACTTCAGTCTTTCGATATGAGGGGAGCTTAAATTGAATAGCAATTTAAAATTGTTTTCCGTAGTTGCTTAGACAACAAATAGAATTATTTATTATCTTGCTTTTACTCCTGGGAATTTCGTCTTCCTGTCCATGTAACTACACTCTACAACTCAGTCGCCGAACGACCATCTTTCGATTGACTTGCGTTAATATCAAATTCTTGGTCTCGTCATTCCATTATTAGAGAATGTGAAGTGTAATTTGAATGTGACCCTTGTATGATTTTGTTTTTTAGTGATGTACATCCATACCTGTTTGTGTTCGTGTTATCTACTTTTATGTTTAATCGTACTTTATGGATTTTTTCTGTTATATCAAATGTGTTCTTTGATGATGTAGTAGAAAACCTTTCGAGAACATATACGTGATATTTTAAGGAAGCATCAGTCAAGTATTCAGGCATATCATCGTAACACATCATCGACCGAACACCTCGGTAAATAAATTGTGCTAAACACCTGCTTGAGAATTTTTCTTTTCGTTTAATCTCTTGTTGATAAACTTGCATCGTGTTTCATTTAATCCCACGCGCTTAGCTCTCCGCTTAAACGAACTTAACTTAAAAAGCGCTATGAAAATCTCGAGGCAGCACAACTTGTTTTTGTGTTTGGTTACTAGTCTTAAATATCTTTAGGACTCATTCTTTATATCTGCTACTGTTAGGGTTAAGTTTGAGCAATAACTTCTTGGACATGAATAAAAATAGTTTAGACATTTATCGCGAGTATTTCTAAAGTTTTGTTACAGAGAATTTGTACTTTCTCTAAACGATCAGTTGCTTTATTTTCTGATGTACTATGATAAATTTTTTACACGCGTTACAGAAAATCTAGCGATTGATCTTTGATACGTGTTGATAGCTGCTGTATTGTGTTTTATTTCCCTCCAGTGTGTACCGTGTATCGCTCGTAGCTCTTGGATCTGATCCTCAGTATGGTGACTCTCCCCCGTCCAATGTCCTGAAGCTCTGTACTCCTGTTGCTCAAGACAGCTTAATGAGACGTAGACCTTCAGGGGGGGTCAGACGACCATCTCTTGACTTCACCGTTAATGTTTTATCTACTTCAAATACAAGCATCTCATTCGAATGGACTCATCCCCCGGAAATATGTAAGTTTCTGTCTGACAACTACCATATGTCTACACGTGTGGGTGTATGCGCAGTTCTTTAAACGGCAACAAGTCTATCCCATAGTATTGAGAGATGTTGCTAGTACATATTTGCTCAAGTTTACGTCATATTTGCCTACAGAGGGAAAATTCCGATTGAGACTTAGACGCTCTTAGTCGGCTACATTTATTCACCTTGAGTTGTTGCGGAAGTCTGGTTTCTGATTAGCTATTGTGATTTGTTGGGGTTAGGGTTAGGGGGATGGGGGCGTAGGTGATGCAATACTCGTTTAAAATGGGTTCTTGTGAATCTCTCTCCTCTCCCTGGATCGAGGATTGTAGAGCGAGGACCTCTATGGATGAACGATAAACTTCCCTCACGTGTAAAGTCACGTGACTTTCATTGGTTTCTTCTTTTTGTAAAGCTTACACGAGTACAAAGGACCAGGCCTCAACCGTTTGTTTCTTTGATGGAGTTTTGAATCCTCCTGAGGCAAAAGTTTCCTGGCACAAAGAAGAAATTGCAGACATTTTTTAATTCTGTGTAACCGTTCTTTTTCTAGTGGATACCGCTGATCATTATGTCATCAAATGGAGCTCTGTTCTCCAACCGCAGGTTAGAATGCACCAGTTAATGTTTCGTCTCGTCAAAGGCTATTGTTTGCTCCTTATTGCGGTTAGTTTAGAGGTCAATAGTTTTTTTTGTGTACCTTTTAGGCTCATGAGCTAACATTACCATTGACTCGGACCTGTCACGTGATTGAAGACTGTTCCCCAGGAACCAATCACTTTCTTGTTGTTGCAGCCGTGAATGCTAGTGGCGGCCTGGTTTCTAGGTCAGAGCAGTATTCATTACAAACGTTGGCTCCTGTTCAACAACCTGTCCTTAAATTGAGGTATTCTCTTTGTTAGTGATTGGATTGCTCCCTAAAGACTCGGGAATGTTTGCCTAGTAAGGTCTTGTTCTTCCTTTTGACAGATTTTGTCGTCAGGCGAGTATAACAATTGAATGGAGCAAGCCAGCTACTTTTGGTGATGCTGAAATTGATCACTACGAGCTTATGGTATGTTCTTATGAGTTATTTAACAAATCTCTATAGTATCTTTTGAGTGTGTTTATTTTGTTTCAATTATAATGGCTGACATCATTTCTCACCATATGCAGAAATTTCTCACATTTCTTTGGGGCGGGAGGTTCACTAGGTAACAGAATCCAAGTTAAAGTTTGCTGAACCTTGTTCTTTTCATTTTCTTTTTTTCCTTTTTAGGTCAACAGCAAATCAGAAGCACAGCTGGATGTTGAGTGTAGTGAATACAAGTTTAACACCTGTGATCCTTGCCAAGTGTACACATTTGTTTTAAAAGTAAATTTTTTTAAAAATCCTTGGAAAATCTTATGTGATTAACTTTTCTTAAAGGTTCATTTCTTTTGCCTTTTAGGCAGAAATTTTAAAATATGAAATTCACGATGAAATCCTTTTCTCTCCCTAGGCTCTCAGCATTAAACCAACCTGTGATAGCAGCTGGTCGGAGCCTTTGGTAGTTACGTGCCCTGGTTCTGCGAAGCCTCAGATCACTAGGATCCAGTCTCAACAGGTCAACTGTATAAGTTTAGGATGGAAGCCACCACTTCTCAAGGGTGGAGCGGTGTTGGATAGTTACAAGGTGATAAAACTTGACCTTTCTTTCATGAGTGTACTATAGCATTGGTTGTTTTATTACAATATGCGAATTTACATGTGTCTGCTTCCCTACGTTGGATTATCATGTTCACTTTGTTGCTTTTTTTAAATGTAGCATGCACACACATTCTTTCCTTCTTTCTAATGTGCGTCCCAATCTGTTTGGGTATTTGGTGTTAGGTTTATTACCTAGAAGATAGTGGTGAATTGGTGACGAGTGAAGACCTCAAAACAAATAAAGAGACAATAAAACATGGTCCACTACCCAGCCAAACTGAAAAGGATGAACTTCTTCCTGTGTCTCCTGACCGTTACTACTGGGTCATGCTGCAATTGGAGCTCTTACCAGAAGATTGCCGGGAAGTTTGCTCTGAGCCAATCAAGACACGCGCTGCTGTGTCGCCTGACCCACCTCTGATTAGTTTAGAAGTCGAGTGTTTGGACGAGAGGAGGAGACTGGAGAAGATAATATGTGAACTGACTTACAAGAGAGACAGGTAGAGTTTTATTAGTGAATAGGGTTTGTGACAACATTTTAGTAACAACTATGTCTTTCCTTCATTAGGCTTCAGAGGATGGTTAATTTATTGGAAAACAGCATTGTTGTAAAAGGATCTAAGGAGAAAGATGACAAGGTAACACATTCCGTTTATTTTAGATTCCCTGACACGACCATGTCGTGTCATTTTACTATCGACAACTGAAGCAAATTTCATTTTTCTTTGAATTGCGAAAGCCTCAGGATTGGCAATCATGTATATTGAAATCTACACAGTAATTAGATGATTATTTTACACTCCGTTACAGATTGCTGAGGCCACCAACTCTATTTTGGAAATTCATTCAGAACTCTCCGACGCACTAAAAGATATCAAAGAATTCACAGGTTAAAAATCTACTCCTTTTCATATTTATTACTATGATCAATGTGGTTTGTGACTTAAGAAAGAAGTCTTTGAACTCGATTGTCTTAACACAAAGTGTGAGCTGAAAAATATGATGTTGGGGAATCACCAACGTTGTGATTTATATTCCCTGGTAAGTATATGTAAATTGCTTGCTGGTCATCATATGCTTTTCTCGTATCTAGGATCTATTTCAACTCTTATAAGATGGTCTAGACCACGTGACGATGGAGATGCAGTTGTGAGCGGTTACCAGGTTTTTGTTGATGGGTTCCGTTACGGCAAGATTCTATCACAGTGGAGCTTAGAAACCCGTTTGAAGGTATTTTTTTTAACCAACCAATTTAACCTATGCGGCGTATTTCTGATGTGATGTCGTGAAGGACCTTAGTGTACGTTTGACTAGTTTTTTGGTTTTTTTATGCCATCAGTTGTCTGTTGATTGTCACGTGATTGCTGTGCAGACACTCACTGATCACCCAGTTGGACCCAGTTCTCTTTCCAATGCAGTTTCACTGTCTGGCCGTGAATTTGATCCTTTTGTGTTATTCTGTTACTTTGACGTACACAAAAGAGGTGAAAGGTGTGTAACATTTTTACTAATCGAAAGGCTTCATTACCTCGCCACGCCCTGAAATACTCTTTTCAGAGGGTTTTGGTCATAATGAGGACTGATAGCCATGTTACTGCCCAGTGATATAAAAAATCAATGTGAAACAGGCTGATTAGAATTGCGGCAAGGATAATTAAGAACTTTTCTTGAGCTATGAAATGATTTAAAATGAATTAGGATTAGTTTTGTGAGTGTGAAAAAATGTTGGATTTTGGGAGGGGGTGGGGCGGGGAACTTTGAACCGGAATACCTTGGGTTTGTTCATGAATGAGCCCATAATTTGAGGCTAACTGAACCTCTGGCAGGTGCGATAAACCAACGTCTCAGTAATGTTTAGTATTTGTAAATCTGGTTTTCTTAATAATAATTGCGGCTGTTTTTGTTTCAGTTGGCCAATACATGGCTGCTGTGACTGGGACGATTCTCATTCTTTCGAGCATAAACACAGGAGTCAGTCTTCAGGTCGAGTCTTTATACCACGAGGAATCCTGGCCCGTAGAATTCCTTGTCCTGTGTTTAGTGTAATGGACGTTTTCAGTGCTCTTTGGCGACCAGTAGCTACTCTTGGTCTCAACAGGATGGTTGCTTTGCTGTTTTGGACAAAGTGGTAAAATTCATCGTCATTGCCTTTCGGTTTGTCTATCTGTTTGTCTTTATCGTTCGTCCTGGCTATCTGTGTATTTATCTGTCGGTATGTTGGTCTGCTATAATCTCTCCCTGTCACCGTCGCTCTTTTTTGTTATTGTGTCTGTCTGCTATGTTTGTCGGTCTGGTTTTAAACACTTGCATGCGGTAAACTCCAAGCTTCTTAAGGGGGATAAACTATACTCATGGCAGAAAAACTTATCTGGTAATTTCAGGTGTTTTTCGTCACTAAAGGTCATGGAGTATTTCGTTCAGTTTGCTGAGGAATTTAAGGATGAGGTAGGTGTACACAGAGCGCCCCACCCCACCCTCCTGTTTAAAGCACTCATACAAATCTTAAATCACAGGGAGGTATAAAAAATTCTAAGGGATGGAAATATAGTAGGTACTTGGCGTTAGTTGATACTAGCGTCAACATTTGACTCAAATTCTTGAGTGGCTCGGTTTTTGCGGCTTGGTTGAATCTGATAAAATGGAAGCAAAGAAAGGAAAGAAAGCTACATAGGAATGTCAAATAGAAACCATAAGCGGGAATCACAACATGAGGTTCACAGACTGGTGTAATATCGTTATTTCTTGTAATTGTTTCTTTTTTTCGTTCACTTTTAGTTCTCATTTGTCGCATGTTGTGTGCGAAGTGAAGAACCAATTGCTTCTCATCGCCAGGCTCTTGCAGACATTTTGACCGAACGAGGATGGCACAAAGGTGGCAACTGCGTTACACACACTTGTGGCTGCCATTCCCAGAGTAAGCGGACTCGCAGTGCACGTCGAGGCGCATCAAGTAGCCCGGATGTTTGTCAGTTGTTTGGCCTGGTTGGAACACCCACACTTTTTCTGTTGGACACCTCAAGTAAAAAAATAAGAATACTTTTATGTTGTATATTTTAATTGTATATAGCACGCAATAATTAATTGTGCTCTTCGTGTGCGCAGATTGCTTATCTCTGGAGTGATAAGCTAAAACTATTGATGTATCATTGAGGCCAAAAAACCTTTTTTAAGCAACGCACTATACGGGAATTTCACCTTACAACGAACACATCGTTTTTTTTTGTTTTTGACGCTGCAACGAAGATTACCTGTGCAGATACGCAGATACACACGCAATAGTAAATTTTGCTTTTCGTGTGCGTTGATTGGTTCTCTCTGAGGTGATCAGCCGGTACTATTGACTTCTTTTATTAAGGCGAAATGTCGTTTTTAAGCAACGCACCATAGGAGAATTTCACATTACAACGAACACATGGTTTTTTTGTTTGTTTGTTTGTTTTCTTTTTTTGTTTTGTGACGCTGCATCGAAGATTACCAGTGCAGATACGTAGAAAGTTTAACGAATTGATAGGATTATGTTCAACTTTTATTACAAACTAGAGCTAAAGCAGTGATAGTAGTGTTTCATTTCCATTTGTTTTCAGGTTACATTTCATGGCACGGCCGCTGTTCTTGTCAGGACGCGTCAAGTTTTCGCTTATTTCTTTTGCACATCTTTTCTCATGTAAGTCAGACTCTCTGCCGAGTGTCCAGTTGCAAGTACTGTGAAAGCGACAGAGAGTATGAACAAGAAACCAATAGCTCTGACGACGAAAAATACGCCGAAAATATTGCAGGTCAACAACATAGAGAATCATCTGAGCTGAAGTTTTTACATCAACGACTTCACGGAACTAAATCAGACAGCGCTTCCTCAGGGACACTTTTGGTGCCTGCAGGCTATAAAAAGGAACGTGCCAGACCAAAAACAACCACTGCTTTTGGTCGCTTTGCAAGTTCATCTAGTTACAACAGCTTAAGAGGGTTTGTTGAACCGTACAAAAGTTACCCCCGTTCTTTTAGTGCACGTGGATTCATTCATTCATCCAATCAGAATGACTCTGGAGGGTCGGAGTCATTAGCAAGGAAACATCGTTCTGGCACTCCACAAACTAGTAACCAATCCCCTTCTGGCAGACTCGCGCTCCCGGTTATTTCCCGGCAAAGAATAAAGAGATCTCATCCACACGACCGAGGCTCAACGCCAAAAGTGAAAACGAAGATATCTATTGATGATTTTGATCTCTGTTAGAAATTATCTCCAGAGAAAAATAGAAAAATTTGACAGAATCGTATTGAGCTCATTACGAGGATAAACATTCATCAAAGACGCAATTAAGATGTTTTGTAACAAATAATAATTAATGAAACCAGTAGGAATTTCTGACCAAGTGAAGGGTTAGGGTGACTGGATATTGATTGAAAATAGAACGAGCTACATCAATCTCAAACAGGTTAAACAGACTTGGTCAGCTTATATCGTCAGACTTGGTCAGACTTTTTTCAGCTTATATGGCCAGTAGATGGCACGAAACATCTACACTTCTCGCATCAATATCAGTGTCTGGGCAACTGCCCACCTACCCCTCCCTTAACCCAACATTAACCCTGACTTGTTATCAATTGACTGTTGTTGAGTTAGGGGAGGGGTAGGTGGGCAGTTGTCCAGATACGGATATTGATCCCACTTTTCTTAGGTAAGTCCCACTTTTAGTTTAAAATTGTTTAGAAAATAAGTTATATTTTATTTATACAGAGATAACCCTACACTTTCGTCCTGGTGACGTTAAAAGGCACAAACGTATTTTGTTTACTCTAAATGAGCGTTTTTGTATCAATCTATTTACTCATTTTGATTACACTAAATCAGTGTTTTTGTATCACTCTATATTTTTTTTGTTCACTCTAAATGAGTGTCTTTGTATCAATCTATTTAGTCATTTTTTTACTCTAAATGAGCCTTTTTGGAGCAAGGTACTTCACGATGAAGACCGCGGTTCGCGGAGACGAACGCATGTTTTGTTAAGAGGGAGCGTGTTTTGGAGCGTGTCTTTAAGCCTTTAATTCGGCTGAAATTAACTGGAGAGCGCTTGGAGAGTTAGCTGTTAAGACGTGCGCATGCGTAAGAAAAGTGGTTAACTTTGGCGGGTATAATCATTGCCGGGGCGCGTTTTACGTGAGAATGTGCTTCAATATATGAAAGCATGCATAAGGGAATACAGTAGGAACAGTAACAGCATGGTAAGTACAAACAGGTTGTGATAGTCCAATTATATGGATTTTTCAACAAAAAAAAAAAAAAAAAAAAAAAACAGACATGGGACAGCACAGAGAAGTACTTTTGTGGAGTTGGAAGTTTTATGATGCAAGCAGTACCAAATGCCAAAGGCACTAAAGCGTCTTAGAGCTCGTTCTGTGCAGCGTGTGGGACCACAAGTTTTAATGCAATGGGGCACATTTCGGGAGCGCGGCCATGAAGGGAGACTGAACCTTTCCCAAGGGATGAAATAATAAAAAAAAGACTTGCCAATTAGAAATATTCCTGTGCACACTCTGGTGGTTGTGCTAAAAGGCCAGGGCAATGTATAATTCTATATCTTTTTTGTAATTGTGATTTTGGAGTAGACATTGTTTGAAGGAAAAAAATAGTAAAATTTATTCCAAAATTATGTGCAGTTTTGCATTCCTTTCCATGTAAAATGTCCCCTATAAGAGCAGTTCAGATGAATGTTGTTCTCTTTAATCCACTAAGTTTATGCCAGTACAAGCTATACATAGATATGTTTTTTCTCAACAAAACTGGAATTTCAAATCACTTGTGGTCTGGCAAGTTATTCAGTAACCTGCAAGCCAACCTGAAAAACCCTCTGGTTTCTGGCATGGGTCAGAGCTGTTGAAAAATTTACTTGACTTTGCAGAAGAAGATGAGCTCTACCAGTTAAAGATGACATCATGATCATCAAAACAGGAAAGGAACTCATCTTGGTCCATTATTTTAACCTGTACATGGAGCCTGTCACTTTCCACTCCACCTGCTTTTGGGCTGACAGTGATGATGGCGTATTTCTGCAATGATTTACTTGATAAGATCAGGCCTGTATCCCACATTTTCGTCCCAGCCTTTTCTACATGTTTTGAGAATCCAATTGTGTTCATCATCATCTGGTGGAAAACAATAATGATAGTTTCACTGTAGATAGTTTGAGTAAAACAGATCAGCTGCAAAAATTCAACAATTTCTGGTAAAGGTAATGAGTGAATAGGAAACTGACTTTGGTTTGCTTTTGTATCAAAAACTATACATATTGATGGTGCGTGGACTTCTTTTCATATTATATTTACTCACTAACCTGCATTTCGAAGAAACTTGTGATCATAGTCAACAACTACTCTCGATACAGGGTTGTAAAAACCATCGCCACAATCATAGCAACCTTCTGGAATCTCTCGAGGTGGAATACGATTTGTGAGCTGGGATCGCCCTACAGGGCAACAGAAAGAACATTATTAGAAAAAGGGAATTTCCTATTCCAAACCTTGCATGTGCATCTAACAATAGTAACAATGAAGTACCTGCTGGCTTAAGTCCATGGCAGATCTCTGTATAAAATCTTCTGTCATATCCATCGCAGTACTCCCAATCCTCTGCATCATATTCTAAGCCATCAGCAAATGTATATTTACCCTGGAAAGCATGTACCACAAACTCTGCATTATCAGTTTGTTGAGCTGGTGAAAAGCTTAAAATATTTTAGTTTAACCCACCCTACTCCCCTCCAATGTGAAGGCAAAAGTTGGGAGAGGAGAGGTTCAGGGATGAGAAACCATTCAACCTCAATTTCTAAAGCAACTTAACAAATGATTCAGAGCATTTTGATAGCAATTTTGTTTTTCTTTATGTTTTCAGTTCTTTCTAAGTTGGTTACAATGTTAAACGTACCTCAACAGCAACTCCTTTCTCCCATTTTCCAACATACTTGCTTCCATTTGAGAAAAACAAAGTCCCTTCCCCATGAAACCTTAACCAAAATTAGCACATTTCAATAAAGGAAATTTAATTCAAATTGTGACACTATAGAGAATGAAATGCAACAGATAAAGAGGTATAGTACATTAATCACTATAGCTACTGATTGATCACAGTATGAAAGGATTGAGATTTAATCCATGAATTTTCATCAGCAAAAGAAACAAATCTTTTACATTGAATCCAAAATCAAAACTGACAATATTTAGAAAAAATTATATCTAGGAACAGCATTGAACAAGTAATGGAAAAGACATCATGAAGGAAAATGCTGGAACTCAGGACTTTCGCCTGGAGCAAATGTTCGGAGTGAAAAAAGAACAATCAGTTCTAAGAATGCAACATCTTAACTGGCTCCCCACAGGTAACATGTTAAATAAAGATCAAAAGAAAGCAAGCAAGCAAGCAAAATTACTCAACATAGCAAATAAGTTTCGTGCGTCACACTTTGTCACGCTATATTGACAAGTGCGTCATTCATAAACGTGCGTGACGTCAAACAAACTAATTGCAAATTATTTCTAGTTCTCGATTATTTGATGAAAATTACACAAAAGTAAAAACTGTAAAGAAAAGATCACTGAAATTTACACTAGCTGACTATAACATCCGTTACCGAAAATGTATAAATCGTTATTTAGGACACGTTCACTTTGACATCCTTAATGAATTTATGTGATGACGACAAAACCACTCAAAGTAACGGCAACCGCTTACCGGGAACGTATCCCAAAAGGAAAAAAATAAAATGAACTTACATTCCATCGTTCATTTCGCCGACGTATTTTGTTTCAAGTGACGGAGGCAAAGTGTATTCCGCTTGACCTTCCATTCTGGAATTATGAACACAAATGTGATTACTATAGCTAGTTTGAGAACGATGCAGACAATGCTACAAAGTAAAGATATCTTAACCTTCCATTTTTTATATCCCCCTCGTGATTGCTGCCAGTGTATTCCATTTTATGGTCTCCAGAAGTACATAGACCGCGAATTGTTTTCCAAAATGGCGGACAGTGGTAACTTGCTGCTATAGCAATGAGAGGAGCCTACAGTTGTAATCAGCGGTGAGAAGCACGTGACAGCATTATATAATATTTTTCCATATAATTTAAATATATTGGCTCTTAATCGGTTTTCTGTTGCTGAAGAATTTAGACTTGCTTCACTTTCTAGTCGGTTATTATTTGACTTATCCAGGCTTCACTGAAATATTTTGTCTAAAATGGAGGACATGTCAATGGTTCAGACACTGAGGATTTGGAAAGATGGCGTGACTTTCATGGAAGAAGGGAACTTTCAAGATGCGCTTATGAACTTTATGGCCTTAGAAGGGAGAACAGATTCTTCTCAGCATCTTATCACTTCAGGAAGAAATCTGTTCAACATTGGACAAACGTACTTAGCTCTTGGAAGAATGGATATGGCAGCAAAGGTACTTTTGGGTTTATTGAATAGATATCTCGACTTCCTCAGTCTAGGTGTTAAATACCTATAGTTTTAAGAAGTTTTCATTTACTTTAGGTAAATAACTGATGATCGTGACTTGGTCAATGAGCCAGTATAACTAATCTTGAAATTCTCCCTGTTCCTGTCACGCAAATTACAACCATGATTTTGCTGCCCTTTGAAGCAAAATATTTGTTTTAAAGAGTTGAAAATTTTTATGCTGATTTTCCAAAATGTGCGACATGTTTTCAATATTATGTGCAAATATTGTTTATTATACATTGATATATTTGTTTTATAAATTATATTGTAATAAATGAAGTTTTGCTGAGTAAGCGGGGTCAAACAAGTTGTCCTCTTTTAGACTGTACTTGCTTGTAGTGAGGTGTACGCGCGGATGAATTCATGGATATTAGCGTAATAGTCGTTAATAATAACCAAAAACAATTTTGAAATAAGATCCAGTAGGAGATTCTCTAGTAGAGATAAATCGATACCACGGGAGATGATTTTGATCTTTGTATTATACGACCACAGATTGTTCCATTAACTTAATGTTGCACCGTTGCACTTTGCATGACTGACTTCTTCCTAAGGGACCTTCTTGGACTACAAGGCGCTAAAATAATCAGGATTGAATGTTTTTGATATTACACTCATATACCTTTAAAAGAATGTTTAGTGTCTGCTCCAAATTATTGCAGTGATAGGCATTCTTCATAAAGAATTGTTAGGGAAGGCAATCAGAATTTGCTAAGGGCAGACTGGAATGGAAATTAGACATGCATGTGACCAATTATGTGAACAGATGAAATTCTCTCATTAGTAAATTATACAACTAGTCTTTCTCCAAGTGTTTCTCCTTTATCAGTAATCATTCTACATGACTCTTAACTCCTTAATTAACAATTTTCAACAGCTTTTAGCAACTGGCTTTCAGTAGTTATCTATGCAAACTATAACATGTCTATCAGCAAATTCTTCTCACCATATTGATGTAATTATTTGCTATCCTTGACTAATCACCCCATTCAAGGTTTCAGGGAAATCTGGAGGTTTTCAGGAATTAAAAAAAATTCATTGGTCATGTATATTTCAGGACAGTTACCATCCACTGGTTTATAAACTCATGAATCACACTTGTCTTTCTGTAAAATTTTTGCTTTAAATAATGAGTTTGGCTTAATCACATGTACAAATCAACCTTTTGCTACCCTCTCAGGTGGCCATGATATTGAAATTTTTACAAACATGATACAACCTGATGTAAAATTAAATCCCATTACTTCTACCAAATGAGACATTAAATAAATTTGAACATGTCTCCAATTTTACTGTCAAAGGAAACATTTCCTTAAAATTATTTATAAGAAATGTAAAGCACATCATGTACATTTTACCACCGAGGTGCAAAACAAAACAAAAAAACTTAACAGGGCTGAGTGGTTTAGATGTATCACATTACACTGTAGATGCAGAAGAAATTGTTTTCACATCACCAAAAAAAAATGCTCACTTTCCAGATCTAGGAAGTGTGTTCTTCACCATTTCTTTTACCAAGGGAATTAAAACCAAAAAAAAAATCTTGCACGAAGAATTCAATCTGCTGGAAGCATGCAACCAACATATACTGTCTCTGTGAAACCCACCCAATAAGGTTTATTCACTGTTTTATTCATTGAAATTGTTCAGGTGCAGTAATAAATGATGATACTGTTCATTTATTTAATGATATTCCTTTTCTTGTGAAGGCTTTCGAGGAGTCTGTAGAAAAAGACAAAATGATGGCAGTTGCTCATTTTATGTTGGGGAACATCAATTTGTCTTTGGACAGGTAATATCATAAGATACTTAAGGAAATTCATGAAATACTTTTACTGCATTGATTTCATAGTAGTGTAATTGATTATAACGAGGGTAGAATAGAGCAAAAAATGATGTAAGTTCTGGTAGGTTTTGTCAAATGATGCTGGAATAAATCAAAGTAGCCTGCATGTACAGGAAGATCTGACATTCAAATTGTATTTTGATAGTTATCCTTAATTATGGAAACTTTTCCTTTCATTTGTACTACAATCCATTCCAGGGCAGATAATTTTGTACAAACAATTTGGATGGCTGTATTTCTTTTTTTTTATTATTGTTTACAGGAATGGTTGGATTGAACTTTCCATCAGTTTTAATTAGTGTACTATCTGATGCAGGCAGCATTCTGTTGCCATATAGAGTTGCATGGTATGTTGGCTCCCAAGGAGAACTAAAGCTCAAATGCTTTCATCCAAAGCCTGGCTCTACTTTATAACCTGCCAGGTCTTAAAAATGGTTCTTTTATACAGCTATTAATCAATGCAAATTAGGAGTAGGATTTGGACATTATTTTGAAATTCCATTATTGTTACTAATAGATGATTTTTTGCAATTATACAACATGAACTGTTTCTTTTGATTCTCTCGTAGGAATGAGAAAGCGCTGACAAACTTTGATAATGCTTACTTCTATTTGCGTGGAAACAAATTGATTAATTATCAACAACTCGGATTGAAGGCTAAACTCTACTTATGTGAGGTATACTTCATTCCACATGCCAATCTTGTTGAAGGAACTTGGAGCCTAAGTACTTGTGCTATCTTTAGTTGAAGACAGTAGATTTCAAGCTGGCAGGGCACAGTTATTAAAAAATAGGGTCTGAAAACAAGCAGGAATGATTTCTTATTGAAATGGAGATAAACTTGTCAAAATTTAAATTTCTGTGACAGCATGAGTACACATTGAGTTCATTACGTTTATTGATTGATGATAATTCAGGTTGGTGGATGATGAGTAATTATTCTTTGAGACAGAGTTTGCATGTTTTGCTTGTGTTGCTGTAAGGTGATCTTGATGAAAGGATGCACCATGAAATAAAGCGGTTAACATTATTTTCTTTAAGGGTCTAGAATGTGTTTGCTGAGTTTGGTAGAGTTTCTGTGTTTTATGTGTTAGAATGATGTGGTGTGGTTTCTGTATCTAGTCATGAAGTTGTTTTCTGTAAGCCCTATGTATGTTTCAGGGGTGCTGTTGTCCTTATGTGTGATGGTGGCTTGGTAGATTAGAGATGATTGGAGGCAGTTTCCATTAAGTGGGCATGTGTTCTTCTGTTGGCAGTTGGAATTTTTGGTGTCTTTTGTGTTGGTGTTATAATCTGCAGTGTCATTGATGTGTTTGGATGAATTTAAAATGTGTTTGTTGTGGTTGTCAATGATCAGTGCTTAGTGTTAATAATGCAGCTGTTACTGATCTTGATTTTACTACGATTAGAGATTTTTCCAAGTTTGTGATCTTTCAGGAAGTGCTTTTCTACTAGGGAAAGGAATCTGTGTCCAATATTGGTGCTGATGTTTTTGCTGAATGGGGGGTTGTACCAGAGTATGTTGTTCCCATGTCTGTTTTTTCGTTTGTTAGTTATGGGTGGTTTGTGTCGAGTGTACTGGTATCCACATTTGTCTAGAGCTTTTTGGTATGGAGGAGCAGCTTAGTTGAAGGATGCTTTGTGGGATGAAAGAGATGACTGTCTTTTGTGTATGACAGTGGGTATGTTCTTTGTGGTGGTTGGTGGGTGGTTGATCACCCTACAATAGCGCAAACAAAAGATGCAACCTCTGCCTCAAAGAAAAATTATTCATCATCCATTGACGCAAATTATCATCACTCAATAAATGTAATGAACTCGTGTCCTCATAGGGCCATGGAAACAAAGTGCTACTGCGTAACAACTGAACTAAGCATCAAAATTTACTGCCACACCTATTATGCAAATTTGTAAAATATATAAATGATGGTATGAATATTTATCAACAATAAAATCCCCTGATGAGTGAGTAATCACGAATCGGGAAAGTATAGTCTCTATGTTTTTTCCCCTATCACAATATATATATATATATATATATATATATATATATATATAATTATATAAATATTATGAGAGGAAAAAACGACGCAACTACATTTCCCGACAAGCCTGTTTCGTGAATCACTTCACTCTTAAAACGCTTCACTCATTAAACCCCTGAAGAGTGAAGCGATTCACGAAACAGGCTTGTCGGGAAATGTAGTTGCATCGTTTTTTCCTCTCATAATATTTATTCGGCTCTGCTTCAACGTATTGAGCACTGTTCCACGCGAAAATCGACTTGCAGACTTCCTATATAATTATATATATATATATCACTATATGTTATACTGTAGCATACATTTTATTTCACCCTTGTTACCTCTTTACCCAATTTTTTTATTCTCTTCCAATTAATCTTGTTCTCATTTATCCTCACCTTTAATTTGTAGGTAGAACAATCATGAGGTAGAATACAAATTTGTTCTTTCCATTTAGATCCTAGCCAACAGGGCTATTGCACACTCCAGGTTGGGTGATGTTCAAGAAGCCAGAAATGATTTTTTGATGGCTTTACAATCCAAGGTGGAGCCACGACACAGTGTTATAGAGGACCTACTTCTCAACTGGCAGGTAATGCATTGTGTTTTACAGTAAGTTTTATATAAGGTGTTAAAAGTGTTAAAACTAGGTGTATAACTGACTGGCTGTCTAACCCTACAGACTAAATGACTAATTGATTGACTGACAGACTACATTGCAGCTTTCTGACAGATTGATTGAACTGACTGACCAAGTGGTTGATGTACTGATTGAGTCACGTAATGACTAAAGGGGGATAGTTTCTAAAGAAACTGTGGTGCTGTGTCCCTGGGAGAGTATAGTTTAGGGTAATTAAATATTATCAATGAGTTGATTATCTAAACTGGCCACCATAAAGAGTTTCAAAACTAACATTTCCAGTGTTAGCCCTCAGTCAAAGCAAATTAGTCATGCTGACAAAGGGCTATCACTTGAAACATCAGCTTTGCAACTCTTTAGGGCAGCCAATTTATGTTATCAACTCTTTGATAGTACTAAATTTCCTTATTATGTAGTGACTGACTAACTGAATTACTGACTGATTGACTGACTGACTGACTGACTGACCAGCTCGACTGATTTCCTTGTTTTCTGATTGACTGGTTTACTTCCTTGCTTTCTGATTTGCTTACTGACCCACTGCATGGCTGGCTCGCCCACAGACTGTTTTATTGACTGACTAACTGTTTATCTGTCTGACTGACTAATTAACTGACTTGCTGACTTACTGGCTATTTGTCTGACTGACTGACTTGCAAGGTGACCCATTGACTGATTTACTTGTTTACAGATTAATTGCCTAACTGGTTTACTACATAGCTCACTGACTGACCAACTTACCCACTGCATTACTGGCTGGCTCTCTGACTGTCTGACTTACTGGCTGTCTGTCTGACTCACTGATTAACTAACTGACTGCCTTGCTGACCAGTTGACTAGCTGATCGAATAGCCAACTGACTGGCTGGCTGTTGTACTGACTACATGTATTTGACTGCCAATTTGACACGATGTCTGTCTGTTTAGACCTTCCATTACCTTTTCTCTCTGTGATAAATGTACATTTTAGTAAGATGCCCCCGTCTCTTATCCTTCAGTCTGGACAAGACACAAAACCCATGAAGATGCCATCAAATGCGGTCTTTCAGCCACAGAAACGCCATATTGATGCCATCAGCGAAAAGCGTGATTTCTTGGGGCAGTCGAAGGTAAGTAGAGAAATAAGGTTGAGGAACGCTGTCCTCGATGAATAGGAAAGATTTTCATTGTTGTGTCAGGAGTCCATGGGCTCCTGGTTGTGTGGATAGTTCAAATTACTCTTCATTTTTCTGTAGAAATTGAACTCATGATTTTCCATACTCTTGCTAGAATCTTGTCTGTCATTGACTGTGGCACTAACTACTGACAAGTAGCCCGGTGTAATTGGCACTTAATTATTAAATAATGAAGAGTGCGTCAGTTCGTGTTGAGCATAATTCGATCTTCACTATAATAATTGAAACTTAATTCCAGTGTTAAACCATGTAGCCCAGGAAAAACTCCTACTAAAAAGGGGACACAGAATAATTCAAATAGAAGAACTTAGACTAAAATATCTACACTAAAATATGAACATGAAGTAGTTGAGAGGGTGTGAATAGAAATTCTCACTAAGTATAGTCGGTCTGAAAGTAACTTTACCGCTTTACTAACTTTTCCAATGTTAGGTCGTTGCTGAAAATGAAGTCACAAAGTTTCCCAGTACTCGCTCAAGAACCTCCACGGTATGTTTGTACTGGTTACTGTCGTTTCACTTTCTTCGCGCGAGATCCTGTTGTATTTAAGAAATTTTCTAAAGCTCATGTTTCTACATATGATTCATTATATTTCATAGATCCATAAATTGTTACTTTTTATCTACTATAATTATGATGAAATCATGACACTGAACAGTTTTCTAGATTCTTTAGAGTAACCTAACCTTTTGAAAATTGTCTTCAAACGCTCTGTAAAGCCCAGTCCGCGGATACCGTCATTGTACCACTTGTTTGAGCTTATTTTTACATCCTTTGGTGATCTGGTACAATTTCATGAAAATACATCCTCTTGTCTTGCAACTGGTAGCTTTCTGTGAATCAAGCATTGCGGTTCGGTTCTGCAGGTGCGTTCAGGTAGCGGAGTTGTTTTTAAAATGGTTGTCGAATTTATAGCACGTTTGAAAACAAATTTCGAATGGTTAGGCTGCAGAGAAATCTTAAAACTAAGATGGATTGTAAATTTGTATTTATGCTTTAAATGACTGAGATGAAAATGATACATTTTTCTGAAACCTACGTCCCCTTTAACATGCATGGTTAAATATGGCTGCTTAGTTCTTAGCAGTATTATTGTACCTCATACAATGCCCTGGTTCCTCATGCTCATTCTTTTTTTTAGACTCAGCCTCCTTCTCCGTCTCTTCTCAAAGATGCAGAAAATGAACAATCTTCTGAACAGCACCCCCCTGAAGCTGGACAGGTGGTATGTAAGAAGATATTAGTAGATTTTTTTTTTTTTTTTTTTTTTGGGGGGCTAGAATGAAGCAGTCGTAACTGACGTCTCGATACACAGTGTTATCATGCAATCATGTATTATGTCACGAACCTGCTTTATACTGTTGAACCTCCATTGAACAGCAGCTGCTCTGTTGGTGTCCATTAATAACCGACCTAAGGAGTGGAAGGTGTAGTAACGTTAGCATTATTTCATTTTGATCTTACTTGAACGTTTTGGATCTTCCTTGGTGTTAACAACCCCTCCCCCTCCTTACTAATGCAGGACCACACTTTCTTTGGAGACTTACCCCCTTTATTCAGTTTGTTGTTGGTGAACAACCCCTACCATACATGTTGGCTTATTCCAAGTTAGCTCTGATCACGTTTCGCGTGTAGGAAAATAATGTTTTTTTGGAATATAATTTTCTCTCATGAGTCAGCACATTTACCGCAGCTGTTGACTTTAAAAAAAATCTTCATTGTTATTAGGCTTCAGGAAGACACGCATTGTTAAACGACTTGCGGAAGAAAGAAACTCGTCGTTCACTGAAGAAAGTCTCCTCTCGGATAGAACCACCAAGGAAGCCGCTCCCAGGCATTCCCGACAGGCCAGAGAGTCCTCGTCGTCCCCCACCTTCTCCGCGCGCTTCCCATACCCCGAGATTTATGGCTGAGTCTCGTTCCCCGCTGCCTCGCAAGAGAGTTAGTAGTCCGTTTAGGCCTGTAATTCAAACTGAGAATAGACGAGCTTATTCTGCGTTTGAAATGAAACCACCTTCCAAGCCCTTACCTCCAGCTCCAAGATCTAAAAGCCCCCTTCCTACACGAAAAATATCGTTGCCAGCTCAATTCAATCAAGAAAGTGACGTCACAGTCAAGTTTCAGTTGGTTCTCACGCGATCTGTTAAAGTGGGCCAATCAGCCTCGGCCCAGGACCTTTTGAGAGCTGCGGCCAATACTTTTCAAATGTCCGAGGATTCCTTTGAATTATGGTAAGACAATTGATGTTATAGATTTACTATAATTTGTAAGTTGCCGACAAATTTTTGTATTTTGTATGTTAGCGTATTTTTGTATGTGTTCCACATACATAGCCTCTTGTAAAGTCCTTAAAAATTATTGAGGTTCAGTGACCAGAGACGAAAATTTAGAAAATGTTGTGGGTTGGGCGAAGAAAATTTTATGGAACAGAAAATAGCGCCAAAATATGTTATTTTTTGAAGAAAAAAATCCATGCAGTATCCTTTCAGACTCTGTTCTGAACGAAAAAAAATTAGTTGGGAGAAAAAATTGAAAAATAATTGTATATCTGAAAGTCATTATTTCTTTCTCCTTCAAGACGATTCTAATAAATAAATCCATTCCTCACCTATAGTTCCCATTTGTTTTTTACTGGTGAGTCGCTCGATCCTATTCCCGTGAAGTTGAAGGGTTAAGATATGGGACTGGTAACTGTTAGAAAAATTGAACAGTTATCAAAGATTTGTAAAATTCTAGGTTTTTGGTTAATTTTATTCAGGTACATGAAGGACGACCAGCTCAGCTCTCTCCAAAATCAGAATGTGGAAGAAATACTCCGGTCGTCAACAGTCCAAACGGTGTTCTGTTACGAAAACAAACCTGAGTGATAAAGCTTTTTCATTGTAATTTACGTCAGCTAATTGATCACTCTGTCTGATATTATTCATTTTCAAAGAATCGAGACAGTTGTTTAAGTTACTTACTACTTTCATTAAATTACTCAAAGGGCGAGTCACTGTAGTATCGATTATTACTTACATGCACGAGGTACACACATTTTCTCTTTTATGACTGGTTAATTTGAAGTCATGTTTTATGCACCACACCAGACAGAAGTACGCTTTCACTTAAGGAATCTCATTGGCGAGATAAGTTGTTCGATAGCTCATAAAGACGCTTTAAACTTTTCGGTTATCGAGGGAGTAAACTCGAAAAGTTTGAACATCACTCGCCACCAGCTCGTGATTTACAAACTTTGCGCGTATTCTCTCAATATCCCGTGTGAGTTATCACGCCAGTAAACGTATAGAAAGTGCGGTCTATTTCTGAAATGGACCAGTAAAAAGGTTTCAGATAAGTGTTCTGTAGAGAACTTGACTTTCACGTATCAGTTTCTGTGAGCTTTAAAAGATGACTTTCACTCCGTTCAATCCACAAACCCAGATAATTTATATTTAGATCAGACTAGTTAGATTTCTAACAGTTTACAAAAAGCTTGGAGTTGGTTGGGTCTAATTGTTTTCTTTGTTCTAACTAATTCAGGTGAAGCGGCAATAGGTGTTTTAGTTAACTAAATACTTCGCAGCTGTTGCTTTGGATGCAACGCAACTCTTCCTTGAAAGAATTCTTGAAAATTCATCCAGTGGAAGTAAGGTTTTTTTTAGCTTGTTTGTTTGTCTTTTGTTGTTTTTTCCTGGAATGTAGGTATAATTTCTCCTGATCACGTGAGTGCTCACCAGTAATTTTTCGCCTTATTTGTAGAGTTATTTAAAAGTATATAATGAGATGTGACAAAGTGCAGTTCATGTGAATCGTTCGCGTTTCTCTGTGGTAACCTCTATGTAATGCCACTAATAAGGGTGTATTTTTCTTGAAAATGAAATCAATCGAGAGTAAATCAGTAGCAGTATGAATTTTTAAAATCTTCTTGTACAATAAATATTTTTATATGATTAAATGATTTAAATTCATTTATTACCAAGGTGTAGGAAATAAACAAATCTGAGACAGTGGAGGTTCTTCATCTGTTAGTCTGAATATTATATATTTTTATTTTTGTTTCTTCCAATTTGTTTCCCTTGATGTCTCTACTTAAGAGGTACTGTCTAACCCCTGTTTGGGGTTTTATTGATTTCGAGGATGTCTCAGTATTGAGCAACATCATGCTCATCTTATTTCTTTGCTGTCTTGGCGACCTACGCGTGTTTTATTTTGCGAGTTCGTTCTTGTAAAGATGCTCCAAAAAATGTTTTACGAAATTTAAAACAAACTCCGTTAGCTGGCTTCGAGCAAATACATTTTCTTGCATAGAGCGTCAGGACCAACAGAGGATCTTATGCCGATAAGGTAACCTCTCTAACTCGCCAGGGAGCCAATCAGAGCACAGGATTGTTTGAATGCTCTAGCATCAAATAGTTTCAATTTTGGCTATGTTAAGAGAGCTGCATGCTGCTGCGAGATATAGATCGACAGTCTCTAGGTGCTCCTCGTGTGTTTCTCGCACAATGACTTTTTCGTTGAGTCAAGTCAATCTTGAGAAGCGGCTGAAATAAAAGGGGCTGGGAAGCTTTCACAGAAACTAAATGAAATATAGTAAAATCTCTGAAACTATTTGTCAAAAGCTTAAGTCCTCTCGTGAAAATTTGGTTTTTGATGAGCGTGATAATCGAGAACAATCGACTGACTAAATGACCCAAATACGCCACACTCAGAAGTGACAAATGATAAAGAGCATCATTATATTCAGGGGCAATCCAAACAAACATGGCGTGTGAGTAAATTGAATCTGTTATATTGGGCGAATCATTTCATTTACTACCAATACTCAACATGAAAAAACTCACCACAACGTTGAAATCTTCTTGGTAATTTTTGTTGATCGCAATAGTTAATGAAAGGGATCGAGGCCTGTTAACTATGCGTCCCTTTTACAAAAATGTAATAAACACGGTTTGTCTTGTTTATGACACAATTATCTCGTCAATGAATTAATAAAAGGAAAAAAACAAATGGACCTGATCGACCTTTAGGCCAAAAATTATGCTGGAGTATTTTTTAATACGTCAGAGCAATTAGGACATCACTTGTTTATCTAACACAAATCATACCCTGCAGTTCCTTGAATGCGTCATTGTAAGCTCTTTAATCAACGAGTACGCGGATAGCGTGTATATCTTTCTTCTGTGGGCGGTTGATGGCGTGATGAGAGCTGGGGCGGCGTTGGAGCCATTTGTTAGGCGTTTCCGCCTAAAGCAACCTCAAAACTGCCCACTGAGAGCAGAGGAAGTCGTATGTAACAATATTTGTTCTTAAAGTTTTTAAGTGAGCCCACGTACTCCCATGAAAACTGCTACTGCTCTTGAAGCAATGGAAGAAAAGATTTACATCCAGTTAGTTGCTTTAAACCCAAATACTTGAGTGATGCAGTATTTGATGTCACCGTGATTAATTTAGCCTCGGGCCTTTAGGTATTTTTAGTATAACTACTATACTTCAGATGGCAATTAAGACGAGACGTGATTTTTCCGCAAAAAAATTTTCCGTGTTTATTTCGTCGAAGTTTTTAGTGAAAACAATAAAGGGCGAATAGCACGTGATAATATGACATTGAGTAGTTATCATTTTTATTAAGGCCACATGTTACTTTGCATTTAATTAGATTTAAACAGGTTTTTTTCTTTGCATTTGAACTGTGAGACTGTGTGGGGAACATCTTTATGTACTTTTTTTTTTTTTTTTTAATGAAATCGGAAATTAGGGTATCAAAGTTTTTTTTTCCTTTCCGGACTGTAATGTTGTTTTCATCTCGCAAACGAATTTAAAACCGCCGTCAAGCTTAATTAGCTTCATTGAGTTGACCTTTCCTTCAGACAGTTTTGCTGGATACTTAATCACGCAAGCCACAGCCTTTCGATCAGTAGACCTTCAGTTCAGCCCATTGATATCTATAAGGCATTTTATCTACTGTGCAAAAACTTCGGAAACTTGAGTAGCCAGATTTAGGTAAGTGGTTTTTTTGTGTGGCTAAGTTACATCTGAGACGCATGTAAGTTACTCAAACTCCAGACAGGGTCGATCTTTGCTGTCTGTTAAAGATTTTTTCTTTTTAGAATTTTATCAGGAAAAAGAGGTTTAACAACTGATATTGGTGAATCTGCGGGGAGGCTACTTGCAGTTTCACGTAGGACCTGCTTCTGAACGTCTGGGTAACGATTTATTATCCACGACACTTATTTAAGCATTAATGACATGATTAGCTTCCCTTCATCGGTAAGTGCAAGCGGCAAGAGGTTGATGGCAACGGTAAACAACAACAAAAATAAAATGTCGTTATACTCAATTTTCTTCTTGTCCCTAAGCTAAAACCTTGAGAGATCTTTTAGATAGGTTTTCACAGTCATCAGTTACGTTTTTACTCACCTCTACCGAAAGCTGGGAGCAGCACAGGTGGCCCAAGCTCCAGCTGTGAGATGATCGTCTTGCGAAATACGAGTCATGGCGAAATTCTAAGAGTTTGTATGGGAAACATGGGCTTTTCTTATGTACGTAGTAAACCTAGAAATAGATAACTCGCTAAAATGGCTTATTTTCAACATAGTAGGCGCTCAGCTCGCATGCGATGCACTGTGGACATCAGGTGAGGTATTTTTTTATTGAGAATCTGACTGTATCTTTTATTCCTAAGAACGGTCGTAAATATTCCCATAAAAACTCCTAGAATTTCGCAATGACTCAAGCAAGATGATCATCTCAGAGCTTGGGCCGCCTGAGGGGGCAGCAGCTAACAAGTTCAAACGTACGCGCTTCAAGCAAATATTCGTTTGGGCAAAGCACTTACTTGCTTATAAAATTAAAAGGTAGACATGAACTGCTATGAAAATAAAGAATGCAAGACTGGCAGTGAAATTATATTCACATTCATCTAATAAATTGAAAAATTCAAGTGGCAAAATTGCAAACTTGACGTGGCCGAAATAATTTAGCCCAGTTAGGTTTGTGCGGTATTGATCTTCATTGATAGACCTGGCCATGACAAAACTAAGTGAACTAATGTTAAAACATTGGATCAATTTAATTAAGTGGCTTGGATCTTCGCTGGAAAATAGCAATGATATTCAAACAGTTTTCATCAAAAGTTTTTTGACAGGTAAATTTGAGATTTCGCGCGTATTCAAGGACATTTTAAACCCGTTGATTTAAGTTGCTAATTTTCTCTTATGGAAACTAGAAGGGCCAGATACCATAATGTCACCTCCCCCTTCCACGCTTTGCCATAACCCATGATATAAATTCTATCTCGTATAGAGCGCATTGTAACATTCCCTCTTAGTCTACTTTTTCTCTGATCTGAAAAATAGTTTAGGGTTTGTTGGTGAGAGATGGCTTAATTTTTCTACTTGTGTGTCGAGTTCTAACACCTTTTCTCACCCCCTCATCAAACCAAAGAACTGAAACGTTCTCTTAAAAGGAAAAACATTTTTAACGTCCCCCGTTCCTTTGGCACCCAGCTTTGTGTCAGTATGGGGGACATGTCCTTGGTGAAGACTTTGCAGATTTGGAAAGATGGCGTGACTTTCATGGAGAAGGGCAACTATGAGGAGGCACTGACAAACTTTGTGGCTCTAGAAGGAAGGACTGACTCTTCTCAACAACTGATCACTTCAGGCAGAAATCTGTTTAACATTGGACAGATGTATCGAGCTCTTGATAGAATGGAGATGGCAGCAAAGGTAGATATTATATATACCATTTAACCCCTAGTCATGTCTCACAGTTGCTAATTACTTCATTTAAGGTACAAGAATGCAATTATGTCTAGAATGACGTTACCATTGAACAATTTCTTCTCACCATCAGACCTTTGAGGAGTCCATAGGAAAAGACAAAATGTCGGCAGTTACTCATTTCCTGCTGGGAAACACCAACTTGGTTTTGAACAGGTAAGGAACAGTTATCCATGCTCTCTCTCATTTTGGCTGTGTTATCGAACATGGAAGCTTAGTTTAAAGTCCAACTAACACTAGTGTAATTCTCGCCAGACATGATGTTCGTTGCAGTATCGAGGGTTTCCACAAATACGTTAGAACGCTTCCCTACGGATGATTCTGCCTTTTACACTTTATTATCCTCTCTATTGAGACACATCGATTTCTTGCCAGCCGACCTAAGGGTTCTTACGTCTTGAAATTAACAGGGGAGCAGACAAATTATTATATTTTCAAGCAGTATCGCAAATAATAGAAAACGGATGTCTTAAAAGCACAGGTGAATAGCATTATTAAATTTTTGTTCCATCAGAAATGACGAGGCACTGAAGAACTTTAATGATGCTCATTTATTTCTTCGTGGAAACAAAGTGATAAATTATTATCAGTTAGGTTTAAAAGCCAAACTTTACTTGTGTGAGGTAAGCTGTTTAGACTTTCTCTTATATTCTTCACAACCATACGCACCCTTCCTTGAAAAGCCTTATTCTTTGTTTGAAGTGGTTCATAGTCTTGTTGTTTCATATTCTTTTTTATCAACATCGTTACTGTACTTACCTTTTTTTTTTTGATTTGTAGATTCTAGTCAACCGGGCCATTACTCAATCCAGACTAGCTGATGCTAAAGAAGCCAAAAATGATTTTTTAAAGGCTCTTCAAGCTAAGGTTGAACCTCGTCATCGTGCAATTGACGACCTCCTTGATTCCTGGCAGGTGAGACTGTACAGCTGTGAACTGTTTCACTAGATCCGAGGAAGAACCTTGTTGATTTACTTAGCAAGTTATTGATCGACCTCATAACGTATTGAACAGCAGAATGACTTGCTTATTCATCTCCTGATTATGACTGAATTGCTGACGTACCAATTGTCTGACTTACCGATTGAAGACCTCATTGAGTGACCGACTGACCGACTGCCGAACAGACCGACCAACCAACCAGACAATTGGCTTGCGAGCAGACTGACCAATTAATCGGCTGGTTAACTGGCGAACAGACTGGCCAAACAACCAGCTAATTGGCTGACGAACAGACAGACCAAAATGACGCACAAAATGACCAACCAACCGGCTGTTTGACTGGCGAACAGACTGACCAACCAACCGGCTGGTTAACTGGCGAACATACTGACCAAACAACTAGCTGGTTGACTGGCTGTCGAACTGACTCACTTCTCGTCTGACTGACCATCTGGCTCTCTTATTAAGCCGCAGACCGACCAATTCTCAATAATGAATGCTTAGCTGACTGTTGAACCTCCAATGATCCTGAGTTTGAGTTTGGTTTTTGTTTCTGCAGTCTGGAAAAGAAGTGGAGCCTTTTCAGTTACCCTCTTGCGTTGTATATCAACCACAAAAACGTCAAATCGATGCTATTAACAAGACACAAAATTTTTTGGGCCACTCCAAGGTACTATTTATTTAGGGTTTGATGCCAACATGTAACAATAAATTAATTCTCTTTTGAAGTTTTTGTTTATTGAATCTCTTCTCTTTTTGTTTTATGACTCGTTTGCACATATTTCTTTATTTTCTCTATATTTGTGTGGTTTTTATGCAAATTTCCTATTTAGGTTGTTGTACAAAGTGAAATTACCAGGTTTCCTGATTCACGTTCAGAATCAACAAAGGTAACTGTCCAACAGATGATTGTTAATAATATCACTGGAAGGTCTTCATGAATTATCGTGTTTAGTTTCAGCGAAATCATTGCTTTCATAAGACACAAATATGAAGAGCTTGGTTGCCACTCTTTAGAATGTGTAGAGACACAAGCTTACAAGCTTGCATAATTACACTTGCATAATTACAACTCATATGTAATTTTTAAACTAATCTTCGTTCACCGAAGAGTCCTTCCAAAGATGTGAGAGATGAACAGCATTTGGAACAGCACCAGCCTCCAGCTGACCAGGCGGTATGTAACAACATGATAGTATAGAAAACAACCACTTTCGAAGTTAGAAACCAGCGATGCGTTTCTATATCTTGACTGCTTTTATACATGAAAAGGTGGAACATCGGTGATACGTTTTTCGTTTTAGACATCAAAAGGACATGCTCAGCCAAACAGAATCCAAGGAAAAGAATCAAACAGCGTTCTGAGAGACGCTTCCAGTAAAGCAAAGGCCGAAAACAACCCTTCTCTAGGCCACCTTCAGAGCCCGGTCAGTCCAAGTCAATCTCTAGCTTCACCTGGTAATTTTTCTACAGGAGGCTCTAGGATCGGAAATCGTTCACCTTTTACCCAGAGAAAGAAAATGGGGGGCTTTTCACCCAAGACACCACCGTGGTCTTCAACTGAAGTAGACGCGCCTCCGACAAAACCCCTCCCTCCGGCTCCTACGGCCAGAAAAACAAACAAAACACGTGACGTCACACTGATTCTCACGCGATCTGTTAAAGTAGACCAATCAGCCTCGGCTCAGGACCTTTTGAGAACCGCGGCCAATACTTTCCAATTGTCCGAGGATTCATTTGCATTGTGGTAAGACAATTGATGTTGTTTCCACTATGAATTTGATGTTCTGTTCCTCTCAAACGCTTTGTTGTTTGATTGGTTTCTCAAAGGAATTAAGATTGGTGCGTAGAGAATTCGGAAAAAATGACGTAAGTTGGAATTAAGGTGACGGGAAAAGGAGAGACTAGCAGAATAGAATCACTGATTCATTCTGCATTGTTCCTTATCAATAATTTTAAACTAACACAGATTCCGCTTTGAGGAGGCCGAGTCTGACATTCAATAGAAATAGTTAAAAGAAGTGCTGAATAGATTAAACGCAACAATATTCCGTTTTCTCCAGGAGCATGAAGAACACACAGCTCACAGTTCTACAAGATCAGGATCTGGAAGAAATTCTCCACTCGCCATCAGACAGCAGCCCAAAAGTTTACTGTTACCTAAATAAGCCGAAGTAGATAACATTTGACTGCAGTTTACACTAAGTTGGCTGCTCTCTCAAGCATCTGATGAACAATATAATATTCTTATATTTGTTGAATGATTGGAATTTTTTATGATCTATAAAAGTAGTTGCACCGAATGGCAGTCCACCTGGTTAAATAATTTTGGAATGCTCTTGCTATGGTTGTAATCTTTAAATCGAGCGATGTATATATTTTACCTTAACGATCAAGAGAAAAGGGACCAAATTGGTCGGCAGCGTGAGTTTTGCGCGGCTTGCAAAGCGGAAAAGAGTACTTCAAAATCGGTAACCGAGTGTGAAATAAGTACTTCAAACAAGGAGGCGGACGGTAGAAATAAACATGAAACACTTTCCCAGTAAATCTTTTTCATAAATTTGGATTTATGGCCATGAAGATAGTGTTACAAATTGACCTTTTTACTCTTAATTTTATCGTCGTCTTTCACGAGATAAAAGCTACAACACTGCTCCTCAAATGTCATTAAAGCAAAATGCAAATCATAGGTTTTCAAGCTTCACTAAGTCACTGGCTCCAATCAACAGCCTCCTCTTGGACTTTTTGTAATTTCAATATCAAGAGGTCTTTCCACGTCAAGTTGTTCTTACGACAAAGTTGCACGTACATGTTTGCCTCGTAAGAACTTAGCTACTGCTGAGACAGCTTTTAAAAGAAAGTTAGTTTGGAACATTCGGTAAGCAATAAGTCTGCATTTGTATGATGACACAGAACCTAACTGAATTTCTATTTAAGTATCACCATAATGGCATTGATTTGCCTTTGGCCTGATTATGTTCCTTTAGTTCTTAAATATCATGCAATGCACTTTGTTGTTCCTTCTTCTGACTTCTTCCTTATCTGCTAAAAATAACGGAACAACAGAGTCGGCAGATCTTTGACCTGAAAATAGCTTCTGTAAGAGACATTTTATGTTTTCAAATGCAAATGCAAAGCACAGTTTTTTAATTCCATGGCACAATGCGCTTGTTTAATAACGCTTTCGAGATATTTTTAGGCAGATTTATAAAAACGTTTTTGTTAGTACCGTCGCGACATAAAATTGGACGCAAGTATTAATAGTGATTGACTCGGGTCACTCACAGAGCTGTACTGTATTCGATCAATGGCACGTAATGACGATCAAAAAAGGAAATACGAATTTCTGGCATATTACTGACTTTCCATTTTTTTGATAAATTACGTCAAATTATATAAAGAATCTTGAACAAATAATCATAAGAATTCACCTTTTTTATGTCGTATAATTGATAAATCGAAAATTCCTTTCATTATTGAAAGGGAACCTGAATTTCCCACAGCGCTGATTATTCATTCATCTACATCCGCAAAGTATAAACGTGCGTCAGTCAACGCAGAAACATCCCACTTGTATACACACCCTGTTCTCGACTTCCGCTCTGTAAATAATAAATTTGCTTTCAGTCGTCAAACAAATTTTCAGGTGCACTCAAAGTTCAATCAAATTCACCAACTCGGCTAAAATCCAGTCAAGCTGAAGACATAGTGAGGTGAGCACAACTTCATCCATTTAATTTACTTTGTCATAGAGCCACTAGTAGTCCGATGGACTGATTAGAAATGTAATACTTAAACCAAAAGTCGAGACGAAAGGTAGAAATTGTTGTCCAGTGGAAATAAGAGCATCCTTGGATATAATTAATCTAGATTAAAACTGAGGCGGTGAGCGATGAGGGATTCCGGGAACAATTCAATTTTAAAACAAAGGTGATGTAGTTTATATTGGAAGCCCTCTGGTCGTCTGTGTTCACACAATGTTACTACATAATTATTAGTCAGTTCAAAGTGATTGGAAGTAATGCGCGATCAAGAAAGATAACCCATGATAAGGAGATCCATCGGGTTTCCTCGGCAATCGCCTCTACTAATAATGCCTGGATGATCACTCAATTAGTTAGTGTTTCACTGTTGCTTTTGTTGTAGTGTTCTGATTGACGCCAGGAAAGCAGTGTTCAGCATTTTATTTTTGCGTCTCATTTCTAAAAATTCATTTGGACATGAAGGAGATGTCCACGGTAGAAATATTGAAGATTTGGAAAGATGGCGTGACTTTTATGGAGAAGGGCAACTACGAAGAGGCACTAAAAAACTTTATGGCTCTAGAAGGAAGGACTGATTCTTCACAGCAACTGATCACTTCGGGCAGAAATCTGTTTAACATTGGACAAATGTATCTGGCCCTTGGAAGAATGGAAATGGCCGCACAGGTGTGACACATTACCGGAGTGTGCATGTTTCTTTTGTTAAGTAGATGATCTAACAATGATTATTATGATCTACTCCATTTCTATAAGGCATTTGAAGAGTCAATAGCAAAAGACCCAATGATGGCGATCGCCCATTATACCTTGGGAAGCGTCAATTTGGCTTTAGATAGGTGAGGAAGATTTGAAGTTTGCTGCCATATAATGTTGAACTTGGTTACTTGTCAACCTTATAAAGAATCTAAGCAAGATTATTGTGCTGTTTCAAATAAAAAATGAAAGCAAAACTCTTTCATCTACAACGGTAAAATTTGATGTAAAATACAAGGTAACTTGCCTCAGATAATCAAAATGATAACCTTATTATCGAATGTAAGTGGTCATCACCTGCCCGAATTGAGCGCCAGTAGGACATATCATGCGTTGTATATGGTCACTGAGCATTTCGCCACTTTAACAATTGTTCTTGTTTTTTTTTTCTTCTTTCAAGTGGAAACTTCTAAGTTATGGCTAGTTTTTTTTCTCAGATTTTGTCATAGTTTTGACTGATTGGTAATAGGACTTCGTCAAATTTTGCCTGTAATCATTCTCGTGATTAACAATCGGACTCCTGCTTCGCGGTCGTCCGATTTCGTTGATTACCGATCCAACTGTACTCGACTCAGACTTATTACCATTATTTGTATTGCAATTCAACCATTTTTTTTCATTGCTTCAGAAATGAAAGAGCCTTAAAGAACTTTAGTGACGCTGCTTTATTTCTTCGTGGAAACAAATTGATAAAGTATGATCAATTAGGCTTGAAGGTTAACCTTTACTTATGTGAGGTAGGCTTTCAATTTTATTTTTGTTGTTATTATTATTATTATTATTTCTCATTGCTGAACCTGTCCTAACTGACAAAAACGTGACACACTCGTCATCTTTCGTTTTCCTCCACACAATTCTCGGGTACTCGTGTTCATTCAGTCTAATGTGTGTGTTTTATACCTGTTCAAATTACCTAGAACATCTCTCCAGTTTACAAATAGTGTTTTTGTTTTGGGTGTGTAGGTTCTAGCTAACAGGGCCGTTGCTCAGTCCAGATTAAAGAATGCCGAAGAAGCCAAGAATGATTTTTTGATGGCCTTACAATTCAAGATGGAGCCACGACAAAGCGTCATTCAGGACCTTCTTCTTTGCTGGCAGGTTAGCGAGACATGTATATTTCAGTGACAAGAAATGAAAGTTACATCTGACAGCTTTTAGTTAATGTGACCGCAATCTTGGTAAAACATAATAGTATAAAGTAACATATCAACAGTATAAATTCTCATATGACCAACCAATCATCTTTTCAACCAACCACCAAAGAATTTAACCAATCTTCTCAAAGAGAAAAACCAGTAATTCCTACTGGTAAAGAACTTAATCTTTCAACAAATCAAATAAATTACTGGGAAAAGGAGAGAATAACTATGCCACACGCAAAATATTAACCATAAAAAATTTGAAAACCAACTGATCATGCTTTCCCGACTGAATGGCGTCGGGACGAATCAGGTTAATCAGAACTTCTAGCAGAATGACTGACTCACCTGGCAAGAGCTGCCAAACACCATATAGCTGATCCCAAAATTCACGGAGATGTTTATTTTCTTTTTCATCTTTTTCATTTCAGTCTGGAAAGAGTGTAGAGCCTCTTAAGATGCCATCGCCATCTGTTTTCAAACCTTCAAAAGGAGCCACTGATGCTATAAACAAAGAACATAAATTCATGGAGAAATCCAAGGTTCGTAGGTCGTCTGAACAATATTGTAAATAAGCCACGTTAAAGTGTTTCTAAAGCTAACGTTTTAAGCCCTTACATTACTAACTCAGTTGATAAGACCAAATTATTTTGTAATATTCCGCGCTGACTCGGCACCACAGTTTCTTTTTAGAAAATTACCCCCTATATGAATTATATTTGCTTGCTAGAATGTCACAAATGGATGCTGATCCACGGTTTATAGTGAAATGGGTTATTGTTGCCTTCAGGTCGTTGCTGAGGTTCAAGTTAGAAGTTTCCCTGGCCCACGAACTACACCAGCTAAGGTAAATTACCACACAAACTCTCCAAATAGAATATATATATATATATATATATATATATATATATAGAGCACTGTTTTACGAAAGTCCAAATTTTACATTATATATATATATATATTTATTAATGTATGTATAGATAGATTGATACCTGACACATTATTGATAATTCTGAAAGTTCTATTCCATTTCTTTAGTTTTGTTTGCCTTGATTGCTTCCTGTGGAAAGAGAGATGTCACAGAGAGCTTAAACAATAAATATAAGGGCATATAAAAATGTCTAATTTTTTAGAAGGGGAAATATTAGGGTGCCTTCCGTTGAAAAAATTATTTTTGGCCTGGATCCTGGTAGTGGTGAGGGGTCATTCAGTGGAGGAGCTGCAACACTTAACTGTCTGCGAATGAGAGGATGGCAGTAGTACAATTGCGGCTGAGCTAATTTCTGTTTTGTTTCAACCTCATTGCAGCCCCAACCGACTCGTTCCCCACCTCGTTCTCCGACCCTCTCAAAAGCTGTGGCAGATGAATCTCTTTCCGAACAGCACCTCCCTCAAGCAGCTTATGTGGTCAGTAACAACGTAATAACGTAGGACCCTCAATATCACGGAATTAGAAAGGAATTCAGTGCTGAATTCATTTTACTGGATTGTTGTTCTGGTCAATTACTTAAGACATCGGTTGGGGTAATTTGCGATTAAACACTATAAGCTATGAATGAAAACACAGTGCTGAATTTTAGTTGATAAGTCACGGAAATGACATGAAATGATAAACCTGGATGCCCTCTGGAAATTCCTTGCAACAGCAAAGATCCGTCAGATCCACATCCACATACAAAAAAAAGAGAGAAAAAGAAAGCATAAACAGAACAAAACAATATTACTTTTTTTTTATTTTGACCTCGCCCTTAGAAATCCACAAGAGATGCACTGCTAAACGACTTACGGAAAAACGAAACAGTCACATCTGGGAAGGAACCTCCCAATAAACCGCTCCCCGTTGTACCTGACTTTGTAGACAGCCCTCAACAGTCGCCGCGTGCTTCTCCTACTCCGAGATTTCCGAGATCTGATTCTGGATATCTTTCACCCCGATCTTCAACAAAGAGTTCAAAGAGTGGATCTAGGCCAGTAACTCCACCGGAAAATTCCCGACCACGGACTCCTGTTGAAATGGGACCTCCCTCCAAGCCCCTCCCGCCTACCCCAAGATCAAAAAGCGTAAGCCCCATTCCATCGCGAGTGCCCGCTGAGCCTAGAAAAACACGTGACGTCGAATTGGTTTTCACACAATCTATTAAGGTGGACGAGTCAGTTTCAACCGTGGAACTTTTGAAAGAGGCGGCTGCTGCTTTCAAGCTACCTGAAAATTCATTTGCACTTTGGTAAGGCAATTACCGTGTTAACTAATTTTTTGTCGTGGTCATATAGCGTCGGAGAGTCAACCTTGTATAAACCCATTTTTTTTTTCCTTTTACAGGTGCATGAAGGACAACCAGCTCACAGTTCTACAAGATCAGGATCTGGAAGAAATCCTCCGCTCATCGTCAAACAACAGTCCCCAAGTTTTCTGCTACGAAAACAAACCAGAGTAAATGAGTTTCGACTCGAATTTTCAATAGCGGAGGGGCTTTGATCGATACATGCCTAGTGGAGAGTCCGTTTTAGAAGAACAAGTAAAAACTTTGCGCTGAACTCACTGCCTTGTTTTGATCTCATTGATATCGAAATACAGATCTCGAAACCCTGACTAAACTGGAGAGCTCTTTTTGTTTCTCCCTATCATCACAAACGTAAAAATCCCATACGCGGCGAGGGTGGATAAAATGATTACGTTGAATAAGTCTTCGTGAGGCTAAGACTTTACTAAAACCACTCTGTACTTTTTTGCTTGTTTTTTTGGTTTTTTAGTTTTAGGTTTCGTTTGTTTCTTATTCAATAATAAAACACAAATAATGGAGGTCCAGAGTATCTCTCCAATTTATATTAATTTTATTGATGGATTTTGTGTCTGCTGTCCCTATATATCTGGCACTTTGAATATGTATGAGCAAAAGAACTGCCTCTACCCTGTCCCCTAAATACTGGTGACGATATGGTAGCGTGACAATCCAGTAACAATCCAGTAACGAGTATGGTGACACGATGAAATAACCGGGGATGCCGGTAGACTGTTGTCACAGCATTTGTCGCAGAAATTATGGGACGTTTGGTTTACTGACAAGCAAGTAACATTTGGTGGGTGCAGTGGCGGTGAAAAGTAAGGAAGGCGGGTCAAAATCTGTATTTGAGAGGTAATCGGAGATGGCAACGAACATACCGAAAGTTCCAACTTATTCTCGAAAACAACGCCGAAATGACGACTCAAGTTGGTTTCTACGGACATAAAGGTAGGAAATTTAAAAATATTTCTTAATATTTCTTATTTAAACTGCATTTAGGTCAAAACACGTGGTGCCATCTGAAATAAACCGTTAACTAACCATTGAGACTTCGAAAAGTCCTCGCGTTGCACAAATTAATTTAGCCAAAAACTTTTAACAGGAATGTGCAGAAAATATTACCTGAAGCTTGATTAATTTGGAGATTTTGCATAGGATGAAAGTTAATTTTGTTTTGGAGCGTCAGTGAAATGCATGTTTGCTTAATTAAGCTTAGTGGTAAACAGTCCTACATAATAAGAGTTGCCCAGCTCCTCCTAAAATCAATCCAGTGTTTATTTGGAGATTATGAAAGGTGGGTTGAGTGCTTTGAAGGTAGTAGAATGATTTATTTCCCTTAGCGGAGCTGTCATATACTTTTGGAGTGTTTTAGCAAAGAATACCATCCGGATTTCTATTATTTGGATTTTTCTTTGAAACGAGCCGCATATCTGCTTTTTGCCAACGCCTGCAAATGGTGAAATGTTGGCACAGTCTTTATTCAATTTTCATTTTATTCCACGTGAAAATGTTACATGCATTTGAAACTTGTCACGTGCAAAGCATCAGAAAAGCAGTTGAATAGCAATGTGAGAAGAAATGTGAGAAGAAATATTTTCCAAACAATGTCTATGTACGCCTTTTAATTCGAGTTATTTGGATGACTGTTCGTTCAAGCCACAATTTATTTATATTTTCCATTTATTTTCTTAACAAATACAGTTTTGCAAGTTCTCTTTGTCTTTTTCAATATTAAGAACACCTTTTAACCTATCAGGCAATTGGGCAGTCATTTGAATAACTTGTTTACACGACAAACCAAACTCCATATGACAGTTTTCTTAGGAAAGAGGCCGAGATACGTGAGTTCGCCACTAAAAGTGACCTGTTTTTTATGAATGGTTGCGTTAAAAGATGACAATTGATTTGAAATTATAAATTCTCGAATATGCTTTATTTTCCTCTAAAAATGAAACTCTTGGCTTGCTCTATCATGTCTTGGCGACGCTTTCACTGGACCGAGGGTTCCCTCGGTCATATGTACTCGTACGTGCTGGTTCAACAAAGCAGCGCTGGCAAAGGCGCTTGCGCAATAGCCACATCTGAAAGGCCTTTCATTAACATGTGTCTCCATGTGTGTACGGTACTCTAGGGGATGAGAAAACGATTGGTTACAGTGCGAACAAGTCAAGTTCTTCCCTCCATTGATACCATTACAATGATGCACTTCAAGTTGTTCTCGATTTGTAAATGCTTTAAAGCACTGGTTGCACCTCCAGGTAAAATCGTCTGCTGGATCAAAACGCGCAGGCGTCCTGGTTTGTTGTTTGTACCCGTAGCCTCGTCCGCGATACGAGGTTGTTCTTCTATCCTCGGTCAGCATCACGTGATCTTGCTCTGATTTGCTCGATTCGGCAGGTTCATTTCTTCGCAAGGGAGGCCGCCCCCTTTGTGCTGGTGCATGGTCTGTAAGATTTCTCCTAGCCCCTGGCTCAACTGTTTCGTTTTTATCCGCTCTGGCCCGAGACCTTTCTTGGGCGACCAGATCCCGAGGGGGGTGGACCCCTGTTGATAGACATTGGATTTAAGTCACTTAACTACCAAATCAGAATGACTTAGAGGAAAGTGTGGGTGTAGTAAAAGAGTTGCAGGTGCCCATTACATTTTCCACCACGGTCATAGAAACACTCACCTCTACTTCCAGAATCACTGAGTGCCACAGGAACCCCCATGAATTGTGAATATCTTGTATCGTACCATACTAGCAGCTCCTGCCCAGGTAGAATCTCTCGGATTGTTCTGTAATAGACACAGCCATGGTATTGAAATACCACCATGTTCTGTTCTTTCTTGTGTCGAGCGCAGCGAACAAACCGCATCCAGCTGGAATTAGCTTCATCTCTTCCATCAAGATAATGACTGACCTGGCCATCATGGAACACCTGAAGAAGAAAACATCAAATTAACTGCACTCTACCAGAGAGTTTTCTTAACAGGAATCACCTTCAGTGGTGTTAAGATTAGAAATTTTTTACCTCCCACATATATTCCGTCTCTGTTTCAACTTTGATGTCTTCTGGTCGCACAAGCTTTCCCTCGTAAGGCCCGATCCAGGTCCCTGCGGGTATTCTCTTTCTTGCACACACTCCGTAGCCAACACAAGGAATGCTGGATGTACACAAGCATACCTCGTCCGGAAATTTGAGAATAGATCCGTTTTCCAAAGGACTATGGGATTGCCCAGCGCTGACAAGTTTTCTAAGAGAGTGCAAAGGCCCATGCATCGGACATTCTCCATCATGTTTCTCGTTGCAAATATCGCACCCTATAAACACAAGTGGTGATTAGCTGGAACAAGTTAAAATAACCAACAGGAATCATTTTTGGTTTAATGTATGAATGACAGCAATGAAAGCCGAGTTTTTCTTATGGTTCGTTAATTATTAAACTTTGATAATGAACAATTGCTGTTAGGGGAAAATCGTTCGACTGTTAATGTAAATAACGGTTATTTAAAAAAGAACGAAATCTCAATAGCCCTTCGTGAGAGCGATGATGGCGAAGTACGCTTGAAACGTCAGCTTTGAAACTCTTAACGGTGGCCAATTTACATCATGAACTTAGTTAATAATGCCAAAATTATCTGGTTATATTCCCCTACCGACGCTACACCACAGTTTCTTTTAAAAACCACCCACTTCATTCACAGCTGTTAAGCCCGAAGAGGAAAAGTTCGCGTGACAATTTTGAGTTGGCGACAACATAGGCCAATTTCGATAGGCCAAGTTCATAAACAACCCATCAAGTTGTTTGTTTCACTACCAGACATTTGTTGAAGTCGTTTACATGTGGTTTTCTGCTGAAAGCCAATCCTGATAGAGCGTAGCTGGTCGCTTTTCATTTAATAGATTGAAACAATGTATTCAGAATATAAACAATGCCAGGTTGTACCTCCCTTAACCACATGGAAACAATAATAATCTGAAACTGTTCTTATTTGTCAAAATACATTGAATTCTTCATCTCACTTGTCTCCGGCGATTAATTTAATTTTAGATGAGTTCCATGTTTCCTTGACTGCTTATAAAGTAACCTCGTACACTGATAGTTCTATTCCTAAAATAAAATTCAGTAATTCACTATCATCGGTTCAAAGTTGTAAAAATTGAATAATAGATGAGAATTTCTAAGAATTTTCCCATAGCTCGTATTGGAATCTGCCTTTATCAATAATTTTTTCACCCTATATAACCCGAAATCATGTTCCGCAAATACCAATTATTATCTCCGTCGTCAAAAATAAATTTTTATGCCAAAAGTTACAGAATTAAGCATAGTGAATATGTCTCTGTTAACTTCACTTTTTTGTTTCTCTCTTACTTGGCATGTAAGGAGCTAACTCAAATTATTTGCATATTTAATATGCATAAATCGCATCCCTGACGCAGATCACAACTTATAAATTTACTAACTTGAAAAATGAGATGAATTGATTAACTGGTTCAAAACTATGTGACCAGTTCGCGAGGGGACTATTTGTGAATTGGTTAGTGAGACTGTAAACTAGCAAATCACAGTCCTCGGTGTGGGGTCGATATCCGAAACAGATCGGTTTGTATCAAATTATTAACAAACAGTTCTAGCGTTTGGACAATTAAGAGACTGAATAGTTGATATTGAAATAATTTTAGTGTTATATCCAAAACTCGTGTTTTAAATCAGAAGAACAGGGCCCTTGGCGGTCTCCTTCTAAACCTGCCATGTTTCATCCGATCGCTCCTTAGTTTGCTTATTTTCTTCCTGCAAACATTTGGTAAGAATAAAATTTGCCTGGCTGGTTATCTTCCATTCTCACGTCAGATTTTGTTTGTGCGAATATCGTTTAAACGAAGAGGGAACGTTGAGGATAGCATCATAAAAGTTTTAAAGGAACTTGATAAAGTTTTTGAAAACTACGTGCTTCTCTACTAGCGATTTTGGATAATTATTTTCATAGTAATGAATGCGAACCTTTCTGCCCTCGCGCAAAGTCGCGAACGTCACGATAAATTAACAGAAATTCATTCTTTTCTCGACTCCATCCAAAGTAAACAATAGTATATTAAAAGTGTAGATGAATGTTTCAGATACTAGCCCTGGTAAACTTGTCAAAGCTTTATGCAATTTATCTCGCAGTGAATTTTTCTTTATCGTTTTGAAGGAAGCTGTGTTTCGTTTCGTTTCGGTATGGCACCGTTATGAGACTTTCCAGACAATATTTACATCTCTGATGTTTATACTTACATGAAAAAGCTTTGTTAGACGCGCCATTTTCCAGTTGCGAAGCTTTTCTTCTCCGTTGCTGTAGTTGGATAGGATCCACTAGACGAATGGGCGTGTAGCCATACAAATAGTTGAACAAATCTTCAGCGGTTAGCTTAATCCTTTGGGTGGACGGCGGATTAGGCGAAGTTTGGAGCTGAAGAGGAGAAGTTTTTCCTCCCTGTCTTGTTCGGTCCAACGTTGTAAATGTTGCCATTTTTAAAATCTCGACTTCGGAACAATCAGACTCGAGCTCGAAAAAAGCGTTGCTATAGCTAAGATGATCTTTACTGTAGGTTTCACGTTAGTAAAGGAAGTTTAACAAGCAGAAACCTATGAAAAATGGAAAAGTATATCAATAAATTATCACACAACGCTCTATCGGCTCTTCTCACCAGGTGCCATATTCTTGGCCTTATACAAATGACATAAGTTGGAAAGGAAATTATTCATGCTTTGTCAAATGAAGCGTACACCGTCACCTGCTCCACGTTTTGAAAAATTGATGAAGGCTAAATAACTTCTTGGCGGTAAAACAAGCTTCTTTTCTTCGCCAAGGCAGGTAGTCGCTCTACCATTATTTTGACAGAATATTTGTGGCACGTGCCGGCAGGCCCACCAAACTTCAGCTTATCGAATAATTTACGACCGAAATTATTCACTCCGACAAGACTGAACAAAAAAGGAACGCTTTCCATAACACTTTGCGCTCTTACTCCAAATGACAGTACTGTATGATATCTTTGTCACGGTTTTTCTGTCGATAATGCCTGATGGGCAGCTCTGATGAAGTTGTCTTAATGCCTTCCTTACTGACCGACACAATGTGTCACGGGTAATTTAACAAGCAAACACAAAACTTTAATAGACACTTTCCCGAATTTTCGGTGAAGGAAATATTATCAAAATGTCTAGTTTTAGCGGTCAAAAGAAATCTGATATGAAGTAAAAAAAATCAGCGCTATTGGAACTGATCGTTAGTTGAGATGAAATCTGTAGAAAAAATTTGTTCCGCACCGAAGCCACAATATTATTGTTTCGAAGTCGTACAGCTCTCGCAGTCAAAACCCTAAGGTTAAAATAACCAAGCTTTCCATATCTACCATGGTTTTAGCTATAAGAAATATTTTACTATCTCCGATAAAATTATCTTTGGCGTTCTTGATCTTCAAAATTTAGGAATTCCTGAGCACCTGCGTGAGCGAATACATTAGTAGCTTGAGATATAGGCAGAATCTAATCAACCTTTAACTTAAAGTTTCCTTGAAATTTCTTGTTCTCTAATATTATTTTTCTCTAGGCTACTGAAATGTCGGATAAATGGAAATGCCATATAACAAAGACAATTTACAAGTTATCTGAAAACTTCTTACCTGAACTAGAGATGCAAAGTAAAATTTTAGTCTGTCTCTAAATTACGCAATGAAAGGTAAACTCCATCAGGTCTTTCCAAAAATATGAGTCTTTCGCAAGATTTTTCGCGTCGCTTCCGCTCGTAAAGATCTCAGAAGCAGGCGAGAGTCTGTGCTATGGAACACGTGCGTTTCTTTGATTTGACGAGCACGTGTTTAATCTTGAACCAGCAAAAATGTTGAGGAGGAGTTTACCAAACGGATATCCGAAATGGGAAGCGATTTAAGGCAAAAAATTTCCGTGTTCTTTGTAGAAACGAAAATGTTTTGAGAAATGTAAAGGCAGTTCTGACACAAAAATTAGATGCTTCTAAGAGATTCTCCTGCGAATCTGTTCGATCGGCTCACAAAGTTAACCTTGTACTTGGCTGTACTAGAGTACCTGGCGTGAGTAGAAAGCGCTAGAGATAGAAAGAGAGAAAGCTAGTGAAAAGTTTGACTTGTTAATAATTGATTACGTTCCTGGGTTAAGTGACAACAGATTCAATCAATATGAAATTTCAATAATTAATTTTGTGTTTTGAAAATAGCTTCAATTGTTTGCTAGAGAAAGTTATTAAATATGGATGACCTGTCAAGTAGGTTTCCATAATTCATAGCGCTGGCATTTTATGGCAGTGAAAATTTACCTCGCATTCCGACTTAAATATTCTGTTCTATGTTGACGAAAGAAATGAACTTTAATCAACTCTGAAACAAGGTGAAAATGATAAAAACTTAGGCGGAGCTTTCGAAAAATACCATTTTAAAAATTGGCAATTGTCTCACGCGGATGTTTCTGTTTCGAAGATGTTTGCCCGAAGGAGAATATACTCCACACAACACCCAAAGCTGAAACTTTGATGAAAAAGGTTATTTTCTAAGGAGTCTCTGTTCGATTAACTTTGTTCTTTTATTTGGCTCCAAAACATGCGAAGCAAATATTTATGTTAGGGTCGGAAAAGAATACATCGCGATTTGTTACTCAAGGCTTTTGAGAATTTCCTTGACTAAAACTACTACCAGAATACTGAGACGCAATTTTTATATTTGACATATTTATTGCTAATCAAGAAATGTTCTCGAAACTGTGGTTGCTTTAGGAGACCACTATTCATTCGGAAAAGTGGGAACCTTTTAGTCAGGTTCATTGGGCCTCTTTAATTTTTCATAAGGGTTGTCTCGCTTGTTAGCTGTGTGTAATTGAGATCTTTCCAATCTAAACATAGGAAACAGTTTATGGTAAGCTATGAAATAATGATCAAACTCAAATAGAATATTTAGCACTGGAGTTATCTGACATTAAACAATGCAGTTCCATAGACTTTTGTTCTTTTTGTTTCAAAGGAATCAGTGTTTTTGACATATGTCAACGAAATCAGACTCTTCTAAAGCAAGCTCTTCAGTTTCTTTAATATTGCATTCATTTGATTGAATGTTAGAGAAATGAAGAACAAACTCGCTGTCGCGGAATATTAATTAGAAGGAACTGCTTCACTCCACAGAATCTTGTTGGACTGTAATGTAATTGACCTTTATTTGCGCTTGCCTATTAAGACCAAGGTAGCTTAGTGGGGTGCCTAAGTTAATAAAAACCAAAACTTGAAAAATACAAAATAAACCTGCAATTTATCTCCGATTAACCATTCGTTTCAAGCTAGAAAAGATTTTACAACACAAAATCACTTCATTAGTAATGCTTCATGTTTTGAGTTTTGGTCGTAACGTTGAAAATATGTCAAGTTTAGATACTGACAAAGTGTGTTATCTGGACACAAACATGTAGAGAGATGAAATCACTTTTTTTTTTAATCAGTGTTCAGCTTGGCAAAGCACAGAAACAAGATAAATCTAATCGGAAAAATTTGACTGGAATGTATATGAAAGAGTGCCGCTTTTTTCTGGTAATGCTATGTCAAAAGATAGCTACCTTATTTCCACCTCTGTTTCAATTAATCTTTATCACTGAATCTTTAAGCTATAAGAAATTACTCAAGAATCCACAACAAATGAAAAAAAATTGACGTATTGCTTTTATTGTCAAAAATGCTTAAAATGTCGCGAAAGAGGGAGTTCTTGAAAAGATAAAATCTCTTTATTGATATTCAATTTTCGCATGTCGCTATTTTTTCGTTACCATACGTCTTGGGGGAAAGTAGTAAAATATGATAAAAGGAGACTTGAAATTAAAATCTAACCAAAGATTGATCACTTCGTAATGGTAATTCCTATGTTCAAATGCAATGTAATCTCTTGAACTACACTGATTTAGCCCTAAGAAATTTGGATCAAAACGCGCACGCAGTATCTTTTTAAGTAATGAATCGGGAGCGATGGGAACTTGTCCTCATGGCAGTTTTTTTTAAAGTTTTGGTTCGTGACATTTAAGTCAAATTGATTGCGCATGCTCCGACTTGGCAGGTGAGTCTCACCGGCGCGAAAATGAAATAGTAACTGTGCTAGTATGGATGAGTTTGAAACAACTTTTTCTATCAAAAAAGAATAACACTGTTTTTTAATTTGAGTAAGCAACGTTTGGAATCATATAATCGTGTTGCGCTGTTTTTATTATGATGTGAAAGCCTTTGATTATCTTTGTAGGGAATAAATACGAACATTGTATGGTATTTCAATTAATGACAATTTGCCGAGTTCTTTTTCTTTTGATCCCTAGTTTTTCTAGTCTGAGTTGTTGTTGGTGTCTCAAAATTGTTAAATGGATCCATTCTTAAGAATTGGTTCCGCGCTTGATGATATAATTAGACAATTAAATGCAGAACAATATGTGGCTTTTGGCGGATTGAGCCACTCAGACTTTTGATAAACCTTTTCCTAATTTTACTCATGAAAATTTCTGAGTAGCATGCGAGAACTTATGACTTAAACATCTATAAAAGACAGTCGGAGCTAAATAGAAATAATTGATAATAATAATTTATCAAATAGGTTAATCTTGAGTCACGAATACGGAGAAACAGATGAACCTTTTAGAACCTTTTTATAAGATATGGAAACTTTTAGATTTTTTTTAAGAGATAACTGCGCTGACCCAAGTCTTAATGCTTTCAATTCCTCGGAGATGAAAATTTGTTCATTTTTAGTTCGCAAGTTTAACCACCCTGTGAACGGAAAATTACTTTTTTTTTCTACCACTTGATGTGTTAATTCAGTAAATGACCACGATCTTCTTTGGTTGATTCTTATACCTGACTCTAGATTACATCATGGCCTTCTAAAAGTTCATTTTATCAAATAAGCATACCTTTGAATTTTACGAATGATCCACGTCCTTCAGGCAAGGTTTACAGCTGTAAACTGCGTTGAAACTTCCATCGCCTATTGATGTCCATCAGGTTAAAAATTTCTTTCCATTTCATTTTATCAGAGAGACTTTTAACCTTCATGCGGTCATACTTTCCAACGATGGAATATTTCCGTAAATCAAGGGTCATTGTGCCACAGATGAGTTGACAAACAGCAAAAATCCAGTTAAGTTTAGGAGCTTAAGATGAGGCGGGTTAGTTTTCACAAATAATGGAGTAAATGAACATGAGTGAACTTTAGTGGTCTCAGTTGTTGATTTTCTGACAGATCAACCTGTCACCAAGCAGGTTATTTACTGGTAATGACGGGTGCGCTTCATTTCCACAAATCTTTTTTTGAACGATTTATCAGTTTATCACAAATTATCTTAAATATTTCCTTTCCTATAATTTCCATATGTCTTTCGTGGACTTAGAGGTTTGAGCACACACGAATTCAAGATACCGACGGTTGAACCAACACGGTGTCAATGATGCGATTTTGGTATTAAACAGGTTAGTTGGAGACAAATTTCTGTTTTTATCACAGATCTTTGTAATTGAGGGTGAGCTTTGTGAGGTTGTGATCAATTCTTTATTTTTTTCTATTATCTCTACTATTACCATAAATGTTAAATTTCCTAAAGAGTATCTGCTCACTTCAAATCAAATGCCTGGTACTACAAGATGTCAACAGGAGGCGAGGCAGACCAATAGTAATTAGGGGGGTGGTGTCTGTCCCGTGAGATCTACAAATTGATTAGCGAACCAAGAATTCTAAGTGCATTTCCTAGTGGAGATTTTGTATAAGCTCATCAAACAGCGCATGACAGCAGCCATAATTTAAGATCATTATTTGAAATTGGCGCCAAGTGGGTTCTCAGACGCTGTGTTTGACAGGCAGGACTGTCATTTACTTTCAACCTGTTCGATGCAGTTCTACATCATATGATTAACTGTGGCAATGATACTTGCCATAGAATTATAAAACTCAAGCTGCCAAGCTTGTATCGACGATTACGCTCAGTTTGACCTCGACATGAGGTTGACGAGGCGTGAACACAATTCTGCTACATAGATGATTTTTCCCTCCATTGTGAAGCCTCTCTCCGAGTTATTCTTAATTGCAACCAACTAAAGGTGCAAAAAGAGCGAACATTTTCCGCTTCACTTCACTTATTTTTACTCCCAAAAAAGATTAATGAATTAAACTTGCCTGACTATGCAGTCTGTACTGGGTGCGAACCCTGGGTGCCCCCTTCTCCACTCCCAGTCGGCCATGCCTTGTCCTCTCTTTACGGAAGAGAGCAATCAGGGATTGTTCCGGCAATTCTTCTTACCAAAAGACCCTGGCTAAGTCACCTTTTTTATTTTTTATTTACACACTAAATGTATAACACGATACCTTCAATGCTTGTTTCTCTCTCTCTCACCGTTATATACCTAAAATAAGTGCTACTCTTTACAAATATGGTGGCGTATATTTAGCATCTCTTTCGGTTATTGCTTCAGTCAAAATCTTCAGTTCTTGTTTCTTTAGCTTTTTGTGAAAAAGTCAAAACGAGAAATTTTATTACCACGAACCACATATATGCTTTCCTCTATACTATTTGCTTTTTTTTCTGATGTAAATTTTTTTTTCGACAGGCTGCTGTTTGTGAAGTGTTTTACCATGATTACACTTTTAACATTTCTTCTCCCGATTTTGCTTCATGAATGCAATGTCATTGGAAACGTCACTGCAGCATCAAATAGTAAGTAAACGAGTCTTCTTGAAAACAATCGTTTCAACTCGGATATTGCATGTAGTCAACAGCTGACACTAAACGGCAATGTGGCTTCCCAGATAAATATCCTAATAAAACAAGGCCAAAGGAAGTGGTGCTGAAGTCCACGCTTCAGCTAAGAAAGGCAGATTATCACGAGAATAATCACGACTAAGTTAATCAACGAAATATCATACCGACAGTATTTCTCAGTCTAATTTCGTTCTTTCAAACAACAATTTGTTCTCAGATAAAACCTGTTGGACCGAATGCACAAAAACATGTGGTGGTGGAATGCAAGTCACTTGTCTAAATAACACGACAATAACGAGAGCCTGCAATACAAGGCGCTGTCCAGGTTAGTATGGGTATGTCCCTTTTGGCTTTTAGTGTTTATGCTGCTTGGGAACAAATAAAGGGTGAACTAATGCCAGAACTGGAGACATCTTTTTCATGATAGATATACCATTTATCGTGTAAGATAGCAATGCTCAATTTTTTTTTTCTTTTTTCATGAACAAACCTCAGGGGATCCCGAGTGGACGAAGTGCACTTTATCTTGTGGTGGAGGGATACAGAAGAACATTGACAATAGCAGTATTCTGCGAACGTGTAATACTATGCCTTGTCCAGGTAAGTAATTATTATTAGTTTTATGTCGGTCTCCCGGTTTGAAAACAAGACCAATTTTGTTCATAACTATTTATGATTTATTGCGTGCGCAGCAAGAGAGGATATACATATTCTTCTCTTGCTGGCCGGTAAAAGTCAATAGTAAAAATCATACGTCTCCTTGCTCTCAGCTCCCAGTGTCATAAAACACCGCATGAGTTCGTACCCAGCTTTCTGTGCTATCACATTCTTTCAGGAGATGCGGGGTGTTTATCTGCTTACCTTAGCTTCGAACACGTTTACGATCACATTGTCTACGACGAGTCACATAATGGCAACGCTGGAACAATGCATGGATGCGCGCGCATCGTAAGCAATGGTAAATTTGGCAAAGGATTGCAACTGAACGAAGATGGAAATGTAACATTTGATGTAGAAAAATTTAGCAATCGACCAACAGATGCAATTACTATATCTTTGTGGCTTAATTTATCACAAGTCAATGGTTCACACGAGCTTTTTTTCACTTGCGGCACTCCTGAGCTCTATAATATGGGTGATTATCATTTTGCAATCGAAGATGGGAAAGTCCATTGGCTTGAGGAACTTCCTGGAGATGGAACGCGTTTTAATGTTTCTTCAAGTATGTATCTCACCTTTTTATCTTTTTATACAAATTTCTGACTGTTTTCATTCTAAATCATTATTTTTCTTTAGCTCTCTTTCACAAATGCGCTTTGCAACTTGTCTAAGCTAAGAGACAGAAACTTGTTCGCTTGATCTAGTCCCATGGAGACAACTCAGGGGTCTATGTGTCCATGTAGCAGAAAAAAATTAGTTCTATCGCCAGTTCTCCGACTATTGTCCGTCCTCTTATATTTCTTACAGTTTAAGTAAGGTTCATGGGTTTTCGTTTACAGATCTGTACATTTAAGCAAACAAAAATAATCAAGGCTTGCATAGTGAGCTGCAAATATTTACTGTTGCCATAGCACGATCTCTGCTGATTACCTTAACTTGTTTCACAGATACTACAATAAAAAGCGGTACGTGGTACCACATCACAGGGACCTACAGACAAAGCACAGGGAGGGCACGACTTTACATTAATGGACTCCTGTCAAATGAAGTGCGACCTTCGATGACTCCAAAACGGTCAGCAGTACCTAAGCCCAATAATACCACGCATGCGCAATGGAAGTGTGCCAATTTAGGCAGTTCACCGAAAGAGAAGCCTTTACAAGGCATTTTAGATGAATTCCGGATCTTTAAATGCGAGCTCTTACCACAAGAAATTATGGATTTGTACAATAAGAATACTGTCAAGAAATTTCGAATTCCAGCACGAAAATCAAATTCGTTAATGAGACGACCCCTATGGCGAAAATACTTTTCTGAATCTCTTTCCTTAAAAAAATAATGGAAAAAAGACAGATATTGGTAATTTAAGGGATGATGGATGAAGCTTGTCTCCTGAAATTCCCAATATCTTGTATGAAGATGGAAGTTCTTGCTTTGGTATTATTAATGAGACATATATGCGTGTATTTAGGTGTTATTTACTCTTAATAATCATGTTGAATATAACAAAATGATCTCTATGCATGGAAAGTTTAGAAAACTTCGATCACTGAACAGTTGTATCGCCTATTGCTGTACCAGCTGCTTTCATTTTTCGGATATATTCTTCTAAAGTTTACAGAGGATGAAATTTGAAGTAGATTATTTATTCCAACGTGTTTTGTGTCACTATGAGGAAGGAGTGAGAATATGCTAAAATAAGGAACACCGGACAATGGAACACGCCGGGACACCGCGGACTAAAAGTAACGATAATAGTGAAATAAAAAGAATTAATATATATTATATATTATAAAAAAGAATTGAAAAGAATGAAATTATGTGTGGCTCGTGCCCTTGCCCCACGTGGCAAGTCCGCCGTCAAGTTTTCCGTTCACCAATAACCTCGTTGTAGGTGCCAGGAGGACTGGTGCTGTCGATGCGTTGCTCTATTTCAGTAGCGTAAATAACTTAAACACGAGGAAAAGCTCTCAGCTTTAGGAGCGAGTTATAGATAAGCGCACAAATTAAGATATGGCATTGAGCTATCGGAGCTAAGAAAACACTCACGCAATAAGGAAGCTTCCCGTCTGAAACACAGACAGAGCAGTAAAAAGATAGATTTCTTGTTTGCAAACACAAGAAATATTATCAAAGCTTGAAGTGATAGCAGTAGACTTTGCAATGGACACTTATGTAACCTTGCCTTTCTTCCTGTTTAAGAAAACCGCAGAGCATCTGTGGCGATGTTATCAGTCAGTCGAAAATCAAGATGGCGGGCACTACTCTGACTGAGAGCGTAAACAATTCCTAATTGATTTTTTTTTCATTCTATTACTTTTAATGTTTCGCGGTGTTCCAGAATGTTCCCGTGTTGAAAGATATTCCGGTGCTTTGACGCGTTCCAGCCTTCCGGTTTGTTACTGTGTTCCGGTATGTTCCAGTGTTCCAGCATGTTGCGGTGTTCCGGCATGTTACGGTGTTCCGGAGCGTTCCAGTGTTCCAACATGTTACTTTTAATCCATCCAATATCTCATTAGCTGAAGTTGTTTGGACAAGTCGACTCTCATTATTTCAAAATGATTGCGTGACATATTCCTATCTGCCGATGAACACCGCAACGTAACGCCGATGAACGCTCCGGTTAATAAAAGTTCGGTAGTGAAAGAAATGGCATCCATCTTGCTCAATCTGAATTTTACCCAACACTAAACAAGTTAATTTTTTCGCCACGTGGTAAGAAATTTTCCACGAAAAAGATAGCACATGCCTGTTTTTCTGTATGAGCTTGGACTCACTCCTTCGTTAAATTTTTTTTATGCCCAACACCGAACATGTCGCAATGTCTTAGTCGATTTTCTAATCTTGTCCTCAAGAGGAACCACGAGGGATTCCTCAAAGACAAAAGACGGAAGTACGTTCAAGACCAGTATTAATTTCTCATCATCAAGGCCTTTTTCGCCACCGGCGCAATTAGAGCAGATGATGATCTCCACAGGAGAAACCTTCCTCGCTTCTCTAACATTTCTTGTTAAAAGGCAGGCCCCCTTTAGAAAACTACTATGAAATTAGTGCTGCAAAGAAAAATAAACAGAACATTCTTTGTGTTAAAATGATATGCACAACAGGCAGTATGGGTTGTGAAGAGTAAACAAAAACCATGCATAGTCGCCTGAAATTTGAAATACTGAATGCACAAGCTCTCATTGAAGGTATCTGTTTTCGTTTCGTGTAAATTATTTTTGTAAACTATAAAATTGAAAAGTAGCTTTGTAGACTTAACAAATTTAATGGAACACGTGTCTTTCAACACCACTGGGACATAACTGATAAAGCTCTTACGTTGAAAGCCTTATGAAGCTTGTCCATCAGTCATCAGTGCTGAAGAGAATACGACGAAAGAAATTTGTTATGAAAACAAGTGATGAAAGTAAATTTCCTTATTAATTTCACACAATGAGAATTTTATTGGAAAAGTTAGCCAAAGAGATCTATTAAAACAAAACGCGTTGATTGAGGTCCCGATTCTGACCACATCATTGCGCCTTAACTCTAAGCTGACAACCTGCGAATTCTGATCCTCAAATTCATGTGCAGATTGACGTTTGTATTAGTGTTGCACACCCTGGAACTTTCTCACCAGACCTGCTGTCTGTAAAATAATCTCGACACACTTCATGTGACACTAATTTTTTGTTTCATCTAACCCCTATATTAAAGCTACTTCGCAAAGTCGTTAGAGTGGAAACCCTAAATCGATGTGGCCTTTCCTTCGAAAGGGACAAAATACATGCAATTTAAAAACGGTTTCGCGTCTTTGAATACCGCGTGTTAAAGAAACCCCTAAGAGTGAAGTGTTTTTGCGAGGGACGCATTTGGACATTTGCTATTGGTTTGCTGCGAGAATAATTACGAACAAAAGAGCCGACCCTGCACGTGTAAGTGATTGAGACTTTCAAAATTAATTTAGGTGTGGGGACACACAGGAAGACTGAAAAGGACTACGTAATATTGATGTATAAAGTAATAATTAGCTTAATTGCGCCGATCGATCAAACACATTATTTTAACGATAAATGCATTGTTCATCAGTGTACCTCCCTTATAGTTTAATGGAAGTTTTGCTTGCGACGCAACTGCCCCAGCACAGTGAGCAGAGAGACCAGCACATATATCAAACTGCTTTTTGTATTTGGATTGTGAAAATGAGCGCAGTTGTATCCACATTTGATGAAGTCGAAATTATTATTAAAAGCCAACCGATAGATCTTAGAAGTCATGGTAAATCCACAATTGAAACCTTCAGCTCTGACCAGGGTAAAAAAATCGAGTAGGACAGCAGTTATATTTCCGAGCTATTCTTTAAATAACCGCGTTATTTTTGGTCCAAAGAACACCCATGAAGGCGAATTTTTCATCTATTAATAACAGTCGTACACTTTATTCAAATTTCTAACTGAATTCTAACACTAATCGCTTTGACTGAACGAACTGATTATACTGTACTCTAACAGCATACATTAGTTTCTAAAATTTGCCAATATTTATGGTGTAACAAATGTAAATACTTTTTTGTGAGTTAAGAATATTACACAGTTCAAGCACTTTTAGGTAAATTAATGCAGAGTTGATGGTTATTATTTTTTTCATTTTCTTACCTCAAAGACTATTGTGTTTACTTGCATAAGATTAGAGAGTCACGCATACACCACATTTGTTCTCTCCTTGAGCGTTTTTTAGGTTTTTATTTGTTGTCGTTTAAATAAATGCTTCCGAAAATTCTGAGATATGAACGATGATTAAGTTTTGAGAGACATTTTGTCAAAAATTTATTGCGAACACGAGTAAATAATAATTTGTGGATATCTGGATATATTCATTAGACTCTTAGACTTTCAGACAAAATTAGTTTAACACTCCTTTTGTTTCATAATTTTAAGCAAAGACAAACTGCAGAAAAAAAGGGAAGAAAAGAAGACGTTATAGCTTCCTTTGGAAAAACGTTGGAACTCGGACGAAAGGCTTTTCATCTCAAGTATTGGTTGATTGAATGTTACTGCCCATTGACTTTCCTTCTTGTCGTCACCAAGAAAATTTTCTTTCACAGAACTGAAGAACATTTTCAATTGATTCATCACAAAATTGCTCCTCCTTCGTGTTATTATATGCTGAGATATTTTCAATTCGGTGATTAACGAAGAAGTCCCTTGTTACACACAATTTCCTCACTCTTATCTTACTGTACATAAAATATTAAAAAGTGCGCCTAGAGACTCAGATGTAGCATTGCGTATTAGTACACCTTCTTTCTTTTCGCAAGGAGCAGGTGTCATATCTGTCAAAGTTAACATATTTTCCTTTGCAAGTTAACAACGTAATTTATAGCTCTTCTTTTTACATCTGGGTGTTACCTTGTGATTACTTTGAACCATGTCTCGGATAGCTTTTCATTTGTGGGACGGTGCAGAACTCTTAACCGTGTTTAAGCTCATCCGGATATTGGGATAGATTGTGCAATTTGTTGGGAATAGAGTGCGCAATTTGTTGAACTTTAAAATAAACTTATAAGAATTAAAACTGGCGGCACCTTCAATTTTTCATATTTATCTTGAAGGGAAGTACTTAATATTTAAAGTTTGCTTTTCGCTAAATTTGAAGTGACAAATGTTGCGAAACTTCATACTCTTCATTATGAAGATCATGCATTATTGAACACATTTTAAACAGTGAATTCATGGAAGGAAAAAAAAACACTCAATGTCTTTACTTAATGTAATATTTTAGAAAAAGCTTAGAGCCAGAATAAAAGTTAAACAAAGACAAGGTGTTATGTAAGTTAGCATTTACAACAAGTCAGCTAATTAAACTCGAACAAAACCTCACATCCGTTTTCAGGAAATCATTAGATAAGAGGATAAACTTTAAAGCTACTATTTCTAAGTTTCTGTTTTCACAGTTTTTAAAATCAGAAACAGGGCGATACTTTTAAAATGTTTTCATGAAAGAAACCCTAGCTTTTGATCGCGTGTCTCCGATGCAATAAATTAGCAACTGAATCCGTTAGATCCTCACAACACCCGTAGGCAGCACCACCTTTGGGACTAAAAATAACACCATAAGTAGTTCATGTGAGTTTTGAAAGGGAACTCCCCCCTCGGTCCTTCAGATGAAACATCATTAAGATAGAAGTAAGATTTGCAAGAGGCTGGCCGGCTGAAGGTAGTTGGTTCATCGAGTTTTTCTTTTCAATTACTTTTTTCCGTTAGAATCCAATTGTCATGTGAAATATTTGCCCGAATTTTCGGTGATGTTTTATGAATGGTGAAAAGGTCACCACTTCCGCTACAGAAATACAATGACCCTGATAGAGTTTAGTTAAGAATCGAGGAAGCACTTATCTTCAAAAGACGATAACCAGACAAAATGAATTCCAGTGTGAGACAGCCATTAAGCTCGAAAAAAGCAAGTTTAATTACGCAAAAGAAACTAAAGAACAAGCTAGCACTTTGTGTGTCATTCGCGTGGGAGACTTCATTTACACGCATTTTGAGTGTTCCTAAACAACCCTACGTCGGTGATTATGCCAGTAAACCGATAGAATGTTCGGTTTATTGCTTTCACGAAGAAATCTTAATGTTGTACTTTTTGAATGTTCTATCTGTTCAATACGCAGCGGGTTTTTAAGACCAGTCAGCGTTCATGCATTATCTTAGATATACACTGCTCACAAAATGCCCAAAACAAACGTTTGCCTACTTATCTGGAAAAATGCGTTCTCTGTTCAAAACTTATTTAGTTTAGACTCATTTCCGACTCAAAAACTCCACTTTATTGTGCTCAAAGCTTAATTAGAGTAATGTATGTAAGTATAAGTAAGTTTGATAGGAACACGCGGCAAATTGTCGGCAACCGTCTAGTCTGTTAAGTGTTTCATCCAAGCAATTTATCACAAAACAATAAACTCCCCAGTCAGTGAAAGCAATGCCTTTAATTGTTGTCACGAAAAGCTATAATTTACTCAAAATTCTATCTTTACGTATTACGAATAATACGGAATTTTATATTTCGAAGCTTTGGTGTCTTAAATTGATGAGAGAATTACAGTTTTTTTTTTACGGCTTGTGGATGTTCTTGTTAGTTCCTTATCAAAAACGGTATGTCTTAAAGTCGGCGAGTGATTTCAGACTGAAATGTTTTAGGGTCTAAAAGGGGAAATAACAAAATCACAGCTTGAAGATGCATTACAAAGATATCTAGTTGAGAGTTCGACAAATTAGCCCATTTGAATTTTACCGCTTGAAGTGTTGATAATAAATATTGAAGAGTTAGGAATAAAACTGGTTTGAATGACCCAGAATTTAACAGCGCTGAGCGGGTAATAAGCCAAGGAAGGCTGTTTATTGTGAAAAACTAATGTGACAAATTTCAGAAGTGCAAGTAAATGTCGTCATTATCACGAGGTGTAGTTTTAAATTAAACTTGTACTTTTTGCCCGCAAAATGAACAAGATTGTCGTAGAGATGCGGAGATTGGCAAATAGTTAAGTTTTGTTGGAGTAGGTGCAAAGGTGCCCCACGTACCCGGCACTCGAGTATACCATTTCTTGGCGAGGTTAGAGTGGTAGAAATGAAATAAGATCTTTACCTTTTATAAGGTTTTCGTTTATTAATGAGGTTTCGAAAAAACTCCGGTGTAAAATGACCTGTAGATGGATCTTTGCAGAAGTAGTGCTATTGAAGTTGCTTGCGTTTTAGTCACTACTCGGGACTTTTAAAAGACAACGAAAAAGGTCATAAAAAAAATAAAATGAAAAGAAAAATGAAAACAAGATCCATTACAACAAAGCTACGCGACTGAAAACAAAACTCGCAGTTTGAGCATTAGTATGAAATAATAAATACGACTAACCCAAGCGTGCCTGTAAACAAAAAGAAACACACGTTTTCAATCTTATTTGTTTGAAACCTGCGGCTTTAAATTTGTTTCAAAACAGCAACGATAAATGGTCTCCAACAGAGGAGTAATAAAGCTGAAAATATGGTAATTTGTCTGTCTACTGAGGTAAAATATCGAATACTTTTACTTCAAAGGATTACATTTTAGTGTACGAGTTTTTGAGATGATGTCGGGGGGCTTAATATGTTTACTGAGTATTTTGTAGAATATTTAGTTGTTGTAGCTGGGTAGTAAATTATTTTCTCATAATTACGCTGTTTGAATGACTTGACGTTGAAGTAACTTACCACAAAAGGCAAATATTCTGTGCTAATTATTACTGCTATTAAGAAAGTCTATACATGTCTGCATTCAGCTGGCCGTGCATTTAAAATGAGCAAAATGGACTCCGGTTTTACTGATTATTTTGGAAACATAGGAGTCAAAATTTTGCATGAGCAAGGTCGAATAGTTCACCTTCCTCCTTATCTGTAATTAGAAAAAATGCTTTTTCTTGTTTTTTTTTTTTAATTAATATAATTTTTTGCTCCTTATTCATTCATACCCTGTTCAGGATTAATATGCATCCTTCAATCATTTCTCATTATGGCAATACAGGTGCAATCAACAATAGGTTTTGTTTAAAATGCGGCTTTTCTATTGGCGAACAATCGCATTCAACACTTGTTGTTTGGTTTAACTTCAATCGGCCCATCGTTAGTCCTAGTCCAGTTATTCAAAAATACACAATAAGTTCAGCGCGTGCGTTCAGTTTAACAAGTCAATCGGCGGGCCCCGCACGTGTCATGTACGAGACCATTTGCTGCGGCTGACAATAAAACAGAGAAAGCACAATCACCATAAAGAAAGAATCAACATAAGTCGGTTACTACTTAACGCAACGCAAGTTTATTTTCACTTCAGATCCAATTAACACTTCTTTCGAGCAGATCATAACCCGAAAGGCAGCTTTGCAAAGCAGTAATCTCAACTAACGGTCAAGGCACCCAACAGGAAAATTCTAGAAAGTTTGAAATGCCGAAGTCTTTCCTTTTAAAGAGACGAACTCCACAAACCACAACGAACTCCAATCTCAAAATTGTTGATTATAAAGAAGGTTTGTGGATAACTATCATTTATTTTTAACCAGTCAGAAATCAAATTTTTGTTTAAATATCGATTCGATTGAACGTAAAAAAGGTTTTATCCTTTAAGTTACTAGTTCGTTATTTACATTAAGATAGTCGATGTCAACTTGTTTTGGAATTAGTTGAAACAAAGTAATGCTTTTTTCAAGTTTTAATATCGACCGTTTTTGGTACAATCCCTCTGAAAATAAATGTACATTAGCTTGCGGCATCTGCCAAACTGTAAAGTACGAAAGCGTCTTTAAAAAAGAGAGTTTTGTTAACTTACGCGGAACATTTCATTTTGGTCTAACAGAAGCAGTCTCGAACAGCTTTCAGTTAAAAAGATCCTTTGAGGAACAAACCTACAGACCTCTGCACCAGGAACCCAAGCCAGAACCAAGAGAGGAATTATTGGTTCAGAGCTCGGTACTTCAGGGCGCAGGTTACAACACAAGGGCTTTTGTCATGAACGACGAGCTTGTTAACCATTCAAGTGGCCGCCAGTTCTCCATTTTAAGCCCATATTACCACTTCACAGCTCCTGAGAGATTAGCAAACGCCGTCCATATGCATCCTGCCGCAAACGAACATTTCTTCTGGAGAAATGAGCTTAGTATCTCTTCCACCCCAGCTTGTTGTGATATTTATCAGCACGGAGTTCCTCTTGTAACTCCGCCTTCGATTTCCATTCCCGAGAAAGTCAAAGAGCCCTACCAGTGTGATCAGTGCGGTAAGATTTTCAAAACCAAATATACCTTAGCCATCCATTTAAAAATGCCAAATCACACTCATGCTCGGCCCTTCGTATGCAATACGTGCGGTAAAGGCTTCCGATTGTCTTCTACACTTTGCAGGCACAAGATCATTCACACTAAAGAAAAACCGTACAAATGCCATGTTTGTGAAAAAGCATTTAATCGCTCGTCTACACTTAAGACACATATCCGCACCCATAGTGATGATAAAGAATTTGTTTGTGATCGCTGTGGCAAAGGTTTCCATCAAAAGGGAAACCTGCGAAATCACTTTCTCATTCACACGGGAGAAAAGCCGTATAAGTGCAGCTTGTGCCAGAAAGCTTTCAATAAATTGTCGAATTTGAAGTTTCATATGCATGTGCACACAGACAATTCGCCATACCGATGTAAATTTTGCAAAGTTTCCTTTTCACGAAGATGCGATTTGAAAAGTCATATTCAGAACGCGCATGTTGGACAGGATGCAAACTAAATCCTTTGCTTGTACTCTAAAGCAAGAGGAAATCCAAACCCTTGGTGGCACCCTAAAAAGTATAATCTGATCAAGGCTTTCAGGTACTCTTAAGAGATCTTAGATAAAAAGCATCGCTCAATAACCCTAGATTTTCGTTTTGGTTTTGCAAGAATTTTCTTTTTATTCAATTTGCGAAGTCGAGGAAATGTTTTTCAGGTTTCGAAGATACAGTTAACTTAGTTCCTATATGATTTTTCTTGATAACCACTTGTATAATTGTAACTTATGAAAACTGAAGGAGAGCTTGTCGAATCTTACGAATCCATAACCGAACATAAAAACTGTCTCCTAATTCTCAATCATATAATTCTAGAGAAAACACCTTTGAATAACACGAATGTATTCTTTTGTAGCATAGGTACTTAAGCTTTTTTGTGTCAAAAATTCGAAGAATACACACTTAGGTTTGTACTATGATATGTAAAAAAAGGTTGTGAAGTTGCTTAAACTGTAGATAATTGTACATAGCCCCAATTTTAAATATTTGTAACGATAGTTAGTTCCGATAAATGTACTCCTTTTGAAATTAAAATAAATATAACCTCCTGTCAAGATTATCTCATAAATTCTCATTACTCGACGTTGTACTTCATATGCCAGTATTTATTCTGTGGTTATATTTTACAGGGTATCGAATGACTTTCTTCCCGTTTTGCCCGGTCTCGAATTAATACTCTTTTCTGGTTGACATAGCAATAATGAGGAATTTGTTTTGAGATAGCAAAATTAGCTATAATTCTGTCGATTTTTTGGAACTAAATAGGCAGACCTTTCTATCTGCTCTCAGATCTGTCCTCAAAATAAGATTTAAACGTATGCACAGTACGTCCATTTTGCAACTCTTCCCGCCAAAAGACAAATTATCAAATACAAGAAGACGTCAAAGCTTAATTGTCTTGAAAAGTCACTGTGGCAGGCAACTGTGTTTATGGAATGACATGAAGAAAACAAAAGCGAAGTCCTCTGAATATATGTCGAAAAATTAAGAAACCTGCAAACGTTAAAAAACGTCCTAACCTTTTTTTTTTTTTATTATTATTTTTTTTAGCCAAAACCCCAGGGTAAATATTTTTAATATGGCAGCAGCGAGGTCGTTGTTTACTTTTTCCCTCGAGGGTCGACTTCAAATGTAAGGAGTCTTTAGGGTATTCTTGTTAATAAGGTAAAGGTAGGCAAAATATTTGTAACAGATGCAAAAGCGAGTAGCTACTCTGCAATTTTTCAATTTTTTACCTCTAAGATTCATACTTTAAGTTGTTATTTTTGCAAATAAGCATTAAGCGTTACACGAATGAAGTGGAAAGTCAAGTTAGAAATTCGTGTTTCTTCGAGTGACAATTTAGTCGGCACCACTCTACATAGAAAATTGAATCAGTCGTAAATGGCGCTTTCAAAGGAAACACGCTGTTATTACATCGCAAACACGAGGAATGACTAGTCATTCCAACATTAAAAATTAATTCGTTCCTATTTTCTCTAAAAGTTACATGTATTCTTTCCAAAGTCCGTTTTAGAGGGTCACACCTTTAAATACATGATAACTTTCCTCTTAAGGAAAAATATTTTAGTGTTTTGTTTCAGGCGACTTCTGAGAGGCAAGCGGTAAACTAATGTTGTGGTAACAGACAATAATAGTTCTTTGGAGGCGGGTTGCACGCGCTCAGAAGATATACTAGTCCATGTATATTGTGCACAGAAATAACTCGGGGTTGTTAAATAACAAAGTAAAACAAAACAAAAATTCAATGTTACTTTCTAGACTTATGACCTTTATATTAAAGGCTGCAAAGTGTTTGCCAAATTAGGTTTATGAGACCGAACTCCCTCGACGCCTGTATTATGATAGATTTCATAGCCTGTTAAGATTCGAGACAGGGTTCTTTGAAAGTATTACGAACGGTTGAAATATTAACAAAAAAAATTGAAGAAGAAAAAAAGATTACTAAGAAACTCTCAGCTGGCCGTTACATCGTTATTCAACAGAATAAAGAACGAAGCGTCGCATAACAGGTGACTTCGGCCATATTCTAGTTTCAATTTTGGAGCGCACCTGAACCTAATGATGTAGAAACAGTCTCAATGGTCTTACCAACAGTTGACATTCATCGGGAGGTGTTCTCACAGGAGGCAAGTTAATACCACCCGCATGTTTAGTTTAAGCAATCAATTAAAATTTCTGTTATTTTCACCAGTCGCTTTGTGACAGCTGAGGGACTGATCTAAGTTTAGGCGTAAATATTACCCATTTATGGCAACATTGCATACTATGGACTGATATTGATCAAAAATTTGTCAAAGGTTCTGCCGGGTGATCTAAGTTCATTATACTAAGAAATTAAGGACTCTGTAAAACGTTATTACTTTTTTACGTTAACATTCGGGAGAAGACTTGATTCATCGTTTTATATTGCATCGTTTTCTTTCGCGTTATATTACTAAAACTTTACACAGTGCGACTACGACACCTGCGAAATTTGTTATCATTCATAAACAAAAAATGATGCATCACACAGTTTTCTAGTGTTAAATCGGCTGTTAAAAAATGGTTTGGCTTAAGAAATCCGTTCTTAAGATCAGGAAGGGAGTAGAACTGCATATCAATCGATGAGAAATAGCGACATACACTGCAAGTTTCTGATATAACGATCAATGATAGCAGATCATAGCTCAAAAATAAATTTCTCCCCAGGACTTTGCCTTTTGACTAAAAGGAAAAGCCCCGGGAGCTGGCAAAGTCCATTGAAAGGCTCGCTACCTCGTGGGCCAAGTTTTTGGACCCTGGAAATAGTTGTTTTTCAATTAAGCGATGGCTGGTGACCTGTTGTCTAACGCACCTTCATTCAAATAAACCGACTTACTGTCGCACATGGCCTAAGTTTCCCTGCTCAGCATGCTTTCATGACACGTTCGAAAACGTCGGCTCCCTATTATTCCTGAAAAAAGAATTAAGTTATTAAACCTGCGTTATGCATTAATTCCTATTAGATGCTGAAATAAGCAAGACACTACACGTGCTCTGATTGGTCAAAAAATCACAATTAAAACAAGAGAAACCTCAACTATTTTTAATCAACAGGCCGCTGACGCTATCGATTATCAGCATTTTGACCGACCATCTTTCGTGCCTTATTACACTGGTAAACCAAAAGCAAGATGATGGTCTCTATTGCTTAAAAACTTAACAGATATTAATTATTTTAAGCTTCCACGTGTCAATTTTGTATTCTGGCCAATATTTCCCTGCTATGTCGCTTGTCTATCGGTGATGTGATTATGAAAAGCGTTATCCCAAGAATCAAAGGATTGGAAGAAAAAAGGCATCAGTGAAAATCCTTAATTTTTTTCCATCGAAAGAGACTGAAATTTGTCTCTATAACAATATTGAGTGGTCTGGAAAAGAATAAAATAAATTTTGTCCAATAAACTTTGAATCTCATTTGCAGCTTGTCAAATTCAAGCTTGAATTTCTTATCACCAGATGAACCCCAAATTTTAATGACCATGGCTAATCGAAAAAAAAAAAAAATGAAAAAAAGCTTGATTATTTTGACTGAACGGAAATATAGTAACTAAAATTTTGACGAAGGGAAATTACTAGGAACAGTTCATGCCTCCCATGAATATCAAGATCCTTCAGCCCTCGTTACCCAATCATTTATTTCTTGAAAAGAACAAGGGGCTGACCCGAGTTTAATGTTACTGGTAGAGAACCATCTGAAGAAACGGTTAGAGTTCCTGAAGAATTCAAAACATTCCCCAGAGTATTCCCCGGTTGGTATGGGGTATCCCTGACCGAAATATTGATGGATGTATCCAGATTGGTTATGACAACCAGTATGCCTCCTTTAGAGAAGGCATAAGCATCAGCCTGGACGTGCCTCTCCACCTGGTAAGGTAAACAAAAACACATGAACACAAGTTAAGGAATGCGTTCAAAGGCGAAATTGCTTTGTGAAAGAGCTAGTCAATAGGTCTAAGATGCGAAACTCTTAACAAGGGGTTCAATCTTTCTCCAGTGGGTCTATGTCTCTGATACATTAAAAGCCAACCAGTCGAGTATAAAATGGAAACATTTTTAGAATCAGAGAGGCATTCTCTTCAATACATCCACTAAACGAAGACCGACGCCCGCGATCCGTGACTGTGGGCCGGCAAACCTCAACTGCGCATGCAATATAAACAAAAGCGTTCAAGATGGCAAGTAGGAAGTACTTCAAGATATGAACATCGGTTCTTCATCATGTGCGTTACCTGTTTGTCTTGTATCCATTCATTTCCAAGAGATCTTCTGAACTTCGCGAGTGTCTGAATAAACTTATACAATGGGTTTGCGGTGGACAAAGAGGGCCAAAGAGATTCACGGTTATTTGGGTCGGAGCCGCCGTTAAATCCCTGTTCGGTCCCGTAGTACACAATTGGGATCCAGTCTCCCATCATCAAAAATGCAAGAGCGTTCTTCAGTGATGTGTGGCTTGGGTTAAGATTCAAGAATCTTTGATTGTCGTGGTTATCCAGAAAGCCTCCAAAGACTGATCTAGTTAAAAGCAAAACAACTGTTATGTCCTGTCCAATTTTGAGTTCTAATTGTATCTTTTTCAGTTGCGAGACCATTCCACTCGTACGAGACATACGCTAATATGCTAATATCTGAGTAACTGTGCACCTACCCCTCCCCTAGCCCAACGTTAACCTGTATTTGTTATCAGGTGACTTTTTTTGGATTAGGGGAGGGATAGATACGCAGTGGCTAAGATAGAGATATTGATTCACACATCTTGAAATACAGAAAGATTTACCTGTCCTTATAAATTGTGTAGGAACTCTTTACGGCAGCACTAAGTGCAGTAAAATCCTTTGATTTTTCCTGAAAGATCTTCCGCAGGGTCCAGTACATTGGATAAGCTAGCACAGAGTCAATATACCCCTGGTATTCCGCTACATATTCCATTGATCCACAGGGTGGGGGACCATTGTTTGCCTCCCCGATCATAAACGCTCCTCCAGCTTTACGAAACTCTGCCCAGAATGTCTTTGGAACCTGTATGGTAGTGTCCAGGCGATAACCGTCAAAGCCAAACTCGTCAGTCAGACCTTGGATCCATTTCAAGAGCGTTGTGGCTACAAATTGATTGCTTTGGTCAAGATCAGGTAGGCCTGCAAGCCAGTAGTTCTCGATCTTCCATTGGTCTTTACATTCTTGAGGCCATTTTATGTAAGAATGTTGGGGATGGTAATGTCTTGATTCATTAAAAGGAATAAGGTTATTAAATCCAGTACCGGGTGGGTACCCCATGTGGTTGGCCACAAGGTCAAGCATTACCCAGACTCCCCTCTCGTGACAGGCTGCTACTAAGGATTTCAGATCATCCCGGCTTCCAAAGTGCGGATTTATTTCAAATATGTTCTGAGCCCAGTAACCATGGTAACCTCTATCGGTATTTTGCACAATGGGTGAGATCCATACAGCATTAACGCCCAGGCCTGTTATGTAGTCCAGGTGTTTTTCAATCCCTTTGAACGTGCCACCGCAATAGTTCTTTAAATCATCACATTTTCTGGACGGTAAATCTCCAGAGGGGGCAAACCGATCCGTCAGGAGCTGGAGAACAAGAAAGCAAAGTCCAGTGATTGAGAGATGATATTAGAAGAGGCACATTCTTATCCTCAGGATGTCACGCAAAGCTTACTCTAAATGAATTGCGTGACATCCCAAAGAGCGGCTGCGAAGGAAACATTGCATAACATAATACATCAACTTGCCGATTCTCCCCTCTAGCTGCTGCATATCTCCTTGTAAATCAGTTGCGATAATTTGGAGTATATACATATATTTCATTCATACATTATCTGCCAAAATAGGTCATGAGAATACTCGAATGCACCAGGAAGAAGTAGTTATCTTGATCTAACTCTAAATTCTCGTAACTTATTTACAAGGAAATGTGTGGCAGCTAGATGGGAGAATCAATAATCAGATCTTTGGAGTTAAAGGGTTAAGATGGGAATCAGCTGTGTATTTATGACTATGCTTTTTGTCATTAAGTTGACACCTCTCTTCTCTTCCCGATATTAAACAGTGGGTTGTTGTCATGCTAGCCTGCACATCAGGTGTCCCTTGACTTGCTATCAGGTGTCTTCTCTTAAAGTAGGAGGGCGAAATAGGTTAGTATGAAAGTCTGCTGGCGAGAAAAGGGAGACATTGACCAGACTTTTGGTCATTTTTTACGTTGACCCTTACTTATGCGGAATAAGCTAAGCTAATGGAATCGCACGATTTTGGGGCAGAGTGGGGTAAACAAATTGCTAGCAGAGAGGACATAGGAAGAAAAGCAGGGTTTATATTCTGCCGCTCCCTCCCCCTCCTCCCCGCCCCTCCAGTCTGTATTTAATTTATTTTTGCTACGTAACGCTTGCCTCGTGACCCGCCTCACGCATATCTAAAAATGCTTCTATAGGATGGGGGGGTGTGTGGGGTTCTGAACACCGTGATTCGTGACTAAAAATTACCTAAATACCTCAAGAAACATTTTACAACAGTGCAATAGCCCTTAGCTATTTAAAGTATATTCATTTTTCTGATTAATGGAGGAATCATTAAACGAAAAATCTTTCAGTAAAAGGAAAATTTTAAGTATGGTATCGGAAAAAAAATTAGCAATCATAAAATGTAGGCAGGTTGCAACATGACTTCGAAGAATTTTCAAGCCGACCTTGTTCGGTTTCAATCTGATTTTAAATAAGTCTGTTAATTTTCTCTAACCCTCACCTGATATATTATCCTTCCTTTCCATTCTTCAGCCGTTTTTCCGTCGCATTGATAAAAACTGATTTGAATGAAAAGCAAAAGTGTGGCGATTGTGCCAAGCGGTAACCTCTTGCAGCTTCCCATACTGAAATGCAATGAGTCAATGAGCTAAATTCAGGTCACCTCTTGGATAATCATGTGACAGTCACGCTGTATACTGACGTGACTGCCACGCTATGTATGAATGGTCAATTCAAATTTCAATATGGCGCCAATATTAGGGACTGCAACAAGTTGTTCTTTTTACCAAATTATTCCATGATAAGGAATATTATTATTACGAAGTAATACGTTGGATTTCATTATTATACACCTATTTTCGGTGAAAGTCCTCTAAAACAGTGGATGGAGATACCACAGTTGCCGGTTGAACAACTTTCATGGCTTTGAATTAATATGCAGGTTATGCATTCAATCATAAAAATAGTTCTCTCTCCTTGTATTTATAGGATCAGATTGGAAAAAGAAGCTAAGCTGAGGCGTTCGCAAATTTGGTTTCACAATCGATCGAGAGAAACAACGGTAAAAGTGAAGAAGTCTGGCCATTCTGTCACCACGTGTGCAAAGTGAAGTACTGTTTCAGCCGATGGAGAGGCTGAGGGGAATTTTTCATTAATTTACAGTGTTTTTTTTTTTTATCAAGATCCAGTGGATTTTGATATTATTTGAAGGATGTCTTCGGAAGAAAACGAACAAGTTTTTCTTGATAATGATTACGAAGGACTTGTCGCATGCAAAAGAGCAGTTACAATTAATTATTCATTCTTCGGGAACCATGGCAACACTACCCAAAATGACTCTTCACAGCAATTAGAAGAGAACGAGTGTCAATAAATTTCCAAAAGGTATGGAAGTGAATTTGTAAATATAGCGACTTTTGCGCTCCGTTTGTGAAATCCTCGAAGCCGAATGCTGATGTTGCACGCGCAAGAGAAGCAATGTATCATCAACAATCGGAGTTGTTTTTCTTCGATCAGTGTGGCACGAGACGAAAGTACAAACGCTTTCGAAAGCCAACCGAGTTGTTACCGTTTTCGTTACGACTCACGGGTCTCAGTGGAGCGGTTAAAGTTGAAGCCTATCTTAAACAACAGCAACAAAAGGCTGGTGACGCCGCACAAGGGAAGGAAAAGAGTTTTGCGGCTGAAAACAGCGAGACACCCGAGTCTCGGCCGGCTGGTGCGCTCAACAACTTCCCTCTACCCAAAGCTGATCACTCGGCAGAGATCGACGGTAAAAGACCACATCCTGCTGGTGGGAAATTATTGAATTTACCAGACATCGGTTTAAACTCAGGAGGGTTTAATTCTCCACCAGCGATTAGGAGTTTTGAACAACTGGAAGGAGACGATGACGAAGAAGACACTCAGAGATTCTTGTTCGAGGAGAACAAGTTCGCCTCCCAAAATCTGCTAGCTCAGCTGGGACGGTTACTCGATCAGATTCATCAACAACAATTAGAAGAACTAGAGGAAATTGAATCAACTAGTTTACATTTTTGTCGGGTTGCAAGTCCTGTAGCTGAAGTTGGAGAAGATAGCATTGTTTCTGAAACTATTCGCAGTGGGGGAGTTGTAATTTCTTTACCGGACGACTTGCACAAAAAGCTAAGTGCTAATTTCGAAGAACTTTCAGCTGGAGCTTTATATCTGCGACGTGAGTGGCAAACTACAAGCTACAGAGAACAAGCGATCTTGCAGAAACGTCTAGGGCTCATGTCTGAATCGAATACCAATGTAGACGCTTCCAAATCGGGGCACGATAAATCGTCGCCGTCCACAGGAATAATGGATCACAACAAAACGATAAGCGATGATAAGTTAGCGGCAATTAGAGCATCCGAATCAAAAGATAAGCGAAGACAATCGACTTTTGGAGAATCTCTTTCTAAATTAGACACCACAGATGAACTCAATTTAGGATCACAAACTCCTGCGACAGATCACAGCCATTCTGACAATCAACCTCGTCGAGAGTCTTCACGTCTTTCGTTTAACTTTGGGAAAAAAACACGGTTGGAAAAGTTCAAAGCATTAAACGATAAAGCTTTAAGTGGTGAGTCAATTACCTGTATCCGTATTTTGATTTTATTCAGAAATATTTTGGTGTAGATTTGAAAATCAGAAATTGAAATTAACATGCCGGCGAATAATCAAGCGGGTTCTGTTATTTTTGGCAGCTGATGTCACGAAATGTGTATAATTTATTTGGTGAAACAAAAGGTTTATTTTTTGCTGAATTAAACCTTTTGATAACAGTTTTTATGGGACACAATAGAAAAAATGCGGAACAATTAGTAGTTAAGTGTTACATTTATCAACAAATTTCTACTCACCTTCCACGTATTTTCTTTCTTAAAATAAAACTTATCTCCTTTAGTCTAATTTTTGATTACAATTTAACTACTCCCCCCCCTCCTTGAAGATTTACATTACTACTAGCTATTTGTTATTTCTGAGTCCATGCCCTTCCAGGGATCATTTTCTTATTGGTAAAGCTGTGAACTCTAATTATTTGAAGCAAACTACAAATATGATCGAAAAAAAAATCTTAAAACTATTTCAATAATAATTTCTTGTATTAAACTCTCCCCTGAAGTTTTCTTATTTAAGAAATTAAATGGTGAATGTAATACTTTGTGTGTTAAGGAGACTGATAACTGAGCAAGATGAAGCCACTTGTATTTGCAAGATTAGCTCATATTGCTCTTGCAGACAGTGCCCTCTTTGATCTTGAAGAAAGTGAACTGCTGGTGGCTCAGGTGCTCATAGCCTAGTGTTTCTTCCTACAGCCTAACCAAACTGAGTGTCTTGCATTTATTTTGCATTTTTTTAAAAAAATATATTTGCCATGTGTAATGTGGTTCACTGGTGGAGGGGTTTAGGCCTTTTTGATTTGTAACCTGTATATAAAGTTTGTATACAAATATCATTTTTTGTTCAAAACTTTCAGAGAAAAAAAAGGCAGGTCTTGATGAGGATGATGACACTCAGAATGACAATGATGGTGAGTATTGTTTCCTATGGTTTGTTGCTTGATTTTTTTCTTTTTAATTTTTTAATAAAAGTATATTAATTATCTTTTACATGGTGAGAGCAGTAACACAAAGAATAGATGTGGATTCCATGATCACAGCTGCAAAAATTAGTTTGCGTTTTCAGTGCTTCTGCAGTTAATTATACAGTAAGGGTCTTCATCTTCCTGTCATGTTATTGGGAACTGGGCCAGTGCTTCAACTCACATTTGTTAATGGTCACACAGATGGGTAGGAAAAAATTTTAAACCTGATTTTGTAATGATTATCACAATTTCAATGACAGTTTTGCAGTTTTGTAGCAAGCTTTCACACTTTGTTCTTTTTTAATGATTGGCATGTAAAGGTTTTAGTGAGATGGTTACTGGTATAAATAAATGTAAGTTCAAAGATTTTAGGTTTTTTTGTTTCCAAATGATGACATTGAAAAAATGTTGAACTTGGAGCCCTGTGGAGGGTGTAATTATAATAATCTTTTGAACATTTTACGATGTATAATTATTTTGTTTTTTATTAAATACATTAGTTATCTGTTACTGAAATATTTCTTTTTATGTTTACAGTTACTTCTGCTCATGGGATTGGGCAACCAACAGTTATCAACTTTTCCTTGCTCTCTAAGACCTGTGAAGAAAAAGGTATCTGAAATGCATCAACATGTGATTTTCTACTCATTTTATCACATTTGTTGAACCCTTTACATCCTAACATCAGTATCCATATTCTCTATACTCTACTTTATACATTTCCTTTACTACTGACAAGAAGATTTCATTTAACAATCAATGCTTCTTAGTTTGGCAATTGTTGCCATAATTTTCATGACTTATAGCTCCTCTTAGGGTTAACCCTTTGACTCCCATGAGTGACCAAGACAGAATTTCTCCTTTCAATATCAAGCAGACAATTGATGAGAATGATGGAAAATATTGGTCAGGGGATTATAGGTTGATCCAATAACAAATTCTCCAAACTAACATCACAAGAACTGTATGGCAGACAGTAACTACTAATGAGATCTTGGTATTTAAAGGGTTGAGAGGGGAAATAAGAATCAATGGTTAACTACTGAACACTGGCATTGAATTTATGGTTGTCCTTTAATAAAAACACAAGGTTGGATACTTCATCAAGATGACGCTGATGATCTTGAAAGGCAGACATTGTTGGAATGGGCTCGTTCAAGGTTACAGCAAGTTATCAGCGAAAAGTAAGGCTTTTTCTCTAACTTTAACATGTTTCCACAATTTTGTTTAGGAGCCAAAAGTTGAATGGTTATTATTGAATTAAGGTCATGAATGATCACATAATCTCCATATATGTACAAGGAGAGGGTGATCAAGACATCTGATTAAACAGCACTGCATTGTATTTATACCATAATTAATATACAGTATCATAGAAGACATCCAATCTGTGATTGTTGTCACCTCTTGATTATATTACTTGTAATTTTACTTTTGTCTCTTCCTTTGTCTACATCAGGGAAGAAATGAAGGAAAAAGCAAGAGAACTTAAGATAGATGGCCCGCTAGTTACCAAGTTTTATGGTGACACCCAAAGGGAGGCAACCATGAAATACAAGAAAGGGGTGTCATGGGCAAAACGTTGGAAAAATTTGTCTGAAGAGGACAAAAGACCAAAGTTCCTTACTTCTCTACCTGATGGCACCTCCTGTTGCTAGTATCCTTGTTGTATTTCTCTGTAATGTGTATAATATCAATGTCACCTTCTCTGACCTCTTACATCATCAGAAAAACCAGTATCAATTCAGTGGTGTTAATTGGGTGTGTGTTACCACACAGGGTTTGGCTGTGGGGGTTTGAACTTCTTGGAAGAAAATTATTTCCAGACACAAAGTACTAGTTTTGAGAACCTGATGTAAACTGGGAGGTTCAGGTTGTAAATGTTCGTTAAATTATATTGTTTTTGAATTATAGCGATCCTTAAACTTTGGTCTGGTAGACATACTCTACAACACCCTGTTGTTGATATGCAGAAATTTATGTATTCTAATTGGTTTTAATTAATGGGGAGGCATGATAATCTATTTATCTATTTATTTGTTTCATGCTTGGCGCAGGGTTGTAAGGCCTTTGCAACACATTTCAACCCAGACTTCCCTCAGGGACACTAGAAGCTTAATATAAACAAGTTTAAGCATCATTTGTATACAGAAGTTATTGTTTCCATGACATAATACCTTCAGCTACCCATCTGGTCGTATAGCAATGTGTGCTAGTTATCCAGGCCCTAATACACCAGGACGATACACTGTTGTCTATGGAGACTCTGCAGACAGCCCAATGCTGGCTACATTTGTGGCGTCTGGCCAGGGGTGTTGTTACCACAAGAATGGAAGCATCAGGTAACATTGCTTGAGGAAACAATGTTTTGTTCAGAGATAGTAATTCAAGAGTTTTATAAACCCAGTTAATCAATCAATACAATATTAGCCAATTAATGAATGTGTGTTCTCTTTCTAGATTTGTTTCAACTGTAAAATTTGGAGCCGTCATGGGAGAGGTAGGAATACAGTAATGTTACTTATGAATACAGTACCACCTGTATCAGTTATGTTCACCTTTCTTTTAGTCTCGGAAAATTGCTAGCATTTCATGTTTTTTCATGATCACCAGTTTCTTTTCAGACTGAATGTCAAGTATGCTTACAAAATACACCCTCTCCACTTGAGGTCACTTGTGGATTACACAAATAGTATGAGTAAGGAAAGAGGAGAGGCCTGATGCATGTGATAACCTGATGTGGTTTGTCTAGGGCTTTTACCTTGTGTTTGTTGATTTGCTAAACAAGAAAACATCAAACACAATGATGTATTGACTGTTCTCTATCGCGGATTCTTTCTAAAACAAAAATTACTGTTTTATTCAGGATGGTAACATAGAGCAGAAGTGGAAATGGCCTTTGGGAAGACTACAGACAACTGTTGTTGTGCAGGTTTGCTCATTTTGTATTACTGTACGTTGTAGGAGTAGGAATAAAGGGCAGGTGAAGGCTTCTTTAGTTATTGGGAGATAGTATGTCAGAAATCATGTCACTGAAAAACCTTCATGGGGAGTATGTCAGTTAGGCTATCGTCATGTACACCCATCATACCCATTTCAATGTCATTTCTTTACAACTTATTGGATGTGAGCTTTTCTAGGGTATTTTAAAACACATAAGAAATTGCAGTAAGGTTTCAAAGCTTATGCTTGATTTTTTTTATCATTGACTCCCCTTGCAGATTTTTTCTTGCAATATTTGTTAGAATACAGGGTTCTATTTAATTGTTTTAATACTTAAATGACCTGCCTTTCTCTTATACTAAAAAATGGTGCACCCTATGCGGGTGGGGCTGGTGAATTTAATCAGCCTCATAGTTGGTGAGACCCTGGTGCAAAGCAGCAGTGCATTGAAACATGATACAAGGTGCTTTGGGTGGAAAAACTTTAAGGGACGTTTTTTTTTAATATAATTTTTTGTTTTTTTTCTGTAGCTGAATAACTTCATTAATCTTCGCTGCGTGAGTCAGGCTGGTATAACTTTGTACTTCAGTTGTCAGAATGAGACAGCTAAGTTCCACGTTGGAATGCCACAAGGATCAAAGCCTGTCAAACTTACTGAACTGGTACAGTTGTGTTTGCGATAATTTATGTTCTATGTTTGAATTTATTATCTTGTTTGAAAATATAGTCAGTTCTTTTCATTACAACAACTTAGCCATGTTTTCCCTTAACACAGGGGTATCTTCAAACAAACATGAAGTTTTCATCAAATGCAGCCATGTTGGTATGTAATAATAAGATTTTAGATGTTTACAAAAAGTATGGTAGAAAGAAGACAGCCTGAGTTATAGTGTAGATGACTATTTCTGGTATGGTGGAGGCCATATTTGTACTGAGCTGTTACCTTTGTGTTTTACAACTTGTATTTGTATTATGAAATCAGCCGAAACATATCAAGTAAACTCTGATCTCATTCACAGTCCATGAAGCCAAAGACGAAGAAGAAAGAAGAAAAGAGGAGAAGAAAAGCGCAGGTATTGGATTGATTTAAATATTCTGCACGGAGTTGGCTGGGGTCGGGGGACAGGGAGGGGGGCTGGAGTAGAGATGTGATGGAGGCGTGGCAGAGGTGACAAAGTCTTTGAAATCAATGCTCGTTCGGCCAGATATGAGATGAAAAAATGAGACGCAACTTGATCCGATCTTCATCTTTCATTAATTCGTATCCTGTAAACTCCTGTGGTTTGTATCCCTGTAATCCCTGTTCGATACCCCGGAATATATATTTTAAATATTCTGTACTCCGTTGAGTTTTTCCTTAAGTATGCCGTAGCCTTACAATTTTCTACCCAAATATTACGTATTCCGATAATCCGTAATAGGGCCTCACCCATGTAAGTAGCCTTGCAGCATTTTAAAGTCAGGAAGATTAAGAAATCAAGCCACCATTCATTTGTTTTCCCTTTTTCTTACCAAACAGAAACTGAAAAACCCAGGAACTATCTCTGCAGAAGTACTCGAGTTGCGCCAACAAGAATTAGAAGAGAAGTTTCCAGAGAGAAAGGAACTGGATTTAGACGCACCATGGCAAATGGATCTTTTGAAACTCCAGCGGAAAGTAAAGTGAGTAAAACTTAAGACTTGCACATTATTTTAGCCCAGACTGACGATTTAGAATCTCAACTGAGGTTAATGTAGCTCAAAGTTGCTTTTGTCTTCATTCCGACGAGGAACATATTCTTCCTGTTCTCAAATGGCTTTTTGTCCTCTTTGTTATTTTTCTTGTTAGGGGCCTGATTTTTGACTGGATGGAACATTATCGTGTAGCTGTTGGCATATCCCCTCCATTCCGTTTTTCGTCCCGTTCAAAACGCCGTGCCATGTCACATTCCGCTCGATCAATGCCAGGTGCTCTTCCTTCAGGGTTCGAGGCGACAAGGGCCTCTATACGTCGATCTCCCTCGGCACCCCCCATCCCACACCCTAAAGGCAAATCTTGGTACCGTTCTAGTTCTCAGTTGGGCACACGTCCGCATAGCTCAGTAGAGAAAAGCAAGGTTACGCGGATTGAAGACAGCAGAAGTGTAACTATTGAAGTACCAACCAGGGACATGCAAAGTTCAAGGATCGCCAGTAAAGTTCCCTCTGCAGTTTCAGGGTAAGAGGCTAAGTTTACTATCATTATCTTGTCTGCGTTTTTCAGTATCTTCACGTAGTTACTTTGGTATCCAGTTTAACTGTTTGGAAACGCCTCAACTCTGTACAGACAATGATCAAAGAAAGAAGAGATGTATGAATTTCATTTGTTGAGACTCGCTGAGGTTTAGCTTCTTCGAAGTGAATGAAAATTCTTTGAGGTTACATTTATTATTCTCTCTCTAGTTCTCACAGTCCGACGCACACCACACCACGGAGCCCTTTCCGCTGTGGAGTGACACAGCAGGCTCGCGTTGCCACTCCTCCGAGAAGTGGGTGTCCTGTGTATCCTTTTTCCAAAAAACTTGCGATTTTTTTTTTGTTAATAAAGTCTTTCATTACTGTGTGCCATGAAAATTTTGTGCGAGTTATATTCTGTGGATTGGTGATTTGCGAGAACCAAGAAATGAGATGACCAAAATTTCTGCTTGGAAATAGTTTTCGCAAATTTTGCTTGAGCAGGAAAACATCAAGTGCGACGAAGTAACGCTTTATTTCAACTTTGATAATTTATTAAGTTACTGTGCACTGCGTTATTTGAAACAAACTCGATCAAGTATTACATGGTAATACATTACTATCCTCGAGTACCAATGTGGCAGCAAAATTGAACAAAGAGCCTACCAATTGCCCCTGTCTACTCTTCTGGAGTTTTTAAGGGACTAACGATGGTGAGTTTTTGCAGCAATAAAGACGCAAGACATTTTTGTGCGGGAACTCATTCAGTTTGCGCATTGACGTCAATCCAGCAAGAATCTAACCGACAAAATTTTCATGATACGCGGTCTCTCTACGGTTTTGTGTCTTTGGTGTGGCTGTGATGTGTCTGTGTATTGCAACGCGACGCACCAAATAGTCGAATGTAAAGTGGAATGAAGATTTATCTTTAAGCAAGGAAACATTTGGCTGGACGAGCAGATAACAGCACGTAACTGACCGGTTTACCTTTTCGTTGGTTTACAAATCCTTGACTGGTTGCTTAGCGCTTTGAGATCTGAGGTGCTCGGACAGAAAGATCCACAATGCAGGTACTTCAACTGAATTGAAATATCCATCAACTGAGTGAAAGATTTTCAGATGACTCTACGACAATGTGAAATTAAGGTTGATTTTGCGGCTGATATTTCTGCCCATTTCAATCGTCACGGTGTCAAATAATCTAAACCGTAACGTTAATTAGAATTTTTACATTTTACTCTCTTTAAACACAGATGTGATCGTCGGAAGATTCCTCTCGTCACGGACTTGGAGTACGACTGTTTTATTACTGAGCACGTACCCAGGACTCAACTGCTGGTAGTCAGTGTCACGTCATCTCAGTAAGTGACTGTCACGTCATGTCATTTTTCGACTTTCTTGCGGCAGTTTTGATTTAAAAGTTGCAGTAAAATGTTTCCATTACTTGAGCTCCATTTTCGCGGTTGCAGATGATTTTTACGAGTATGCAATTTAAGAAAAGAAACTGACTTTAAGATTGCTTGAAGCTGACAATTAACTTGTCCGGAAAGTGTTTCAAAATGCACTTGGAAGTAGAGTATGTTTAAATTTTCAAAATTTTCTGAGCAAGGGTACCTCTGACCCCACCTCCGGACCTCCCTTCGGCCCACTTTAATACAAAACTTAATCGTTTGGCCCCTCACTTCAAAATTCTTTTTTCGGTGCCCGTCATCAGTATTATTCTACAGCATGCGTCCATTTTTCACTTTGAGCCCAGTTGTTTAAAAGATAAAGCAATCCTACGGATACATTGCTATTCAGCGGACGTGTCAACAAAACATGCTTCGCTATCCACCAGATAAAGATTTATTCTGCGGGTAGCGTTTCCACTCCTTAAACAATTGAGGTCTATTATTTAAATTGCATACGCTTATAAGGGACCATTGAATAGATATTCTTTCTTTGCTATTACAGACACCCCGATGCAAATCCTTGTGACAGCATGCTGGATCAACTGTTCCACGAGAAAAACCGTAACAGGTCTCTACCTTGTGTACAGGTAAAATTTCTTCCTTCATCCATGCTTTTATTAAAGGGTTTCCTTAGCAACTTGGTCGTTTCAGAAGTCACTTTGTGTGAGTACTATGGCATTTTTAGAGGTATCCCTGTGTTTTTAACACTTATTAACGAGATAACACTGTTCCTATCAACAAATCGACAGTACCTGTGGTTTATCTTGGTCTGTACTCTTATTGACAACGATGATTGTCATCACTGTGGTCAAATATTGTAACAGTATCTCAACTTTTTTTTTTTTTTACGTTATCCACTCTCCTTCCCTTTCCTCCCGACAGGCACAGAATGATCCTTTCCGATTGGTACGTTACGACATTTCATCAGCATCGCACTTTGGTACTCAGTCCCAGCCTCTTCTTCTCAGACGACATAACGCCGTTCCAGGAATGTTCTTGGTAAGGTTTGCACGGTTACTATTGGCTCACTCTATTAATGATGCTCAGTAAAGTGTTACCTTTGAAATTTGAATAACCCCCTACTCCCCTCACCCACTCACACTGGAATTCCTGTCCATTCTCCTGAATGGGAGCCTTGAAGTAAGGATATATTTAAAGACAAGTAACAGAAATTCACAACTTTGTCACAGATGTACACTGGTGGAAGACTTTTATTTGCTGATCATATTTTCAATGGTTATGGAAATGCCAAAAAAGATTTCCTCAAACAGGTATTTGTTCAGTTTTGTTTTCGTGTCAGCTTTCAATTCCATTTCACTTGTTTCCTGATTTACTGACGGGAAACCATTTTTCTGCCTCAGATAATGCGAACAAGGAAGGACGCTCTGGAGGGCAAATCCCTCCCAGCCGACTTCCGTTTGAGTCCTACTCGCGGTCGTTCAGGCCCAAGAGCTGCCTGGGGCGGAGAGATCGGTGGTGTGAAAATAAGTGAACGAGCTCTTAACATGAGTCCAGCTTTCCGAGAAATGCAAGTGTCTCACAGCAACACAAGGCTGGATTCTGCAGCCACGACTGCATCTTTAGGTTCAATTTCTGTTGATGTCAGGTAAGGTGTCACTTCGTCAAACGTTACTCGTGTTTTGGCAGGTGGATAACAACTCTCGTGGAAAATACTTGAAAGAAAAATACTTCCTCTCCAAAGTAATGAGACTGGCCAATAAGAAGAGAGAAAATTTGAAAATTGTTATTTGTTAATCAAAAGGTATGCCTTGTCTGTCTCAAACACCACGGTATAGGGATTTTTTTCCTGTAAATCAATCGCAGTAGATATTATGTACCTGTTGAGTGAGTGGACGAGCCCGACAAGGAAATAGTTGGCCAGGCTTCATGAAGTATGGCCCGAGCGTTAGAAGGACACGATAGACGGGCGCACGCACGAACGCACGCACGCAAGACAACCACAAAAAATGATTCTGCAATAAAAAATTTTCCATAAGTTTTTGGGTCAGAACAAAAAAGTCGCAGTTCATCTTCAAGTTCACAATTAGAATTCATGTTTTCCGTAGAATTTTAAAAATAATTACAAAGCTGCAGGAATACAGGGCCGGATAACTTTTCCCAGACCATCTCCGACCCAACACACGTCATGTTATCACATGTATGCTATTTTATATTACTCATCTCTCTTTGTCATATGTCTCATTAAGAATGTGTAGTAACTATTGCACTGTTTGGTTTTCTTGCAGGGGTGGAGCTAATTCAGCGGCAAGTTTTGTCAATTTTGGTTTGTCAATAGACAGTCCATATCCGATGAACTCTAAAAAATGGATGACTACTTCAGAGACAATCCCTGAACATCGTCGAGTACAGACATCAGCCTGGTAGCCTAAAACTAAAACGAGATAGATAATAAAATAGTTTATTGAGAAAGATAAATTCTTATTTATTTCTACTACTTCGCAGAACTCAGTACCAAAGAGGAAATATTTTTGTCACCGCTTATTTTAAGAGTACAAGTTTATTCATTATTTCACGAATGAATAAAAGAAAACTCTTTTCAGAACAAATTGAAAACTTTATTGAACTGCATCAAATAGAGATAGTAAATATGTTTTTACCTACCAGTCGTTGTCGGCATCTATAGAGTATTTTGAACGGTCGATTAAAACGGACTCTGTTGTTTTTGTTCAGGTATTGAGCTTGTTAAATCCAAACCAGTTTGAAAAATCGTAAAGTGATTTGATTTCTCCGACCTGCTTCAATTCAATACCTTTAAACTTAAATATTGACACATAACGAAAAGACTTACAGCATCTGTATTCTAAAAGAAAGCGCTACGATCTACCGTCGACTTCAAATACATCAAGACGAACGAAGTCTTAGGAAATGAAAGTGGGTTACTCGGCATCTACTGAGTAAAGAGGTGGATACATCACTAAAAATTATCCATAGGGCCTCTATTTGCATACATTACAGGATATAGGTCATCACCCGCTTTCCTATATAATAAAGATAAAATCTGAAGAACTACGCGGAACCTTTCGATGTTTTTCGAGCGCTATGAACCCGATCTAAGAGTGTTCATCCGCGGCACTTATCAGTCTGTTGAGTGGGTATCACAGACTGAGTTATATTTGTGTGTCCCTGTATTAAATCGGCGATGGATGGAACTGGACTGCTCGTGGTTTTGAGATTCTTCAGATGTCACCCGGGCGAGTATTTTAACTAAGACTTCATTTTAAGTTCGGTCATGTTTATCAAATTCAGCCGTCGAGGGCGTGTAAAAAAGAATTTCGCTAACAGATTGAGGCGTGCGTCTCGTGTTGGGCTAAGATTTAGGACATTGTCGCGACAGTATTGAGACATGAGAATGGCTGTCGCATACAACATATTTACGTGATTCATCTTAACCTTAACTTGACTTTTCGAGAGTGTTTTCAATTCGAATCAGGAACAATTGATCGCAGAGTACGAAACGTGTCTAAATTTTTTTCGACCTGGTGATACCCCGGCCTTGCACGTTATACAAATACACGCGCTTAGATAATGGAACTTTGCTGTTAATAATTTAGCTGATCATCCTAAGTTAAATCCATCTTCCGTTTTTCAATTTACATTAATTTGTAAAGTAAACGTTACGGCAATTTTCAAACAAAAACTATTTTGAAAAAACCTATATAAACACCTCATGTAATCCAAACAGCATTAGCAAGGTGGCTGGTGATTGGTTGATTTAACAGGTGCAACAGGTGATCTCCCATTTAAGTAAATGTGCTAAACCTGTAATGCTCTTGTCTTTAACCACGCATGCGCGTTTGCAAATGGAAGAATTACTTACACAAAATAAGACTTCACTGATTACCTTGAAAAGCACTGTATTGAACGCGGGCGTTTATAGAGCGGCGGAGTGTCGGTTAAGGTAATGCATATTGCAATATCATACGCTTGGGAACTACCTGAATCGAAAAACAAATGCTGACGTTTGGATTGATCAAAGGATTTCACGCAGCGAATTATAGCTTTTTGTTAACAATCAGCTATGATTCCCTAGCAATAGGAATTGTGCAATTTCCAGCTTGTAGCCTCGGGTGATTTAAAGCTGCAGTTCTCGATCAGCGTCTTCACGCTCGGAAAGCGAACAAGTCAGTGGGCCGGTCAAAAAGTTGACAGCATTAGATTCAGTTCGCCAGATATGATACGCAAGAGATTGCCTAAATCAGTGACCGTCTCACTTGTTACCATTTGCATCATAAGCGCTATTGTCGTTAAGTATTACAGCTGGGAAACTGTGAAGGAGGAAGCATTTGCAATCGGTACTGAGCAAGGCATTCTTCGCGGAAAAAACCTGATTGAAAACAAACAAGGGGAGATTCACAGGGAAGAAAAGCATGAGGAAACTAAACGGTAAGTGAATCAAAAGTTTTTTCTAAAAGCTGCTCTTCCTCTTTGTCAGTCGTGGTGGTGGCATTTTTAAATAAAAATAACAGGTCGTGTATTTATACATCCAAACGAAAACAAATACACGTGATTAATATCTATGTGTTGACAGCTCATTTCAGCGATATTGTCGTGCGTGCGTGTGTTGCTTTATTTAAAGTAAAATGTTAAAATTAGCGTAAGGGAGTTACTACACTGTCGTAACAACAGATTTAATCCTGATATCATCCGCCTTCTTCAAATGCCGACATTGATATCAAAGTGAAAAAGAATATTGAGAAAGCTTATCTACGCAATCGTGAGAGAGGTTTTTCACAAGAGATTTTGATATCAACCACTTTGATCATGCCTTCAATGGCCATAAGTTGTCCAAATTCTTTTACAATCATGTAAAATAACCACATTTAATGTAATTCTTTCTATTCATAGATTTATGTTCTTCGATGTTCATAGCCTCATAAAACCTATTTAAATTTTCACATTTTCCTTTTTCGATACCTATTTGTTCTGAGGGCCATAAGTTGAAAAAAATGAATTCTACTCACGTGCTTACCAATCTTGTTCTAAAATTCTTAAAAGGTCTTTTATCAGAATGTGCCTTGAAAGCTATTGATCGTTCAATATCTTGAGCACGACCTTGCTGATCTCTTTTCCACTCAACCTATTTTGAGCACTTGCATCAATAATAACTACTTTATTGTCAAGTATCAAGAAGCATTTGGTCTTTTAAAGTGAATGGAAACTAAAAGCGATAACCGCAGGACTTTTGATGCAGTTTTGTGGAAGGAAGCTGCCCTAAAATATTGCAAATACTGCGCCCTTATGTCAGAGTCCATATTCTCCATGCTCCTCTTTATACATTTCCTTCGGTTCTGAGAAGGAGAATTTGTTTAATAATCAGAGCTTCTTGAGTTAGCGAACATGTCCTTTACTCTTATGTCCTTAACGAATGATATAAGGGTATCATAGTAGGGAGATATTAAAGGTTGATCATTCTAAGTATTCAAAGGCTTAACAAAGCCGTAAACAAATTAATGTAAACCTAACTGCTCATTTTGGATTAATGTTTTTATTTTGTTTGCAGTTGCAAGCCAAAAAAAAATGTGGTTTTCCTCAAAACTCATAAAACAGGGAGTAGCACTATCACGAACGTTTTCAACCGTTTTGGCGAAAGAAACAAGCTTGTATTTGTTGTTCCAATAGAGAAACAAAATCGTTTAGGTTGGCCATGGTTCTTTCAAGAAGATCACATGATTCACTACAACAACATCAAGCCCAACATACTTTGCAGCCATTCGCGTTATAACCGAGCAGTCTTGGACCGAGTCATGCCGAAAGACACTGTATATGTGACTATTCTTCGGGATCCAGTGGCTCAGTTTGAGTCAACTTTCTCTTACATGACATTTGGGGAAATACTGGGCATTTCGAACGAAACAGATCCTTTAGAAGCCTTTTTTGAAAACCCAAAGGATGTTTTAGTTAATTATATACTCACCCAAGACTTGCGAATCAACAGCGATCGATTGAAACTTATTCGAAATGGAATGTTCTTCGATTTGGGTCTGGAATCAAAAGATTTTGACAACATGGAAGAGATTCGGCAAAATATCCAGCGACTGGATCGAGAATTTCACCTGGTGATGTTAATGGAGTATTTTGATGAATCACTGATCATGTTGAAAAATCTTCTTTGCTGGGATATAGAGGACGTCGTTTATTTCCATCACAATCAAAGAAAAAAGACTCAAAAAAGGAATCTAACAAGTGAGCTGGTGACCCAGATTGAACAATGGAGCGGTGCGGATAAAGCACTATATGATTATTTCAAAGTTTCGTTTTTACGAAAGCTCAGCAACCAAACTCCGAATTTCTTTCGTGATATTTCTGTATTAAGAAAAAAGAATGCTGCTTTGCGAGACCAGTGTTTAGATTCTACAACAGAATATGACGGAGATTACCAAGACGTTGAGATTCAAGAATTTAAAATCAAGAAAAATCTGACGAAAGCAATGAAGACTTCGTGTGATAAGATGACTTGGAATGAAGTCAAATATCTTGGTTATTTCAGGTATAAACAGAAAAAGTTATTAACGACTAAAACTTCATCGAGAACGCTATGGGATGAAATTGCCACTTTTGTGCCATTTGTATAATGCATTAGACTTCCTAATAAATATAACCTTTTGCTGTACGTATAAGTTATCATTTTCTTATGGATTTCAGTGGATTAAATCTCGTTAGCTCTCGTCTCGTCCCAGTGGTTCTACATTCTTCGATTGCTGACGGCTTGAAACGAACTGCCGGAAAACATAAGAGGAATGACACAAGGGGGCTTTTTTGCTTGGATACGGTCAGAAATCAGACGAAACTGACCTTTAACCATCGAAAATCGGACAGATCCGTCTGTAATCTGGAAAAACCGTCCTTCATTGGACAGAACCGTCCCAAATCAAGCAGAACCGTCCGAAATCAGACAGAACCGTTCGAATTCGGACGGAAAGCTTACGAAGCTTAAATGGTTTCAAGCTTCGATGAGTTAAACCTTGTCTGAGAATTAAGCCTCTCATACCGACTTTCTTTAATTTCAAATACTCAAATACCATTACAATAACATACCGATTTTGAGTCGCCAAAAACTTTCTGTAATCTTCACAGCAGTCAGTTTTACCATATTTTATATTTATGTCAATCGCATAAATCACTCATCAACGAGGAACAGAAATTAAACACGTCCAAATAAATCACAAAAAGTAACACCAACTAGAATTTTTGTTCCTTTAATTTTCAATTCATTTACAAAATATAAACAAACCGACTCGTTTAAATTCACAAAGACCATTTTCAGAATCTGCTGATGACAGGGTGTTTGTATTGTAAGTGGCCACAAAATTGTGTCTAAAATTCTCCAAAAAATATGAACAACGACAGGGAATTGGTGTATACTTAAGCACGCTGTGAAAACGAACTTAAAAAGTTAACTATGTTACAATGTAAACGTTTTAAAGTTCTTCCAATTCTAGTTTTGGAGATAGCGTCTTTAACCTGGTTCTTTTTCCTTTTTTTCCCGGAGAGAATCGGCCACATTTTAAATAGAATTGGCGATTTCAACTTGGCCAAAAAGTCCCGAAAACGGAACAGAACCGGTATCATGCAAGTCAAGTGTTTCTGTTTGAATAAAATCAAGCAGATCTCTTGAGTCTTCATCTTCTTCGTCTGACTCTTTTGGAGACTGAGCGTCATCGTTGGAATACGCACGCGCAGATGAAACTATAGATGAAGTTCCGTCCTGCTCCTCATCAGACTCAGAGATGTTCGATTCCAGGCCTCCATCTCTTGCCTCGTTTTGGCTGCTCGCATTGGCCATCATAGAAGCAAGCGAAGCGTTAAAATTAAGCGGGACCGAGTTCGGGCGTTTGACATCCGTTGGAGAATGCTGCGTTGAAGAGGGCTGGAAAGTAGCCGAAACTGCTTGCCTGGATAGTAATTGATATCACAAGATATTAAATTTCGATTTCACTGTCTTACATAAATCCTACCAAGTTAAATTTATGCAGTGAAGTAATAATTCTACTCTGAACTTAACCCTGCGCTTTGTTTTTGTCTTATAATCGTGTAAGAACTGAAGGAAACCTTCGTTTCTCCCCTGCCCCCTACTTTTTCCCCAAAAAACTAAATGTTATCACGCCTTCTTAGCATGGGGTGATAGAGGGGGGGAGGGGAGGGAACCCCAGTTGAGGTGACTTAGAGACGGGAGATGTTTTGTTCCCCGTCCCCCCCCCCCTCCCTCACCTCTTGGCGCCTCCCACAATTAAATTTTGTTTAACACTGACTGGTACATTGACCATACCTTGTGCCCATCATGAACTGTTCCAGTGATATCTGATGAATTCCTGCTACAGCCGCTTTTATCTGTGTCTGGCGACGCTCTAACGAAAGAATTTCCTGTGAAAAAGGCAAACAAATCAACCCACAGAACGATTGGTCAACAAGGGTCGTGATAACCTCTTGAAGTAAGTTCATTTACATACTTAAACGATTTTCAATATCAAAACAGAAGTCTCCACTTACCACTGGTGTTTTTTGCTTTATTAATTTAACTCCTTTGGGAGGAATAGTCGACGAGTCAGACCGTCGTGACCAGGTCCTCGCCGCCATGTTGACCGTGACACTTGTCGTTTGACTGGTACCTGATTTGGCCCCATGGTTTACAGTGTCCTCTGTTTGGCTGGTTTCAACGGACGTCATGCTTTCGCTGAACAATTCAGACTGCACTGTGGATGGTGGTGACATGCCAAGGTATTCCATAACAAGAAGTTTAAGTCGCTTGTAAGCGTCACTAAGATCTTCTGTTGGTTAATCGTAAGACAGGTTTGAGTTAAAATCCAGTGTCCTCGATCATGATTCTTTCCTCACATTACACCCTAAAATCAATACCTTTGTGTGGGATCCGAAAAATACGTTTTTGAATTTAACGCTTTACACCTCAACTTAATAAGCACGAAGGACAAAAATAGAAAAATGGACGATTCCTCACCGCTGTTAATAGCCATGTCAAAGAAGCCGGGATTTTTTCTGTTGTGTTCCAGGCATAAGGTAGCTCGCTCCAACGATTGCAGCAGCAAAGGTTCTGGGTAATCACCTCGCTCCCGAAGGCGTGCTTCGTGAATCTGAAATCCAAATACAATTTCACTGTTCCGAACTTAAAAAATATTTAATACTTAGACGGTGTCCAAAATGACTGAAAGACGTTTCGGAAAGTTGAATTAGTTTCGACGTCATGTCTCGTGAAACATCCTCGATAATTATTGTGACAGTTAGAAATTACGACCAATTATCTTTTAGATATCCTACCTCTCTTGATACAGGAAGCACTAAAACATATCTGGGCTCAAAATAAGTGTTCTTGAAACTCAAAACTCCCTGAAATTATACATAAAAAAGAATCTCAATTGCTTTCTTTAACATTACCACACAAGAGGAAACAAAACTCAAAAACTTACAAGGAAATAACTAACCTCTAAGTCCATGTAGAACACTGCAGCAAGTCCCTCACGGGCCACACTCTCCACGGCCTCTCGTGTGACACCGTACCAGTTCCCCGCCAGTTGGCACGTTTGTAGGAATTTACCCTACGGATAAACACAAACCTGACATGACAGAGTCCTCTACCTTTGGATGTGGTTTTTCTCCGTCTATCCAAGACTTCTTTGTTTATTACATAATGATAGTTCCTGATTGTTACATGGCACCAACTGTTTAACCTACCATTACAACTCCTTGTTCAAATTGTTCTTGAGTGACAAAACAGTAGTCCTCGAGATTTTCTTCCTTCTTCCGCGGCATTCTTGTGGTGTGACATACACTGTGAGAAGTGAAAAAGAAAAACAAAGATGAATCACAGCACTGAGTAGGTGACAAAAGAGGATACGGAATTTTGTCTTAAATCTTACCCGAAGCCAAAGAAGTCAGGGAACTCTTGACATAATCTTCGTGCCAAATATCTTTTTCCTGATCCGGGGGGTCCACACAGGATCAGCATCGGGTAGGGCGTGTCCACACTTGGCAGGGTGCTATCGGAGAAGAGACGTTACTTAATGTCAAAACGTTGTGTTGACGTCAATATTTGGCAGAAATTGTCACGTAAGCTATCAGAATATCAGAGAATCGAGTGCAACACCACAACGTTATTGAGAAGCAGAGATTTCAGAGCCTGGCGTGCAATTAACAACGCTTTAGCTTCAATTATTTTACTTTTACAGGACGCTAATTATTAAGGATATGCTCCGAGGCATGACCCTTTCAGAGGATTGTTGAATTTTGAGTGCAATTCCAGCACACTACATGCGCAAAACGCGCACACTGTACGTCACTACACGCAAATGCTCGTATTAAAGACACACGCAGGTGGGTGTAACATACGAGTGAATTATACGCAACCAGTCAATTAGAACTCAGAAAATGCGTGTAATGAGGCAACGATGCGTGTGATGAGACGAAAAGATTGAATTCTGAAAACAGAATAACACGGTATTGGATACTTTAATTAGACAAATACTGCCTCCTAAATTACCTGTCATGAATTCTTGTCGGCTGAAGAAGAGACTTTGTCACGTGGAACATGTGATCACGTGCTGCAATGACCTCTGGAGGGGGGTTAAACATGTTCACAGATGCAACCTGTTGAATCCCCAACAAGGCAAAAATTTAAAGGAAGGAATTTATATTAGACATGAAAAGTATACAAAAACATTTTGAAGCAATGCAAAACACAAAGACCTGATATTTGGTACACTTAACTCTCAGGATTTAGAAGTCCTGGCTGGGGGAAGAGGGACATGGCAGTAACACTAAACCCTTACAGTGTATCTCTCCACTCAGGAGTGTAAATGTACACAGGCTAACTGCTAGACTTGTCCTTTCACTTTAACCCCTTACACCCAACGCCAGTATGAATATTCTCCATAATATTCTCTATATATTCCCTATGACACTGATAGGAAGAATTTGTTTAATAATCAGGAGCTTCTTTAGTTGGCCATCATTTTGATTATTCTCATGATATTAGCTGCTGATCACTGTGAAAAATCAGAGGGTTAACTTTCAAACAAAGGAGATACATGTCAAGGGAACTATAGTGCTCTGCTGGTTGGGGTTATTACAAGATGGTTAAGTTTTAATCAATTGAATTGATAATGCACATTGGCCATGGTAAAGAGTGGCCCTTGGTCAGAATAAAAATATACATGTAACATATAAACAGTTGAGTACACAATCTATTTAGAGCCATTAAGTTCCTGGCTGTGCTACATTGTACTCCATTACCTTTTCCTCAAGTGACACTTTGGATCGATCCAGTTCAGTAAGAGTTTGTATTCTGAATAGTAAAGACAGTCTGTAGTCTGGCATCCCTTGGATTGGATTTCCAAGCAAGTTCAGATTTCGTAATAAATTTAGTTCTCTGATGTATCGCACTTCGGCAATATCAATCACCTGAATGTGAAAAGATTAAGAGCTGTAAGCTAGTGGCTAATGACACCAAACATTCATGTGCAAAGGAGAGGTTTTATTCTTTTAGTTAATTTGATCAAGCCCTTGTAAGACTAAAAAAATCTGTTCAATCATGGTCTTAGTTCCACTTGTAATGTCATTATTTCCCTTGAAAGGTGTCTAGTGCTCTAACACTACACAGATCGAGAAGAATCTCTCAGCTGATGCCCACAAAATAGGAACTTAGTCATTCTGGTCGAAGATAGACAAGAATGCAGGAAAATGTTGGCAAACAGTTTGAAAGACTTCACACATCTTCAAGTTGATGTCTACTTGGAAACTGTTGAATCAGAAACAAACCGAATTCTTATTGCAACAAAACAGGTTAGGGTTCAGTTAGGTTGCAATGTGACTCACACATGGCCAGGAAATGACACACATAAATATATTACATGATAAAAATTTGACTTATGTTCCTACCAACCTGATTTTCTTCAAGGTCAATTTCTTGAAGTAAATTGTGATTCTGGAGACCTTTCATGCTGCGAATACTGTTCCTGGATAAATTGATTTTCTGTTAAAAGACAAGGATAGTTTTGCAATTTTGCTGAGTGAGTAAGCCAAGTATATATGTTTCCAAGTATATTAAGTATATCAAGAACATCTGTTTCTGATTGCTCTGATGAAGTGCTAACACTCAAAAAGTCAGCTTTTAATCTCTTTACTGTAACCATAAACTCAGTTGATAATACTATATTACCCTGTTAAATTACTCTCCCACCCACACAGAGCCACAGTTTCTTTAGAAATGTACCCCTGTATTCATATATCTATCTGTAACTCCTTGGATTTGCTTTTAAATTGTAAGTTGTAAATTAATGCCAAATTATATATCCAATTCTCTAGAAATGTGTTTCCTCAATTAACAGCTTATGGTAGAAGACTCTTCCATGGTGGGAAAATGTGAGATGATCTCCCCTCCGTCCTAATAAAAGCTTTGCCCGCCCTCCCCACCCCTCCATTTTACCCCTTGAACCCATCAGGTTAAGAGCAATCACTACTGACATGTAAAACTTTGTCATCATCTGTTTAACTTTTACAATTCTTATGTTAAATTTCTTACCTCAAGATATTTGAGAGTTTCCAGGTTTTCAATTTTCTTTATGTTGTTGTTACTCTAAAGAAAAACAAAGAAAAGGATAGTACATATGCGTATGTACATACGTGTATGTATATATGCCTCTGACTACCCTGCGTCTGTGCATATGAAATTCATCTGCGCAGTTAACATATATGCCAGCTGTACTGTACTGTATATCTAATTCCATGCCACTCAACCCTAATTTTTGGATTTTCCCCACAACTTTGACACAACATCATGAACACCACCTGAATTTGTAGTAGTATATAACAAATGTACCAACCAAATCAAGTGATTTGAGGGGCAGGTTGTCCAGATTAGCAATTCTGGATATGTTGTTGTTCATCAGACTCAAGTGAGTCAAACGGTGACAACTTGATAATCCCTGGATCTCAGATATGCTGTTGTCTGTAGAATGAAACATCAAGGAAAACAACAACACAAAAAGAGAACTATATATATGCTTATCTAGTAAGTCAATGATGTACTAAATTATATAACTTTGAAGAACTTATGATAAGAGTTATATGGGGTCTCCTTACTAGAAAGAAAATGCTTCAGGCACCCAAAGGTAAAATATTAATCATAATTTTTAAATCCCAATGGCAGCTGATAACATGAAATTCCATTGGATCATTTAATTTAACTCTTTACATGTGGTAGCTTGTTTTTTCTTCTCGTTTCCTTTCAAGTCTCCCATTCAAGAGTCAAAGGTTGTTTGTTTCATTGAAACAGCAAGGATACAGTCCAGTGTTAGTCTTGTAAGACAGTGATGAGCAGACAAATCTGGAAGAACTTCTATCTTGTTATGTGACATAATTACATCCTGGAGGAGAAAAATGGTGCACTGCTAAGACTCACTGTTAAATAAACATTGTTTTGAAAATGAAAACATATTTTCCAAGTAAATAACATAATTTTTCTATACATTACTTGTCAGTCTCTTACCCTCAGACCAAGTGGAGGCTTGAAGTCTAAAACAGTAGTGAGCTCATTATGAGAAACATCAAGGAATACCAGGTAAGGCATGCAACCCAATGGACTCAAATCTGTTGATTTAAAATATCACATTTGCTTCTTAATTGTGGATCAACAAATCACACCACAAGCAATTCAAAGTTGATTCATACCTGTTAGTGAATTGTGTGAAAGAACAACATTCTGTAAATGGATATACTCTTGTAAGCAGGTTATGTCTGTGAGTCCACATCCCTGAGGAGAAGAAAACACTCATGTAAAACATAAAAAGCTGTAACATGGCATTGCTTCTCTTCAGCACTATGCATCTTTGGTTGGAAATCTTGATATTGCATATTTTCAAATATATTCTATGGATTCATTTGAAAAAGCATTTACAACCTACCCCTATGACTCCCTGAAGTGATTTAAATATAACTTCTCTTTGTACTATCCCCTCATTATCCAGCATACAGGTAATGAGAATACTGAGACTTATCAGGTAGAAGTTATCCTGATCTAATATAAAATTCTTGTAACTTATTTACAAGAAAATTTGTAACAGTTAGTGAGGAGAATTTCGAACAAACAAGCAGATCTTGGGAGTTAAAAAGTTAACAATTGAGTTCCATTACAAAGGCTTAAATTTTTTTTCTTTACATGTGATGGATGGAATTGTAAAATTGTTGTACCGGTAAAAACAGATGAAGGTAAACTTGAAGTGTTCCATCAGCAGACCTTCCCAGCTGTGATAAGCCATCAGCTATCATTTCTTCAAATTCATTTGTCTCCTACGAAAGGTAGAAATGTGAACAGTATAAAGTCAACGAAGTGATGTTTGGCAATGACATGATTACACATGTAGTTACAACATGGTTTTAATTCCATCATCATTCGTCGAAAGCGCTTCGATTTCTAAAGTAACGAGGTTTGCACGTTTTTTAGTTTATATAACTTATCCAGTCGTATGTATTGTTTTCAAAACAACAACCTGCACGTAAATTTTCATGCACCAGGAGAACATCAAGTAATTTTTACCTGATCTTCTGGTTCTTCTTCTTGTAAGCTCGTATCTTTAGCAGGATTAACCTGCTGTCCATTGGTTTCCGATTCCACAGCAGTGCGACTTTCAGTGCGCTGTGCTTCGCTGTCGGCCCAAGGTGTCATTTCGTTCGTCACTTCATGATCAGAAGTAGTTTCCATCGTTGTGTTGGGATCGATTGCTTTCTCAGTGCTACTTTTACCTCTTGAACTAATTTATTATTCCTTCGGGGTACATTCGCGAGAATAAAAACTTGACTCTAGGAATAATTCACAAAAGTTTGCCACAGCATACAAGGGCTATGTGTTGTCCGCCATTTTGTATGTGTCTCGTTTCTAAGTAACAACAATAGGACCCAGTCTACGACGGATGTGGATTTCCCTCGCGCCAGTCTTTACCTAGCTCTATTAAAAGATAGACAGATGGGTGCAGTTGACTTGATAAACTACCAGTGATAAAGTGACGGCACCATAATTTTAACAGAGTGGGCTCAGCGCCTTACTGACCCCACCCCGGGAGAGGATGAATATCTCTTGCAGAAATGTCCTTTTATAAAGCCTGGGGAAGCAATGTCCAAAACTTTGGTTTCTTTTTTCTCTGTATTTTTTAAAATGCAAATTTTGCAGTGTGTTATCTGTCATTTCTTTGCATGGTCACAGTAGGGTAACAGGATGGCCAAAATTGTTGGGTTAAAAGGACTTTTAAAGCATTCGAAAGAAAATATTAAAAAGCGCAACACTTTTTTTTACTTGACCGAGAGGTATTTAGTAGAAATTAATTCATACAGTATGCCAAAGGTGCGGCGAGAATTACTAAATTAATTATGCATTCACATTCGTCTCACACCTCAGTACAGTATGACAAGAGATTCTTGAAGTTGCGGCGTAATGCTTCTTCGAACAGAAAATTGACGTATTCTGCCAATTTCTGCGCTCACAGATGCTTCAGAAAGTATTAAAAAGATGGATGTTTCCCTGTCTAATGTCATACAGCAGAAATTTGGAGAAATTACAGAGGTTTGTGGAATAAATGGATGTTCACGTAAGGTGAGGCAATTGACCGTTAAACAGTGTTCTTTCTCTCAGCAAGATAGTTTGAAATTTTCTCTTTAATCGTTGTAGGTAAATAATTCTCTGAATCTATTTGCTTTAATCATGACTTTTTATTGAAGCAGTTAGGCTCTTCTACTTTTATCAAATTTATAAAATCTGCTCATTGGAAAGTTCTGGAGTAAACTTCGTCATTGTATTTATTTCGTCTCAAACTCGGCTTTGTGTTTTCCTTCACAAATAAACGATACTTTGTGCCCCTTTTTTGGGCTCAGTGAGGGAAATAGATAGAGAGAACTAAGTTAAACATTGTAATCGTGTCCTCATTACTTTGTACATTTTATTGGTTTGTAGGCAACAATTAATACAGACAGCAAGTACAGGGCTCGCGCAGCACGTTTTAGAGTGGGGGGTTAAAGGGTGGTTTTTGTGCGTGAAGGCGAAAACGCAAGCGTTAGCCGTTTCATATCTTTGAATTTTGTTCAAATACCCACGCTTCATGCTATGTTTCCATCTACGGTCTTTTCCACATTTCTATTCCTGCACGTATTATGAACTTATACTAATTTATTTCACACTTCACATTTAATATGACCTGAAGTCATCGGAATCTCGTGCATGTAGTAATCCAGAATTATCTTAAACAGAATGGAACACCATAAAAACGACAACAAATAACGAAATCAGAATTTTTTGTTTTAGTTCTTACCTGAATTGGTCTATGTTAAACTTTGATATTTGCGAGATAAGATATACCATCTGAACATATAAGGCCTATGTGAACGATTTATGAAGAGCGAAAGCAAAATTAAAAGGGAAATAGTACAAGGAAAGATTGCACATCGAATTTCACACGAAATAACTGGCTAGGGAAAACGTCTGTGTATTAATCCTCTTAACTACGTATTTTTTGGATTAGAAAAGGCATAAAAAAGCAAAAACCTTGGGGAAAAGAGTGGGTAAGAAAATTTGGCTATAAAAATTCCTGTTTGAGGAGAAAACTTAGGGTTGACTTCCTCTGCTACCTTTTTCAATTGGGATCTTCTTTGAGGCTAGCCTTGACATGGATTTTCATTTGATGGTGTCCGACGTTCATTAATTATTCATTTGTAAATGTAATTTTCAGAGTCGGGAGAGTGAGTTGAAAATTGGTCTTAAAAGGAGAATTGGAAGCTTGGAATGTAAAACTTGAAATAAGAAATAAACAGAGTGATGTGGGAGAGCTCACAATAACGTAAATTGATCGTTTTATTGTTCCTCTAGGAGTAAAGAGGAACTCATTACAATAAGGACTTAGAGAAACTAGATTCTCCTAAACTCTTCTTTTGATATCACAGTTTACTACTTTGGGGTTAGTCTTGACGTGGATTGTAATTGACCGGCGTTTAACACTAGAGAGAACACCGCCTTATTTCGATTGTCAGCTTAAAAAACAATTCAGCAACATAATATCACATAAAGTTAGGCAGCCAAAATCCTAATGATACTAGCGGCACTAGACTAATCAATGTGTTTCATTGGATCTGTAGGGTGAAAAAAGATTTTGAAAGGAGGAATTTAAACAGGATTGGATACTTCGGATGGGCAACGTGTACACTGGTGGAGAAGAACTCAACAAAACGTGAGTTGTTGGATTGAATGTTTCACTAGTAATTTATAGAATTACTTTACAATGGGAACCTACAGTGCATCCAAATTATTCAGTTTATGTAAGCCTTTTTTAGGTCTTCTTGTTTTTTTGTTTGTTTGTTTTTTTTATTTTGTCGTCAGACTTTACGAATATTGCAGATTGTTGCAAAAAGAGTAAAGCAGATATTGAAAACTATTGTAAATCAAATTTTTCGATGTAGGAGACACTTTCAAGGAATATTTTAGGCGCTGAAAATATTTCGAAAAACTTTTCTGATAGACACTGGATTGTTTCTAAAGAGGAGAAAACTGTTGATTTGCTGAAAAGTAACCTATGTCACTTGAAACAGCATTTCCCAATAGAGACTAGATTGCTTAACAAACCGAGCAATTAGTTTTCACCTACAAGTGTTGGTGTTGAGCCGCTTCAAAGGTTTATTGAAAATAGTTTACGCAACAAATAAATTAACATTTTACACCTCTAAACGTTGCTAAGGGTTAACGAAAATAAAATTGCGTTTTAAACTTTGCAAAAAAACTCTTCGGAGATCACGTTGTATGACTCAATAGTTTAAGGTGGTTTTATATGAAAGTCCTTTTACGTAGGAAATTATATGTAAAACATAAATACTAAAATAAATATTTTCAAACAAGCAATGAAGAGAATTAAAAGGATTACAAAATTATATTGATTAATATTTGACTATGAATAGTTATTCGAATATTGTAATTCTTTATAAGGATGAAATTTTACTTCCTCTTTCATTTAATGCTTCCATCGCCCAATACTAAAAGTCAAGGAGCAAAGAATGATATTGTGTTTGGAAAGATGAAGGAATTTGTTGGATCTCTGATTTTTTTCAATTATTTCTGGGCGAGCTAGATCAATTTTCCATTCCGATTTTTCTTGGAAAGGAAAGAAAAAAGAACTTATTAGAGAGTTGGACCAGTAAGGTTTTGATTTTTCTCGTCAAAATTGTACATACCAAAATTAGTTTTGATTTATTGCGCCTCACGCTACGGGCTATTATTTTCCTCTTTTAGAGCGAGGTCTTATCAGAGAGATAACCACTTGTTTTTTCCTCTCTTTCGATCCATACTGAGCTGATTACTAGCAACAATCGTGACACTTTTCAAGCTTGCACAACAAAATCTAAATTACGGGCTTTCGCCCATGTTGCCAATGATAACTTTTGGAACAATGACTTTTTGACACATGCCACTAGGAACTTCTGGTCTTTGCAAGGAATAGCGTTTATCAGTGTTGTAAGAGATACATTTTTTTTGGTCCGGAAAGTATTGAGAAAGACAGGTTCTTCAGCATGAAACATATTTTGCTGGTGTAAACTTAATGGATGCAACAAAAAAAATTCTTGAAAAGGGAAGAAAACAAAACTTATTAAGAAGTAATTTTTGAACGAGTAAGGTTGTGAAGTCCTCAAAATTGTACAAACCAAAAATTAGTTTTCATTAAATACTTGTACGTCAAGGGCTATCTGTCCTTTTCCTCTTTTTTGAAGGAGGTTCAACGGGAAGAGATTACCACATTTTTGGTTCGTTTCGAACTTTGTACTGTAGATAATTGGAAATTTCTGAAGTAAATAAGAAAACTTTAGGCTTTCCTTGAAAAAAAGAAATGTTTCCAGTAGTCGGAGTCGAATTTCTATTTTCAAGCAAGAGTGAAAGAATGGAAATGGTGAGCATAAATTGTACTTTGCTAACAGAAACTGTTCATGCTTAATTGGTAATAAGAATATTGAAACTAATAATTTATAAGCAAAATGTTTTGTTCAAGTGAAAATTTTAATACTGTAGACGAATGACAGATTAATTGGACAACATTTATAAAATTTATTTCATACAGTTTACTTCTAAATTGTAAAGACATTTTAAACACGAGAGAATAGAATTTCTTAATGAATAAATGCCACGATGAAGATGTTGATTTTGTTTTCGTCATCAGGATAGTTTTTGCTTTTTAAGGATTTGTATGTTCGTTTTAAAATACCGTTTCCAGCATTTCATGTAGAGGTCCTCCAGAGAAGATTGCGTTAACTTTTTTCAGTGGTTTATCTGCTTATCAAAAAAGAACACAGAAGATACTGCAGTTCTCAACTTGACATTTTGTCTAAAGAGATAGAGATATTTAAGTAAAAGTGAGAATTTCCGTCGTCAAAAAACTGTTGTGCGCGCAAATTTAACGCAAAATAAAACTCAGCATTTGATAACACTTATGAAACGAACTTGAATGAGATATCAGTTATTTTATCTTAATCTTAATTTTGAGGACTTTTTTTCACTCAATTTAAAATTATTTCATTTATAGAGGATTTAACTTTAACTCTGAGGCATATGAAGTCAAAAGCTGTGACTATATCCAGTTAAAAGTTCTAAAAAGTAGTTAATTTCAAATGATGAGTTATAAAAACAATGATATTAGAGAATTCTTTGAATTTCCGCGGTTTAACCAGCACTTTTTTCGGTGTCACGAATTCTTTACTTTTTTTAATATTATTATTCAGCACTGTATTCTTCTTGTAATGTACTTTGCCTGGCTTTTATTTTACCATTGGTAATATTAAAACAATTAAGTAAGTTGTTGGACTGCAAGAGCTACTGTGGTCTGGTAATAGTACACATTTGAC